CTCCTTGGGCCACAAGCCAAAGGTGGGACACAAGTCACGGGAGGGACTTTAAGCCCCTCAGTTCCAATAACAACCTTCTCCAGGGGTGCATCCACTCCTGCAGCAGCAGAGGAAGCAGCAGGTTGGAAGAGCCCTTTTCCATCTCTACTTTGGAAATATTGTTTTTCTGTCAGTAAATTTCACCCTGAAGTGTTTGATTTTACCAGGAAACGGATTCTCCCTGCATCCTCTTCATTCTCATCAGGATGTTCCACGGTTAGTACTGGTTAATGCTCGTTTCACTGCTGTTTGCTTGTCTCCCCTATTTAGTGCACCACAAAGCAGATCATTTGGGATCAGTGAGACATAAAAATTACATCACACAAGGAAGCTGCAGCCGCAGAAACCACTCACAGATTAGAGAGAACGCTTAACAGAAAAAGATTTAAAGAACTCTGACAATTTAGGTAAAAAAATATAAAGGAAAAACAGAAGTGACTTGACTATGGCATGAGAGAACTTTTCACGGAGAAAAGAAAGTGACAAGCATGAAGGCCACTTCCATCCAGGACATAAAAACAGGAAAACTGAGGATCGAGCTGCAAACTAGATACTGAGCTTTTTGCATTCAGATATGGGTTGTTTATTTTTGGAGGAGCGATGGGAATTTTGCTGCCACTTCTCTGAAACATCAACAGAAGGCTCATCCATTTCTCGAAGCCCAGAAGCTGTCCCAGAGGGGCTAGCAGAGCCACACAGAAGTCAGCGCTGGAAAGCCCACAGCTGGCAATGAGGAGGTCAGGCTGGGCTGCCTACGAGCTGCAGTCATGCCTGTAGGATGGACGTACCGTGCTCTCTTCTAGGTAGGGTAAATCAGCCTGCTCTGAGCTCCCTGCTGCCAGGGGCGTGCTGCTGCCACTTCCAGAGAAAGGCAGCCTAAAACCAGTTTGCGTAACCCTGCAGTACGTTCCTTCGCAGAGGTGCAGCGTGCATACCTTTAGAAACAGCGACGTCTACAAGGCAGGAACCTGCTCACCTTTCGAAACCCAGCCAGCCCTTTTATGGGTAGGGGGTTACGCACAGCAATTCTTGACATTCCTCTGACAACAACAACCTTCTGCCCAGAAGCGTGCAGTCTCCCTGACCAGCCCAGCCTGTATTTGAACAGTTACAATATATTTAGAATTTTTGAGTCTTTCCTAGTCATGAAAAGTGAGTCACCACCACTCCACGGCACTCAACTCCACGGTGATATTTCCTCTCTTTTGGGTAAGGCTTTCTTCCTCGTAACCTCCTTGCACCAAAGGTACAGGGAAGGCACCAAGCACATCAATCCTTCAGGCCTTCGCCAAGGCGACAGCAAAGCAAAGCCTCGGTAGAGGCTGAGCAGAGTTGCGATGAGTAGAAGGGTGTAAAACCACTACACCCATTTGTTGCAAGGGAATCAAACTGGTTTTTCATGAGGTGTCATTACAAAGCGCTGCCGAAATGCCAGACCTCACCTTCCTAATAGCAGGTAGCTGAACAGAATCGTGTACCCTTGCCCATTCAGGGCTGGAATACAATAATCTCAGCAGGAAACCACCCATGGCCATGAAAACACACCTACAAAGGAGGTCAGGAGCTCTCACAGCTAAGACAAAATAATCTTGCCAGTGAATGCTGGGCAAGAGAGAAGCCATGGCTAAGTGCCAGCCTGATGGTGCTGCTAAGACAGTAAAACAACGTGTGCAATCTGCTAGCAGAAACACCTCAGACATGTTCTGTTGCAAGCAGGGAGATGCCTATTTATTTCTCATCACCAGCTCAGCAAGCTTGCTCCGGGCAAACAACTGGCTTTCCTTCTCCCATAATAATGACCAAGTTGCACCATCACGTACATCTGTGGAGCTGGCACCTTCCAAAGGTTTGCACAAGCACTAACGAAACTTGGTAAACAGTTCTCTGAAGGAGCAGAGTCCAGCCCACCCACGCCACGTTTGGCTTCGCAGCGCTAAAAGGTGTGGAAACTCGTACCAGGGCTCGGAGATCACTGCCATCAGCAGATCCGAAACACATTTGCCTGGATTTACTGCATAAAGAGGTGCCACTTTCACAACAAAAGGGTGCATTTGAGCACCATGAGGCCCGGTGGGTCCCTGTACTTCTGTCGCTGAGGGCAGTGAGCTTCCACATCGGTAACCACACGCCTGCATGATACAAGCATCCTCCTGCACCTAAAAGCTCTGACATATCCACCTCAGGCTTGACTTAAATTTGCCTCCATGATCTTTGGACACACGAGATGGCTTCTGACTTTTTTCAGAAATCACTCCTCTTACCTTTCCCCAAGTAATTACAACCAAGCCATTATTTTTTTTTCCTTTCTGGCACTGAGGTGTGTCTGGACAAGAGCTCCTCTGCACTCCAAGGGCAAGACTGAAAAGCATTTCTTAGACTGTAACATTCCTTCTGTGCATACGCCCCTTTCACGATCTCTCTGTAAGGAAGGAAACGGGGCTCTTAGTTGCTTCACCTCCACCTAGAGAAGCACTTTTCTTCCTCTCCCTCTCCTATTTCTCTAGGGAAAGAAACAGAAGATATCTCCTTTATCTCTCCCACTGCTTGTCAAACCAAAAACCATCTCATGTCAGCAAAACGGGGAGCTGCAACAAGAAAAAGAAAGCAAAGTGAAAGAGATTAAAAGTTTGACAAGAGTGCTCTAGGAAAGTCTTTGATGTCTTCAGCAGCTCCTGGTGAGCGTTACTAACAAGAGCGGCAGATTTGACCCTAGATATTTGGAAGGAAATGTTGATAATGGCAGTTTTGCTTTGCAGCCTCCTGCTTACTTGCATGCTCACACACACGTAAGATGCAGGTTGCAGAGAAGGTGCATGCCAAAAATGACAGGCAAGAGTACAGAAGGAGCTCATTGGCTTGCCCAAAGAACGGAAGATGGGGCTTACTGGGTGCTCACTGGGAAAAGAAACAGAGCTGAGAGGAGGCAGCTCAACCAGGGCTAGAAGAGGCTGTGGCTAAAGCAAGGTTCCTCCTCTGTTGTGGCAGGGCTATAGGCACAGCGAAGTCAGGTTCCACCACAGCAACAACGTGTGTTTGCTTCTGCTTGAAAAACAGAAGCTAGTCAGCCTCCCAGAAATGCTGGGAACTGACCTAATTACATAGGGAATACCAAGTCAAACCAACTCCAGCGTGATGCAACGCTTCTGGCTGTGCCCAGCTCTGGGAAACTGCAAAGCAAAACTCTGCTTTGCTCTCGTACTGACCATACTCTTGAGGGAAAACAAACCATCTGCTGCTTTTTATCCGGCAGACCTGAACTTCCAGTGCCTCTTGTTTCTGTAGCAGCTTCTGGACGTACCTTCACAAAACACACGGAGGTGAGTAACTCTCCACCTGAACGGTGTCCAAGTTCTGAGAGACAGCATTTTGGAGAACGTTTGAAGCAGCAGCAAGGCAGACCTGGCTGGGAAACGCCATCTAGAGGCCAACACGTGCTCTTACCGATTTATTTTGGAAAAGTAATTGTTGAACTTGCTCCTTTCACCTCAGCACGATCCTCTCACCACCTCTAGAAGCGCAGTAATCCCTACTTCACGAGGAGCTGAAGTTCCCTGCCGTGCTGTACCATGAGTCCTAAGAGCAGTACCCACCTTTTGTGTATCAGCAATGCATCTGAGCTAGAATGCTTTCTCCCTCGTGGCTTTTTGTACTTACCAGTTCGTGTTTATTGGCTACCTCTACTGCACCTAGCAGAGGTGCATCTGAATTGCCTGTTTCCACAAGGCCACTCCTCCAGGAGCAATTTACAAGTTTAGCCTCAGTTGACTGCATCACGAGAACTAGAAGCAGGGCCAGCTCCAGAGTGGAGCACAAAAACTTCCCTCGTCCTTCCTCACTCCATCCAGCAGGTGAGATTGGGAACAAAGCCATCGCTATCAGCCAGGCATGGTTTCACCACTGAGCTCACCAGGAGTTCTTTTTATAAGTCACAAACTGTAGAGATATGGATGGGGCTCGTATCACTCATATCACCAACCAGTGAGGAAAGAAAGGGTCTTCCCATTACCAGGGAATTTGTGGCAGCACATCGGTGCATCACATGGAGGGAAACACAGCCCAGCTATTTGGGAGCAGTGTCTGTCTCCTACTGAAACGGGATGTGGGGTGACACAAGCAGATTGCACTCTAGAAGTTGAGCTTTACATATTTAACCCTACAGGCTGGGAAAAACAAAACGTGACAAAACAAAACAAAGAACAGCCGAGGTGTCTGATGAGTGCAAACATGAGTCGTGTGAAGTGACCCAACCACTGGATATTTACTTCAAGACCAGGCAAGGCAAATGTTGGTGAAACTATCTAGCTGTTAAAGAAAGATAGCTTCCTGGAAAAAAAAAAATCCAACATAAAACTCCGCAATATACCCAGAAGTTTTAAAAACTCCTTCATTCCTATGGGATTCTAGCAGCACGCTGAGCTCCCAGATGAGGTCCAGGATTGCTGAGCGGGGCACAATGATGAATGCACAGCGAGGCACTTCTCATACTTCTGAAATTTGAAGCATCAAGAAATATGAAACATCCATCATTGCTGGAGAGCAAGGAACTGGCCGCAGAGGGAAGTTCCACCCTAACCTAAGCCCTCATTTAAAAAAAGACAAAATGGAACTGGAGCACTTAGCAAGATTATGGGGTAAAGTAGACTTAATTTAAGTGGCAACTAAACAATTTGGTATTATGGCCATTTTCTTGTGTAAGAGCTTTTCATGTACTGAGTGGTCAATGCAACACAGTGACCATTACCATGTCTGACAAACAATGTCAGACAAGATGACAGCCTTGTGCAGCAGATCTTCCAAACCAATGTCATTCCTACGGGAAGCGAGCGAGCTATGGCAAAATATGTGCTGGCTGACAACAAGCCACAGCAAAGATTTCTCCCCCCACAAAGGGAATGATTAAAAATCTGTTTATGCTGAGCTGCTCGGAATAGGATCTGCCCTTTCAGAGATGGAACACAAAGTTAGGAAGCCATCTCTTCTTGTTTTATTTATATATTTTTAAATAGAATGAAGCTCCTGCAGAAATAAAGGCACATGCTTCCTTACAAGGAGGAGCCTGGCATGCCTTTTCTCAGATTTCCTTCCAATTACTCCGTAAGAGGCCAAAGCAACCCACCAATCACAGGAAGATCCAAGAGAGTCCCAGAACAATAAAGTCAGTTTCAACAGTTAAAAAAAAAATAAAAAATGGTGGCAGAACTCCTCCTTGATGAAGGCCTCTTTTTCATTGCTTTTGTATAGAAAAGCCAGAGAGAAATCAGTTGTGAGCAGTATTTCATCAACTGATCTGCAGCTATGAGAAGAGGCGGCTGTTATCACCAGAGCAACAAAACAGAGGACAAGGGTGGAGAGAGAAGACGAAGGAATGCTGATGTGCTGGGCTGGGACTAAAAAGGGCACAGCAGGGTGTTTATTCACAGTCCACAGAGTTCAGCAGCTGTTTCAGAACAAGTCACATCAAAGGAAAGAACTGTTAGCACAGCTACTACGTGAAGTGTTTTTCAACCCAGAGAAGTCTGTCTTGATAATGGTGAGGAGGAGGAGGGACTTTGGGAAAACTCCCTGTTCCAGACAATTAGTGAAATCTGCTTCAGCGTTCACGTTAAAATCTCAAAGCAATTAGGAAAGTCAGGTAGAAATAAAATCCATCCAGGACTTCTCAGGCCTTAGCCCGGCGTAGGTGGGGGTAGCTCTGGAGGGTCCTGTCTATTGCTTCATCCAAGCTCACCACTGGCTTGTAGCCCATGTCTCGTTTGGCCCGTTCACAGCTGTAGTAGTGAAAGGTCCCAGCCAGTGCTACCCGCATAGGGGTAAAAGTGGGCTTGATGGTGACCAGGGGACTGAGCAGCCACAGCACTAGAGCCAAGAACAGGGCCAAGTAATACGCCAGCCCGTAGGGAATATAGTACTTGGGTGCATCGTAGTTCAAGCCAGTCAAGATACGGGACATGAATGCCCAGAAGGGAATTGGTTCGTCATTTGTGATATGAAATGCCTGAAAGAGAAGACAAAAAGCCAGATGAAAACCGTGCCGTTCACACGTTTGTCTCTTTGACGGCCCAGCTCAGCTCGTGTTCACGCCCAGGAGACTGACACCTCTGATTTGACTGCAAAGGCGTTTCCATGAGAAACTACCTTCCACCAACCTCCTCCGTCTGAGAAGCGGTTATCCCCTTCACTAAGAAAGCCAGCGACTCCTGACAGGTTACTTTACTCACCAACAGTCAAACTGAATGACACAACACAATGAAAACATATAAAAGCATGCCCAGAGCATGGTGGTGCCATGGAAGTCTGTAAAGAAATCCTGCTGCTCAGAGCTCTGTTGTAAAAGCTACCTAACTGTTTCTTCTGCCCACAACTCCGCCCGGACTTCCTTCCACAAGGTGTTTTGCAGAACGAAGTTGAAAGCATTCGCATGCATTTTGCCCCACACTGTTGCACAGAACGGTCGTCAGATGGCCAACGACTCACTACAGCCACAGACAGGAAAAAATGACCCATTTGTGTGAGCTAGCTCCACTCATCCGAGATGGATCTTTCAGTACAGACACAATAACACGAACTACAGAACAAAAACACATAACCAAGCAAGGCAGGCAGATGGAGTTGAGCTAGGGGACACCCACTCCCCTTCCTGGTTCCCTCCTTACCTTCCCACACAAGGGAGAGTCCTTCTGAAGGCGCTCAGCAGCAAGGATATGTCCATGGACCACGTTTTCCACATAAGTGAAGTCTACCAAGTTCTTTCCATCCCTGCACAGATGAAAGGAAAGAGTTATGTCCAAAGGTAATCTGGGCAAAAAAAATCTGCTTGTGGCAAAATAAAGGAATATTTCACATAATACAGTTTAAGAATCCTCTTCTCCCCGTGCTGTGCAGTAACTTCAGGCTGTTTGTTACTCTGACAGATACAAAGTCACCGCATCTTATCTTGACACAGAGGAAAAGCTGTTACTGTCTCAGCTCTTGAGAAGACCCTCAGGAAGTTTATATTCCTGTAATTGTACCCTATTTAAACCCACTGAGATCCTACAGGTCTCAGGACCACCAGCGATCCACGGAAGCAGGACAGATAGGCACACAGGGGCAAGCAGCACACAGAAAGTCACTTAAGGACAAGCTTTCAATTATGAATTTCTTGGCTCATGAAATTTTAACTTACTCAATAAGCCAACTTCAGTCCCAGCTGAAACAGATTCAGCCCACTGTGTTAAATCTATTTCTACACAGATACCAAAAATAGCGCCGCACGCCACTTTCAAGAGTCCATCTAAATCACAAATTGTGTGTTACAAAGCCATCAGCACATTCATTTTGGTATAAAAACATTGCTGCAATCCAACATTCTGGGAATTAATAATTTTCATTTTCAACTTTCACAGATAAATGGCTATGTGCTTTCTTGATAGGGATAAGCAGGACTTTATAGCAGCAGGAAAACCTAAACAAGGAAAGAATATTTGAGCTAGAAAGTGAAGACTTATACAAAGCAGAAAGCTTGAGTTTATTCTGATCTGTGAGCAGCCAACCTACCCGGGAGGTCAATCTAGAAGTGAACCATAAGGAAGAATAAGAACCATATAAACACAGCCCTAGTCCCTTTCTTTTCCCTACCCTAAGCACGTATTCATTCACACAGGTACATGCACAACAGCTTCCTGCATGCAATAAAAACCTATTATAAATTAAAGAGCACATTTATTTTCAAGATGATAATAAAAGTTTAAAAGATTTCTTAGTAGCAGCTTGAACTATTTCTTGCTCTAACATTTCAGTGGTCCACTGGGAAGTGTGAGACTTAACCACAATGCAAACATCTTTGATCTTATTGTCATGAGTATCAGAACACTGTCAAATGCACTTTTTAATTGCAAGACCCTCAAATACCAGTAGTACACATTAGTTAACAGCAAGTTATCTGAGTTCTTTGATTAAAAAATGAATTCTTTAGACTGTGAAAAGCCAGCTCAAGTTATGTCTGCTTTCCCTACTGATAACCTTTTGCATGAAGAATGCTTATTCACCTCAGTGTGTGAGTCTCTGACAAAAGGGCTATGAAAGAAGACTACTGGATTACAAGCAAAAAGTTTCAGAAACTTTTTCCCTCTCCAGAATGACACTGCAGTTCCCAAGAAGAGACTGCCAGTGCAGAAGGTTAAATCCTGCCTTCCTCTCCGATGCTGAACACCTCAGGACAAAGATCCCTACAGTCTTACTATTACCATGAATTATCCTATTTTTACATCAGAAGATCACTGAAAGCCACATCACCACTCCTGATTTAACATCATCCTGTTCCAAAAGGGTTTCAGGTTTAACGAGCTATAAAGTGACTAAGCCTTGCTCACCCGATTATGAACTTCATTTTGCCACTCTTAGCTGCTTGGATGAGGATGGGAACGAGCTGAGGGTCTCTAGGACCAAATATCCCGTGGGGGCGAATAGCAAGAGTGAAGAAATTGTTGTCAGGGTCATTCGCACTCAGTACTTCCTGTAAGGGGAGGAAGAAAAGAGAGGTTAGGAAGAAAAATATGGTTTAGTAACATACCCCAACTGCAGCACCGGAGCAAGGAAGCATTCCTTCATCTCTTTGGGAAGACATCAGTGGAAGAATTACTACCCATCCTACCAAATGATCCTTCCTCTTTTCTCTTCTTCTCTTTAATGAGAAAAAGAAACAAATCTGTTTTCATTAGTGAACACTAAGTGGATTGACAGGCAAAGGGAAGGAGCTCTTTGTCATTTAACACCACAGAGACCAGAGGAGCTTTAGGATGCATGGGAGGAAAAAGGAAGGAAACTGAGCAATTCAATCTCACATCATTTAATGGAAGACTTCCATCATGGGCTTTCTTGACCACGTTCAGAAAGGGTTTGGTCCCTTTTTCCTGGGAACACCATGTGCAAAGCAAATTTAACAAGGCATCTTTGAAGAAGTTTTAATTCTACTGGGAGTTTCTAAACAACATGTTCAACTGATTTTTTTTATTATTATTTTTAATAAAAAAAATCTGCTGTCTTTTCTAGTAAAGACTGAAGAACACCACACGCAAACACTGAATACTTTCACTGCTTCACCCAAAGCAGATATAATTACAAGCATATTGACTCGATTGTTGCTCACAAGCTTCCACTCTGCTAGTCCACTTTGTAGTAAAGTGGTTATGCTTGTGAATGAACAGATGTTTTTTGAGCTCTTTTCAGAGAACATAAGAAAAAATCTTAAAGGCTAATACTGTACGTAACAGGACACGGCTTCAATCTGGAAGCAAATCTGAATTCTTGTATAAAAAGCCTAAGTTCTTTCCACAACTGAAATGCAAACCAGTGAAAAAACAAAAACAACAACTTGAAGATACATTTGTTTGCACAAATACTGCAGCAGCATCAACCTGAAACAGAAGAGATACTGGTGATCTGTAGAATTTCAGAGCAGTGGACATTAAGATGTAAGGGGGAATTTTTAAACACTAAGAAGAAAGTTTTCTGTATATGGCCAACAACATTAATTTACAACACATTTTTTGGTTGTCGTGCTCCTTAACATGGTTCCAGTCTCCACCTCATCATCTGCTTCCCCAGTACCTTCTTCACAACCCCAGCTGAAACGCATGCCCACTACCACTAGTACCTTCAGGCTGCAAATCAGGTAAATGTGGAAGGAAAGCTTTCCAATGGGAGCAGAGAAAGCAAAAAAGTCTCCCCCAGCTTATCTCAAAGCAGTTGGATCAGCTAAGAAAGGGACTTAATACAGGTCTCTGTCAGTTTTTTTTATTCTTTCTCCAGAAGTAGCTCTCCTCCCTCCCAATGTAGCACCCTATTTCACTCAGCTTTCCAGGTAATTTGTCACAGCTTTATTTATTCACTTTTATTAAATGAATACACGGTTTAGAGTTTAACCAGCCAAGGAGGACAGTACTGCCTGCTTCAGAATTTGGGCTGCTAGGAAATCATCCCCTGTACCATCCCATCAGCACGCTCAGGTAGAAGGATGCATGGCCACCTACCACACTTCTCCTAACAGGATAAACGAACACATTTCCACAGCTCCATGCTGAAAAGAACATCGAAGTCCAGAGGTTCTGTGTAAAACAAGGGAATTTGCCTGTTCCAGTACTATCCAAAAACTCTGGCCAACGTTGCTAAGTGTGCATCAATTTGCACAGACTTTCTCCACCACTACGGATGAGACTTCTTTTTAAAGAAACAATGAGCCTGGAGAACAGAGATCTGCTCAGTCTTGAAGTTTGTTGATGTCCCCTAGGGCACGCCCTACTTTTAGAAAGGCATTTTTAAGCATGGAAAAATGTTAACCATTTTGTGACAGATACCTTTTCCTGTAGGATCTTTGTCTCCGTGTAATAGTCAATAGGTTTTTTCGCATAAGGGAGGTCTTCTGTTCCATTTTTAATGTCTGTACCCTCAAAAACAACACTGGCACTGCTAGTTAACACCAGTTTCTGCAATGGATGAGAAAGAGAACAGCTGTTTAAAGCCTCAGAAAAAAAGGATCATTATTTACAAAGACTAAGTAAAGACAAAAATAACGTTTAATCAGCTGTTTCTACAGAGAATAAACTGTGTCTGGAATAACGTGGGTTAACAGAAGATGATCTGAAACTGCAGTTAAGAGTTAATTAAGAGAGTGGGAATTTTCTAACATCATTTATTGCTACCTTAAGGACAACAAACTTCCAGGACAATCAGTCAATGTGAAAACATCTCCAAGGAAATTGGAGCACCCACCAGGCTTAGCACATTCTAGCACTTAACACGCAACGAATGTTTAAGATATCTGCTTATCTTTTTGATAACAGTACCATGCCAGATTACAACAAAAAAGAACTCTTATCCTGGATATTTTTGTTGGATAACAAAATATGCCCTCGTGGATTCAAAACAGGAAGCCAGCGATCACTTGGGCAATAGGAAATGTGGTTGTAAATGAGATCTACTTTTTAAAAGATAGCCGGATCCAACAAGCTCTAACAAAACTTGCTTCTTGCTCTGACAGAACCTAGACTAAGCCTGAAGATGAACACTGCACAGCCCATTTCCTGAAACGGTTTACAACTGGGGAGAGGGAAGGCAAAACAACAACAAGTACCTGTGGGCTGGGAGTCCTATACAGCATTTAATTCTAAACATTGTTGGGTCTGTATTTGTACATGGACAACATGCAAGGTGTCTTGGAAGTATCACATCTCTGCCCAGAGTAAGTAGGGGATCTTCACAGGCATTGTGCTTGAGAATTTGGTAAGAGTGAATAAAATCGACACACTGAGATTAAATAAAGCCTTTCTACCAGACTCAAACCGGTCCGTAGCTCAGAAATCACCAATTCACATTCACATCTTATATGCTCCCCAAGCTCTTCCATCCTTACCTGCACTCCAGCTTCTTTGCAGGCTTCAATGACTGTTTTGGTTCCCATAAAATTCACCTTATAAAACAGCTCCCTGTTGTCACTTGAAGGTGCTGGCGACGCACAATGAAATGCCACAGAAACGCCTTGTAAAGCTGGGAGCAAGGCCTACAAGAAGACACGTTGTGCAAGACAGCAATGAAACAGCAGCAACAGGGATTACTCAGGAAATAAAGCACAGGTCTTAAACTCATGAAAACCAAACTTCTAAATTTCAAGTCACGTTCCTTCCATAAAGGTGAGCAGCTGAAATAGGATTAGCCTCTAGGGTCTTCTGTGTCCTCTCCTTGCTAGGCAAAAGAGCACTACATTAACTTTGTTTTTCCCCCAAAGAATCTGGGAATTTTCTGAGAGCTGGAGGCTATCTAGACCTAGCTACTTGCAATAGTATCCAGTGCAGATATGAGACTCAGAATTACCTGGGGAGTTAGAGAACTCCACACACAGCAGGTTTCACAGCATCCCATGGCACTGCCTGCCCTGGAGACGACTGTCATAAAGCTCTGAGATTCGATACTTTATACTGGTGGGGAAACATCTCTTCACGTTGCATACAAATGCTTTTGCCAGGGTTCACATGCATAACCTTGTCAAGGCGAGAGGTCTTTGTGTCTTAACTGTGAAGAATAATGCATCCTGCGGTGCTCATACGGCTGAGGTTGCACGTAGCTGCTCTCCTGCCTAATTACCAACAGTGACTGTAATCAGGCTCTACAGCTGAGCTAACAGTAATGCAAAGCACAAATCAGAAACGAGTTCTGTTCCCTGCAGCTTCAAGCAGTCACCAGCTATTTCTTTAAGTGTTCTGGATGACACTTCCCCAGAAAACCATTTAGGCCACTGACTTCAACGGGAAAGGCGAGGAGGCATCTCACATCTACGCACCCTTTTACAGCCTGTACAACACCTTCAGGCATTGAAATGCTTCAAAAACAGCTCAGTTAGCTGTTTGCCTGGACGTTAGTTTATACAGGCATCCTTCCCACCTAGGCAGGTTACTGTTGTTAGTCTGTACCTCTTTGTCACAAAGGTCTCCCAGGAAAAACTGCACTCTGTCATTCTCAAATCTCTTCTCGATATCAAATACGTTGACCGAGTAACCCTTGTCCAGGAGCTTCTCCACCATGTGCTGGCCTAAAAATCCACAGCCGCCGATCACTGTACACTTTTTACCAGCCTGCAAAGACAGTGAGAAAACAGGTGTTACAAGAAAGCAGCCACGCAGCAGCAAACAGTGCAACTAAACTGGGATTGGACTTCCTAAGATCTTAACGGGCTGCAATTTTGCACAGCTCTGATTGTTCAAGTCAGTAGTCGATTTGATTGGGGGAATCTAAACGCAGATATCACTTTCCAACACATCTGTGCTACCACAGCAACCTGAAGTTCAGGCATGCCAGTGGTCCCAGTGGTCCACACAGCTTGCTTGCTGGTTCCTATTTTGGCAGGACTCTGTCACATAACCAAGTGGCTCAACTGGGAGGGAAGAAGAGGACCAGCTCTGACAAACTCTGCCCTGATATAAACCAGACAGAGCTCACTACAGCCACATGGCACAGATAACCCAAACTACAAAGCCCATCACAGCTAGCAAGGACAAAGCCATTTTCCCAGCACATGGAACTTTGGCTCCTCCAAGCCAAGAAAGCAATCAGGTAAAGGCAAAGCTTATCCTACTTAATTAGTCATTAGTTTTTAATTTCTTTTTTTAAATGCTTTATAATTCAATGGCTGGAGTCACTAATTAACAGATTCTGGTTTGGTCACTGCTCTAACTGCAATGAGTGTGGAAACCTCACCACCACCAAAGAACATGCAAGCAGTGAGTCGGAGGAAGTTCTTCACAGAATCACAGAATTTCTAGGTTGGAAGAGACCTCAAGATCATCGAGTCCAACCTCTGACCTAACGCTCTTGTACAAAGACTGCTCCGTCCTGGCTAGAAATACATTTGCTCCTTATTGTTGCTACACAAACACCCACCTCTGCAGTTATTCTGTTGAGCTGCAGGGAATTTTAACCCAGTGAAACTGCACAAAGACAACAATTGTTTGGAAATTTCCAGGGGCTACATCCCTAAACAAAGATTCAAAGCATCAGTTATCCACAGAAGAAACAAGAAAAGTTCAGTGCAATTCAGCAACTACAGTAGGGCACCGCCAGCTACTTGGAACAGTGCGTGCAAAGCCCAGCCTGATTAGAACCTTTAAATAAATTAATAAAAGTTCTTCTGGGATGGACCAATGGCCTATCTGGTCCTGGATTCTGCTTTTGATGGTTGCAGAACGGACAGTATAAAAAAAATGTGTTAGTCCAAGGACTCTCTGCAGTTTGCTTCTCCTTGCATCTCCCCCCTGCAACAGGTCTACATTTGCTTTACTCATCAGCTTCCTGATTTTGTAAATTCAGTCATCTCCACCCCCTCTGCAGTCTCCTTTCCCCACCGAGGGGTTGAGCCCTTTGAGCTTCTCCTCAGCAGGCAGTTGCTCCAGTTCATTGGTATTTTTATCGGCCTTTGTCTGTGCCCTGTCTCACCCCAGGACGTTCTTCATAAGATACAAGCACCACAACTGCACACAGCGCCGAGCTGAAGTTTTAAACAGCAGCAGAATGACGCCCTCTGTCTGACTGGAAGTGGCAGCATCACTTTCTCCCACTGCAGTTGATGCAGCCCAGGTTTTTCCACATTATTTTCCCCACTCACCCAAGGTCAGTATTCAAATCATTGACCAAAAGATTTATTTAAATAACCTTTAGTGCCTGTTTATAACCTAAAGTACACACACCTCTTTGGAAAATACTAAACGAACCAACCCAGTGTCCAGAATCAGTGTGACTGCAGCTCACAGTAATGCTCCTGGACTCCTGGGACCTTTCTAAAAGGCTGGCAGAAATCCAGGCTATGTGAGATCACCTCAACTTCAGGACAGGAATTACTATCTATCTAGTGCTGTGCGGCCAAAACAGCCTGTTCATGCTCTCTAATGTTATGCTAGATTTTTGTTTGTTTCCAAAATATCTGAGATTTACTTACAGAAGCCAGAGAAAAAGAGAAAATAGACCAGAAAGCAGAAATTTCCCTATAATAAACAACCACAGGTAACGTAACAGATCAGCTTAGCAAGCTGTATTCCCAAGATAAATGGCCAAATAACTTCCTAAGCTAAGCAAAGCATTATTCTTTCCATATTAAAGCTTCCTGCATTCAATACAATAATGCTAGGAAGAAGTTACTATGGTCTAGCAGATCTCAGCGAGCCCAGCTAGGCCCTTATTTGCATGCCAACATGGAATAACGTTTTAAGGCACACAGGAATGATCCTGGTGTAAGCAGACACCAATTGATTCAGCAGCACTGGCAAAGCCCCCGGTATTTTTCAGGGCTGGAGCATCACCAGGTCTCTCTGGAGTTGGAATGGCAGCAGAGATGCCCCTTTCCCAGCAGCACTATCTTTGGATGCAGGTGTTAACACAGAAACAGCCTCGTTTCTTCCAAGGATGCTTAGAGAACACGTATCTATGAAAATATGTCTCCATCAGACCAATCTTCATACAGCAAGGCTGAAGCCCTCTACTCACCGATCTGAGGCGTGCGGCCATCTCTCTGATGACTTGATATTAATCTAATTCCTAAAGAAAAAAAAAAAGAAAATGTTTTATTCACAGTACAACACTCATATTACTTAGGCATGCCATTAACACGAACAACTTCTTTTTAAAACAGATTTCTAGTTACAAAAATTGAGGTGTGAAGCCACTGAAAATGCAAATTACAATTGGAAATCGAGATGCAAAGCAGAAACATGAAAAACATCAGCGAACTAATTCTCCCAGCCCAGCTGAACATGCTAAGCAGCACGAGACTAACACGGCCATCAAACAGCTTTCTCAAAGGCACAATTCTAATAAAATAGCTCTGATAACAAAGGCACCATTTTGTCTCAGTGCCACTTTATTTCGGCTAGCGTTAGCTTCATGAACTTGCTGAGTATCTGAGCATCCCTACTCCAGAAACACAAAGGCAATTCTGTTGTTTTGGCAGCTGTCTCCTCAAAAATGCTCAAGGGTGCTAGGAATAACAAAACAGAACTGAAGCGCCACACCCGCCTGTTCCAAAACAGCAGACAGGGTGAGGAAGAAATCCCAGACCAGCAGAGAGGGAAGACAGTGCTGAGATTTTCCAGGTTTTCACATCACAGGTGGTTGATGGCACAAGTTTCATTAAAATTTTTACACTAATAGCAAAAAAAAAACAACATCTCAGCTGTGGTCCTGCTGCGTGAAGTGTAACAGAAAGGCAGAAGATAACAATATGCCTATTTACATCTGCTTCCATGAGAAAAACAAGCTGCACACAAAGATTTCTGGTGGTCTTACAGCCACTTTAATTGACCAGCACAAAACCTGTTGCTTTAGAGGCCAATTCGAGTCTCCTGATTGCCAGTCAGTCGTTCCCACTGCCTCCAACATCACGCACTGAGGTGGGCGAACCTCAAAATTATGAGAACAGTGATGAGAAAATAGCGATGAACCTCAAAATTGTGGTGAGCCTCAAATTAATTATGTTCCACCTGGGCTGGTTTCCACGCGGAGCACTCCCTGCCCCATCTCACCTCACAAACCGGCGCCAACGCAGCTGGATGCGACCCAGGCACAGCTACACCAAGGCTGCTGTAAAACGACCATGGGATCACACCCGTGAGCACGTACCTTGCAAGAAAACAGGTAAGTTCAACTCGCCCCCAAAGCTGCTGCTTGCTGCTCTTTTTTTACTTTCTGGGAAGCCCTTTGGAGGCAACAAGAAAAAAAAAACAAAGCTGGATTGGTTCCTGTCTGGCCAGGAACACCCAGCTGGCTTCGACAACCAGACACAAGGCCTCCTGCCCTGCTGCTGCCCCCTCCCCTACCCCCACAGCCCCCTCACCACCCCCCAGAACAACACCTTGCCCTGCCCCGGCTCCAGCTCCCCCACACACCCTGAACCACCCCAACCCTGAATTCCCCCTTTCCCAAGGATCCCTCCCTCATCTTGAGGACCCCACCCTGAAGACCCCTTGCCCATCCTAAAGTCCTCGCCCCCTCCCTCACCCCAAGACCCCCCCCCCTTCATCCTTAGGCCCCCTCCCTCACCCTAAGGGCCCCCTCGCCTATCCTGAAGGCCCCCCCCTCACCCTAAGGCCCACTCCTTCATCCTAAGACTCCCTCCCCTACCCCAAAAGTCCCCTCTTCACCCCAAGGCCCCCCTCCCTCACCCCAAAAGCCCCCACCCACATCCCAAAAGTCCCCTCTTCACCCTAATGCCCCCCTCCCTTACCCCAAAAGCCCCCTCTTCACCCTAATACCCCCCTCCCTCATCCCAAAAGCCCCCTCCTCACCCCAAGGCCCCACTCCCTCATCCCAAATGTCCCCTCTTCACCCTAATGGCCCCCTCCCTCACCCCAAGACGCCCTTCCTCACCCGCAAAGGCCCCCCTCCCATCCTATAGCACCCTTCCCTCATCCTAAAGCCCCCTCGCCTATCCTGAAGGCCCCTCCCTCACCCCAAGACTCCCTCTCCCGCCCCAAGACTCCCTCCCCGGCCCCAAAATGCCCCTCCTTCACCCCATGGCCCCCCTCCCTTGCCCCAAAAGCCCCCTCTTCACCCTAATACCCCTCCCTCACCCCCAAAGGCCCACCCTGAAGCCCCCTCCCCTCACCCCCCAGCCCCTCACCTCCTCTCTCCCCTCAGCGCCGGCCCGGCCCCGCCCCCTTCCCCCTCCCAGCCAATCACCGCGGGCGCTCCCCTCAGGCCCCGCCCACCGCCGCCTCTCGCCCCCTCCCCTCGCGCCCGCCCTGGCCCGAGCATCGCGCCAGCCGGCTGCCCCTCGCTGATTGGTCCCGCCCTCCCCCCTCCAGCCAATCGCGTGAAAGCAAGGAGACGAGGCCCCTCCCTCTTGGACCCGCCCCCAAGCAAGCGCTAACCAATAGCCGCAAACCGAGCGCTTCCCGCGCCTCGCTCTCCACCAATGGCGAGGCGGTTGCCATGGCAACGGCGTGGCGGCGCTAGCCAATGGGGAGGGGCGGCATTGGACAGAAGGCCTGACAGGGCTGAGGCCGCCCGGAGGCAGCGGCCGCCGGGATGGTGAGGGGGGAGCGGGGGGCGGCTGAGGGGGCCCGGGGAGCGGCTGAGGGGGCCCGGGGGGCGGCTGAGGGGGCCCGGGGGGCGGTCGTTGCGGAGCGGAGCCCCCCTGACGCTCCCCCCTTCTCTCGTGTCGCCTCTCCAAGGCCTCCGGCTTCAAGAAGCCGCCGCTGGCGGCCGCGGCCCAGCGGAAGAAGGCGAGCCCCAAGCTGGAGCTGACGGAGGAGCAGCGGCAGGAGGTGCGCGAGGCCTTCGACCTCTTCGACGCGGACGGCGCCGGGAGCATCGACGTCAAGGAGCTGAAGGTAAAGCCGGCTGCTGGGAGTCGAGGGCGGCACAAACGCCTGAGGGGCCCTAAAGGGGAAGCAAGGCTCTGTTTTTTCTCCAGGGTAACGTTTCCCTGTCAATAGGCACGTTGCTGGTGAGCTATGGCTCTTCCCTGCTGTCTCTAGGACCAAAACACGCTGGCAGTTCTCTATTTGCTGCGCCTTCTCTGCTAGTAAAATAGCCCAAAGGTTTGTACATATTTAAAATGTGAGGTTTTCCCCCTCCTATGTGCTCTCAAGAATTGCATGTTTTGTGATTTAGGTTACCCAAGATATGCAATGCACCAGTGTTACATATTTTCTCAATTCTATTTGTCGCTGAAAAATGTCAGTCTCTCCACGCTGTCCTTTGGGAAGAACAGTAATCAATAAAGGAGGGGTTCTTCTGCTTTCAGAGTTGGCCCTTTCTCTTTGCCAGCTGGATGCCCATGTTGCTACAGACCACTGGGAGGAGCAGAAATGATTTCTAAGTTGACACCTGTCCCTTTATAAAAGGAGGAAGAAGCAAACTCGTAGGCATGTATACACCTGTGGAAGCGAAGGCATCCTTGGTGTGCTGCTCATAGGATTGTTTTCTGAAGTCATGCAAACTGTCTGAATTGTGTTTCCTTTAACATTCATTAACATAAGTCTTGGTCACTAAAACGAAAAAAAATAACTATTTTAATTTTCCCGTGGTCTATAAGCTTAAGAATTTCCATCTTTGTGCTGTCATGTTAAAGTTTGTTAACAGTTTAGTAGAGCTGCAAATATGATAGAAACCTCTTTCATGGAGTCACTTGTCTTGAAGCATGTTCTTTCTAGGTCTTACACTTAACCATCTTGCTTACAAGAGTCTGATGTGAGCTTTTTTTATTGCTTTTATTCTGTGTCATGTTTCTTATTGCAAAGAGAGTATAAGTAGCAATTCACTTGGCAGGAAAGGAATAATATTCAAGTCTCCAGTAGCACCAGAAATCGCTGTCCACAGCGCTGCATCACAGTCATAGGGTCCATATCACTACATGACAGTTCATGTTTTGTTTTTATTTTCCTTCCATATATTAATGAACGTGGAACCCTTTTATTCTCTGAATGCCCGTCATAGGAATTAAAGCAGTATATACTAAAATGGGTATGCTAAGTCTTTGTAAAAGAATCCAGACTTTCTGAGAGAAATCTTTTCTCCCAAGACTTTTATCCATGTTCTTGTCAGTTGTGACTTGGGGGTGGTGGATATGGTGGTTAAAATGTGTTTAGGAAATTTAGGAATTAATTGAAGGAGTGACTCCAGAATATGACTGTTTGCCTGCCTGTTCTCTGCATCTTGGTGCACCTTTGCCTGTAAAAAAACATTGCTTGAAGACCGTTCCTTGACCTCGCTGTTCTATTTGAGACACCAAATGAATGTTTTAATATAGCATGGCATAAACGTTAACTTTTGTTTCCTGGGATTTTGTTTATAGTTTTGTATGATTTATAACTTCTTTTTTCCTTACAGGTGGCCATGAGAGCACTAGGGTTTGAACCTAAAAAAGAAGAGATCAAGAAAATGATATCAGATATCGATAAGGAAGGAACCGGAAAAATCAGTTTCAATGACTTCTTGGCGGTGATGACGCAGAAAATGGTATGTGAATGTTAAATATCAAAGCTGAAGCAATTCTGAAAATGGTTGAGTCTCTTTCATCTCCTTTTGGTTTGAGTGAAAGATGAAAGTACTCCCTTAATCTTAACAACTAAATATGTAAAACTTACAATTCTAAGACAGAAAATGCCCTGTCTCATTTTTAAGGTAAGGCTGAAAGAAAGGTGTCATTAAGGTTTCTTTAACAATCAGTTTTGTGTGTGTGTGTCAAAAGAGAAAAATTGTGAAACCAAAGCTTTCAGATGAATGACAGCCTGCAGAAAGCTGTCCGGAGTGTTGATGCATTACGCGGATGACAGATATTTACAGATGAAACCTCTGCTTTTAAGAATCCTAGAAAAACAAATATTTAGCAGAGGTTTATCCTGATACTGAAATCCCAAGGACAGCTGACTGGATAGAGGAAAAAACCTCCCTGAAGCCCTAAGGTTTTTGTTGTTGTCTCTGTCTACCTTCAGCATTTGAATGTGTACTGCTGGGCTTCTTTAAACTTACTCTTAAGAGAGTTTCTCAGTCTTTCTAATGCTTGTATTTTATAACTGCCGTCTTTATTTTGGGTATTATGTACAACATAAACAGTGCTTTTTTTCTTTAAACTTACGCTTCCTTCTCTAAGGCTGAAAAAGATTCCAAAGAGGAGATTCTCAAAGCTTTCAAACTCTTCGATGATGATGAAACTGGCAAAATCTCCTTCAAAAACCTCAAACGTGTAGCCAAGGAGCTGGGCGAAAATCTCACAGATGAAGAGCTGCAGGTTTGTACCTGGTATATGAAACCATATAATACACAAACAGTCGCTGCCAGCCTTTGTGCAACATTTAAAGGTCCAGATTATGTTTTGTCTGTTGAATATGAAGGCAGTCAGAATGTTTATGTAGTACTTTGTTTCATGTTTGCATTAATTTAAAATTTAGGCGAATGGTCATAGCCTAGTTCTCCTGGTTGGAAGACGCTCAAGCATCTCTCTGGTTTGCTAAGCACCAGAGCTAGTGAAAATAGGGAATGGGATTCTGTCTCAGTGGGAAGGAAGCCATTGCGGGGTCAGGAAGTTTTTAGGTCAAGGCAGCAGTCTTTCAGTTTTAGGTGCTGTCCCGTAGAGTCCTGTGGGATCTTTACTCTTAAGCTATCATGGGTAGTTTAAGCTGTTTATTTCTTGAAAGAAATAGAAAAGCTTCTGTCAATTTGGGGTTGGGGAATAGATTCTGAGGCCAAAGATAATTTAAGGAACCACATGTGCTTAACCTGTTTCACAGTAACTGTCACTGTGTCAGGAGAATTCCACTTTTATGGAGTTGAGGTGGTATAAAAGGAACGACTCTGCTCTGAGCATTTGGTTTCTTCCAGCCTAGCTCCTTTAACACAGCATAACTCTACATATTTATATATAAATACAAATTTATGTATGAAAACGTTGTCTAGTTTAAAAAATATTTTGTAGCATGTGAGGTCTGACACTGAACTAACGCTGTCCTTTCCAATACTATTTACTAAGAGTGGCTCTAACTCTGAATTAACCTAATAATTGTGATCCTACTATAATTTGCATCTAATTTCAGAATACAAATATATTTCAGGAAATGATTGATGAAGCTGATAGAGATGGGGATGGGGAAGTGAACGAGCAAGAATTCTTGCGGATCATGAAGAAGACCAGCCTTTACTGAAACTGAATTTTATTTCTTTTTGCACATGTGCGTATGTGTTTGGTAGGTGCCTCTTTTTTTTTTTCCAGCCTTTTATTTCTTTTGAGAGACCAGAAAAATTGGGTCAATACTTTCTTTTAAGCGGATGGTCTTAAATTTGTATTTGTGAACAGTTACCAACTGCTAATCTGTTTACATGTCACAACATAGTTGCTTGGTTTTGCTCCTAAGATGTTTACACTGTTCATGTTGGATACACAAATCACATTTTTCAGTGATAGCATTCAGTTCCGTATCTGACTAAAAACCACATGTCAAATGATTTAGTTGGTACAGAGAAGACTCAAAACCAGAAAGTGTAAAGCTGTAGTTAGCAGCAGTTGAAGTTTCTGGTTTAATGTCTTGGTGTAGGCCCAGTTACAGTGAGCTCTTTATATGACATATTTATGGGGATCAGCTTTTTTTTACTTATGGTGATTATTCCCTCCCCCTTTTTTAGAATGCCCTTTAAACTGAAAAAGTAAGTAAATAGACTGCTGCAACTTAACTTACTGCTATTCAGTTCACATATTTAAAAAAATGTTTTTGCAAAAGAGGAATGTTGCCAATGCTGATGATCTGTATGTTTACAGGAATATTCAGTGGCTGCAAATATAAGATTGTACTTAAAATAAAGTGTCTTATTTTAAGCCATCAGAGTTGTGGAAAGAAATATACAAAACCCCAACTTCACTGGTACAACATTCACTCTGATGTATGGACAAATAACAAAATGATTCTTCAAGGTACTCAAAGAGTTTCAACTTCTTACTCTTCAAATAGGGCCCTAGTTACTAAACGCTTTGCTACAGAGACAAACTACGCTCTGTTCTGTCTTTGAAGAGGCATCTAAGGTAAGAGCATAATTAAAGGATGGTGTTGGAAGAAAACAAAGCTCCCATGCCCTTCTTCTACTTCTGTTTGTTAAAGATACCAGTAACTTCTCTGGTGCCCTTTGTCCTCACTCTCAGACAAGGGAAGGATGGATTCTTTCTCTGTAGAAATGTGAACATCTTTCTGACTCAAAATCCAATTTATTCCTTTGCTTTTCAGTCAGCATCTGCCCTTTTCCAAGTGCTGAACATTCAGCTTACCTCCACAGTTCGTAAATGTAGGGGGAAAAAAAAAATAAGGCTGAACTCAGCACAAAAATAAATGATAATTGAATTTGGCTTCTATCATGTCGATTTCCTTTTTGGCCTTTATTTGTCTTTAAAAAAAAAAATGGTTTATATTGGCATGTGGGAATTGGAGAAAGGGAGGGGATTCTTGCTGTCTCGTCTGCCCCCGTGTGGTGAAGAACAAGACATTCCCAGGAAAACGTCAATGATAAGTGGGACATCAAAAGCTCTGATAATCTAATTTATCAGCTGAGGTCAATCTATCAGCAAGGCTGATGCTGCTTTCTGTGCATTTTCCAGTCCTTTACCCAATTTACCTCAATCTCTCAGTGACCTTCTGTTGCTGCTGCAACAATTTATGGTTTTGTTAAATCCTGAAAGCAGAAACCTGCCTCCTCACCTGAAACTCATTTCTTTTACCTAACAGCTGCAGTGCAATATAGAGCTCCTTGCTGAGGGTTGGGCTCTAACACTTCTCCTCCAAAAAAGCAGATGTGGGTCATTTTCTGTCACCGTTTGCACTTGCCTTGCCCCAAAGCTTCAGCTCTCCAGGCAGGATAGAGGCAGTGGTGTTTTGAAGGCCTCATTACACCTGAATTTTATGCACAGGACAGTAATGGGGACGGGTTTGGTGTTTGTGGGAGTAAACCTGGGGAACAAACAGGGCTTTAAATAAAACAAATCTCAAGAACCAAGCAGCGCCCATCCTTGAGAAGCACGGTTGCCACGGTGCTGGGCGGGGGCCACCCTCAGAAGCCCCTCAGGGGTCTTGGGGTCCCTCCATGGCACCCGGGGAGGCAGCAGCAGGGAGCGGGGCTGCCCCCAGCCCCTCGTTCCCCCTCAGCGACCAGCAGCGGCTGCAGCTGCGGGAGGCCTTCGACTTGTTTGATGCGGACGGCTCGGGGCAGATGGACGTCGGGGACCTGAAGGCAAGGGGCTGGGGGAGACAGGGTGTGGGCAGGGCTGGCTGGCGGCTCCTCGCCACGCTGCCACTGCCCTGAGCCTTATAACCAGTATCACAAAGGGAAAATAATGATTGCTGTGGTCATACTGTGCCTGCAGCGGGAGTTCATAGCAGGCTGCAGAGCCCGTCAGCTGCTGACTGAACTCAGACCAAAGCACTGAGGGTTTGTGTGTGCCTGACCTTGTCTTTTCTTCCCCACCAAATCAGGGAGGAACATCAATTTGCCATGGGACACACAAGTAAAGCTCTCTTGACAGCCCAACACCCCCTGCCCTCTAACAAGGGACACCAAACGTCTTGTGTAGCTGAAGGGCGTTGGGTCTGCTGCTCTCAGGGATGTGTTTGCAGCCTGAGCAACCCTGATCCGCAGCTCGGGTCCCCTCTGGCCGGGAGGAATGACACGCTCGCTTTGTGACTGAGCTTGCACTTGGAACCTGAATTACAGTAGTCAAATAGAAATGACAGGCGGTAAACAGGAATGTTGCAAACAGGGCTAATCATTTACAAGCTCCACCTGTTGTGGAGCTGTTACAGAGCAATTAGTGTTTGCCACCTATTGCTTTTGGACCGCTTACTGTGCTCTCAGACCTCGCTGCTGGAGCTCGGGCTTGTCACGCAGCCAGCAGTGAAGTAAGCGTTGTGCCAACCTTTTAGCCAGGTATTCTTAGGAGGGACTGAAGCCTTCCTTTTCCTTGGCCCTCGCCTGCAGCTCTTCCCTGCTAATTTTCCACAACCCCGTAGTTCTGACATTAGACAGCTCCAGAACACCCTTCCCTAGGGACACAACAGTGGATGAATGGCTCGCTCTGTGCTCTGTACGCCCCTCTCCTGCTCTGCCCCTCACATACCTTGTGCACAGCTCCTTCCCTCTCACGTGGAGATGGGAGTTGCCCCAGCTCGTGTCTGCGCAGAGGTGCTGAGAGCTGGGTTAGTTAGCACAGGTCCTGCCCACTTCTTTTTGTTGCTTCTTGTTTCTGCCCTATGCACAGTTGTCAGAGCAAACTGTGGAAGCAGAGAGGGAATCACATGGGAAAAGTGTTCCAGGTTAAAATAACCATAATACAGAAAAAAATATATATATTCATATGTAAGTAAGTATATATTAATTTCCTGGCACTGTTGGGGTGGAGGGGAATGCAGGGCTTAGTGACAGGGAGCAAAACTGGGCTGATGGAAGTGGTGGAGGGTGTGCATGCAGCAAGCAGGAATTGCTAGCAGAGACTGTGCCTTGAAAAGTCACAACCTGAATCTGGAAGAGTTGAGATAACCTTCACATTCCAAGCAGGGTTATTTTCAGTAGGCTGATTTGAGCAACTCCTTTATCTGCTTGGCTTGATAAACACGTCTTTGGGTTAATAAATTGCAATATAAGGGCAAAAGAGAGTATCTGGAACTGGTCTGGGGGGGGTTTGAAATTTCTTAATTGGGTAAGTTATTAAGGATAGCCTCATGGACGTGTGTAGCTTGTTGCCATGGGCCCAGGTTCACTGCAAAGTCAGAAGACCTGGGGGAGCTCTACTCTGATGTTTGCACAGTGATGAGCTGTTTGTACGGTTATCTTTGCATATGATTTCCAACGTGGCAAAAAGTTTTGTTTTGTTTTGTTTTCCCCTCAATTTGCATGTTGCTTGTTTCAGACATCTTTCCTTCTTTGTCTCTGTTTGATTTGCACACAGACACGGGTCTGTTTTCTCTTTTGGCAGATAACCATGAGGGCCCTGGGCTGCGAACTGAGGAAGGAGGAGATGAGGAAAATTATCTCTCAAGTTGATGAGGAAGGGTCAGGGAAGATAAACTTTGAGTCATTCCTGCAGGTGATGGCTCAGAAAATGGTGTGTGAGCCCAGCTGGTCGCAAAGACTGAAATTCCTCTTGCCTAACTTTACAATGCAGGTACTCGCAGTAGATTGGGTAACTCTGGCTCCCTGCAGGGGAGCATCTGGAGTCTCAGGTGAACTGTTTTAGGTACCTGCCCCGGGGTGAGTTGTCTTTACCCCTCCTGCCTTTTTCTGCGAACTGTAGAGGGCGCAGATCGGCCACTTCAGGTGGAGACGGCTGCATTTCAGCACGTGGGATTTCCATCTGCATTTATAGTCACACAGTTCTTGATCTTCTTAAAATCAAGACAGCAGGGAGCAAATGCCACACCTTGGATGAACATGAAAATTTTGCCATCTGCAGAGAAATCATTCCTCAATGCCCATTGATGTTGTCAGCACCTCCTGCTTGTGGAGTGTCCTCAGAGCTGCTGGTCGATACCAGCCTTTTGCTTCACATCCCCAAAACTGCATCACCCACCTGGGATACCTGTGGCTCAGACCCCTTGGTATCCTCTAATGCCTGGCTGCATGTAGAGGCTGTTCTCAAAGAGCACCAGCGTGCCTGGTTCCGCCTCTCTCATCCTTGTGTTTTCATTGCAAGGCTTTGGGGGGTGCCTGGAGCGCAGCAGGCGTTGCCATTCCTGTGTCCATGCTATCATAGTTGCCAGGGTGTGTATGCCTGGGCTAAGAGCTAAGTGAAGATCCACATTTTCCCCCTAGTAATGCTTTGGAGTTTGGTCAAAGCCCACACCTAACTGCAGGCTTCTGTGTGTAGTGCCTGTGTGTGAGGTGACTAAGGGCAGTCAGAGCCAGCGTAGGCATGGCTTACTTTTAAATAAAATCTAGCTGTAGGCATTGGGTCATTCCTGGCAGCTGTTTCCTCTTCCAGTAGCACTGCTAATCCCTCTCTTCCTGACAAAGCTTTGTCGGGATATTCCAGGCCAAATCTCCATGCTGTTCCGACAAATTTTCTTGGAACTTTTCCTTTAATATACAATAACACCAGCAGAAGAAAAAAAAAAAAAAAAAAAAAACAAAACAAAACAAAACAAAAAAAACAAAAAAAACATAAAACACCAACAAAGGTGAAGCAACAGTGACAGTGATAAATAACCCTCTTCTATGACCCTTTTTTCCCCCAAAATGCTGTCTTGGATTTGATTCTAAATGTTTGCTGTGTAAAGTGTCTGATTGGGGATTGTAGAGCAGTAAGATGTCATGTTTGCGTGATGACATTTTCATTTCCTTGCTAAGGCAGAGCCATATTCAAAAAAGGAGATCCTGAAAGGTTTCAAGCTGTTTGACTGTGATGGCACTGGCAAGATCTCCTTTGAGAAACTCAAGCTGGTGGCTACTGAGGTTGGAGAAGACATCACAGATGAAGAGCTGCAGGTTTGTGAATTACAGACATATTCCTCTTACTTGGGGAGGGAGGGGGATGTCTTACTGGTTGGGGAACTGTGCCGTGTTGCTTTGCAAGGGGCACAAAGTCTGTCTTGCATTACATTAACATGAAGCTTTGCCTGAGACCTTCACTGGTAACATCAGTGGCAAATACCAGGCTCTAGTGGCCTCTCCACCCTCTCAGATCCCACCTAATCTGGTCTCCCAAATCTTTGCTATCCCACAGGTGATGATCGATGAAGCAGATGTGGATGGAGATGGAGAAGTGGATCAACAGGAGTTCCTGCGGATTCTGACGCTGAATGATCTGTAGCTGTGATTTTTTTTTTCTCCCATTCAGCTGTAAGCGACTGGTTGCAATGTGACTCTTCTCCAACTTCATTATTTTTAGTTTGTCGCTTTTTTTGGGTGTGAAAACCTACCAAGATATTGTTAATGTTTCATCTTTGGTGTTGATTCTGCTCCATTACTGCAAGCAGTTTTCCACATGCCAGTAAACAGTGTTGCTACTAACTGTGTGTCTGTGTGGCTTGGTTCTAAAGGTTGAGCTTAATTCACATTCTGCAGCTAGCCCCTGGAGTTCTGTCTGTTGTAATTGCATCCTATAGCTTTTCAGCCTATCTGATAAGTTTGTCAAAACACTCTTAACCTCCGAAAATCCTTCATAACTCTCAGATGTTACCACTTACAGAAGAAACGTCTCTGCCTTTCCTGATCTCCTGCGTTGTGTAAAAGACAAGATTTGAGGTCTTGGGAGCAGTTACTTTCTGTAAGGTAATAAATATCTTAGGCTTTGGGTTTCCCTTCAGAAACAGCAGTAGAGGAGAAGACTGTGCAGCTATGTAGATGTAAGAAGATGTAATGAGGTCAGGTCTCCCATGGATTTGTTCTTCCTTCCTAATGATTTAGGAATGCAGATTTAGACTGAACATTCTTCTGCGGTTGGGATACTCAGCACGGTCCTCTCTGGGGGATTGCTGAAGGACCGAGAGAACTGTGGACTCCTCATGTTAAGCAAACATTCCCTCTTCCTCCTGGCAGCTACTGTCCCGAAACTGGCTGGTCCTTTGAAGAATTTTATACCTTTATTAAATGTTGTGGAAGGTGAGCAGCAGCTTTAAAATGATTGGCAGGAGTAGCAATGGGGAGAAAAATAACACAAAAAAGAGTGATTGGATAAGCTCTGTGTTTTAAGGAAGAGGGGTAAAACTGTCCTATCATGCTACTCTGGGCTTTTGTGTCCCTGCCAAAAGCACCTGAGTCCTTCTTTGCTACTCCACTGCACCATGTGGGCTAATTCCTTCCACTCTGGTCACAGGTGGAGTCTTGAAGGATCTTCCCATGTTGTTGAGAGTACAAAATGCCAGTGTTTTGGAAAGGATATAAAAAGTCTGAAGAGTTTGCTTAGAAGAGCCTCAGAAAATAATTGTTGGCTTAGAAAAAATGTCTTAACACTGAGAGAATTTAACAGCTCAGTCTGTAATGATTATATAATGCTTCATGTAGGATAAGAGCCCATATAAGAAAAACATATCAGCTACCACTAAAAAGCTTTTGAATCTAATGGAGACAAACCCGCATTTTCCTGAAAGTAAGCTCTTCAACTGTGAGAGAAACAAGCCATGGTTTATCTTAAATAACATTGATTAACTGTGGGAATGAGCTATGAAATAGTACAGCAGTATCCTTAAGTCAAAACTGAGCCTTCTCAGCAGGCTTGCTTCAGTAAAATGTGAGTTACTGTGCTCTTTACAGCTCCTGCAGAGCAGTCAGATTACGCAGACAAATGGTTCCTTCTGGCCCTAAAAATCCGTGCCTGGCTTGCTATCTGAACAGCTCAGTGGGATGCTCAGCTATTCTTAGTGCCTTCTGTTTGCCAGACTTCACAACCACCCAACCAGTTTACAGTCTGCCATTCTAGTTTCAGCTAGACTGGTATCTTGTCTGTCCCTGTTGGGATGCAGAATTGTTGCTTCCACATCGTTTCTAAGAATTTTTCTAGAGAATGGGAGAGACTGGAAACTGCAGCCCTAAGTTTCACCCTCAACTCTTTCTGGCTAGGCAACTTCCAAAATACTCCACGCTGCCATACCAGGGTATTGGGTTAATACAAGAGCTTACCCACTTCTTGCTAAACCTTCATGCTAATGTTGGTTTACTTCTGTTTTCATCAACCACTGTCATTCATGCCCAAGTCCTAAAAAAGCAAGTGGAGTTCGTTACTAGTGGCTTCTTTCCATACCATTTTCCCCATTCACTGGCCAACCAGTAACACTAAGAGCAGGTCCCCATAGGAGGGCAAAAATAAAAGCAGAATTCAGCGCATGTAAAATACACCTGTTTTATTCAGTACCAGAATCACGTTCTTTTTGCCACTAATTCATCCATTCTGTGAGGTGGCCGTGTGTAGGGAGAGATGGGTTTATAACAAATCTGGGAAGCAGACCAATTCCTGCTCACGGGTGATACGTCGGGACAGCCACGGCATGGCTGAAATGACCGGGCAACTGCTCAGAACCAGTGACAGTGGCTGCGTGTGACACTCCAGTTACTGCCAGCTCGTGATCAACGCAGTAAGTGGCGTGTCCTTGGCCAAGCATGCCAGCGCTTACATTGCTCCAGTTCTCCCCCCTCAGGGGCTACCAGTGGGCCATGGGGGGAAGAACTCCGAGCAGCAGTTTGCCTCTTGACATGTGGGTATGAAAGGGGAAGTGCAAGGCCTAGCGCCCGCTCTCCAGAGGAGCTGGATTCTGTGGCTTTGTGGCATTCAGGCAAGTCTGACCACTTCTTTCACCATTTTTCCGATACCGTCGTAGATTTCGTGAATGGGGGCGTTGCACATGAAGGCACTGGTGGTCACCAGCTTGTTCTTCGCGTCCACGTGAATTTCAGTGACATGTTTGTTCACGTGCTTGCAGCCAAGTTCCTTCATGGTCTCAGCAGTCTTTGCATAAGGCCATCTAGAAGAAGAAAAGAAAAGAAACCCTGTGCAGAGGAGCTGTCATTGCAGAGAGAGATATGAAAGAGGCCTAGAGTGAAAAGCCTGGTTGTGCCTTGCAGCAACAGTTACTAGGCTGTTACAGAGATAAGATGGTCCCTTCAAAAAGCCTGACTGATAAGTTGTAAATCTTTTCCCATCAGAAGAATTTCTCTAGGACTGTAGAAGCCAGAAAGCCTCCAGATTACAGCGAGTTAAAAATCTGAAGTGAAGCCAACATAAAGCCTTGATGTTCCACTATAGCTGTTCCGCTGCTTAAATGCACACTCTAGACTTTTCCTTTTGGTTTGGTTTCTTCACCAGCTTCCTAGCCTAGTGGTTTCATCATAGTTTCTTCCCTGCTGTTGGAAGAATTTGGTCACAGCTTTCATGGATGAGTCACAGATCATATCCCTACCTCTCATAACACTACCATGTGTTCAGCAGCCATCTTGTTCCTGCCTCGGATCTGCTGAACTTCTAGTCAGTGGTGCTACGTATACTGGGGAGAGACTGCCTTGCTGTGATCTCCGTGGTGTGATTATACATCAGCACCGCACAGTTACTTACTTCTCACACTCTGTGTCGTGACCCACAGTCAGCTCACAACCAGGGAAGATTTTGGCTGCCAGCACTGGGGAGATGCAGCACAGGCCGATGGGCTTTTTGGCAGCATGGAATGCCTTCAGGACATCCTCCACCTCTTTGGATACTGTGCAGTTCTTGCCTTGGGTGGCCCAAGTACTCAGATTTTTAGCCACTCCAAAGCCACCTGAGAAAAAGGAAACAGAAATGTTAGTACTCCAGGGCAGGATTTTTGTCGGATATGCTTTGTAAGAATGCTAAAATGGATTTGCTGGATGGAAATATTTGCCCAATGTTGACAGAAGAAAGCTAAACCATTGTGAGCCACTGAAGATTCTCATTTCCTGACTGCCACGAGACAAGACTCCAAAGCACCACCTCTGCTCCTAAACAGAACTGAACTGGAGAGGTATCAGTGCTGTTTCACCCTGTCATGGTGGGGCACGCTGACAAGCTTTCGCTTGTCTTTTAGTCCTCACTCCAGGCTTCATCAATTCCCACTGAAATCATTTGGTCATACTTTCACCGAAGAATCTTTCAAAAAAAAAGATCAGGCTTTTCCCTTTTGAGTCACCCCCCTCTGTGTCCCACCTTCTGCTTCTCTTCCCCAGAGGGCAGCGTGTCGATGAGGGAGGGACAGCTTGTTTCTGATGGATGTAAGCACAGATGGAAGATGGCCATTCTGCTGGCCCCATCTCTCAGCTTATCCCAGTTTCCTGTCCAGCCCATGGCTCCCATGCCATTCAAGGTTCACGAATATTTAAGCTGCTCCCAAGCCCCCAGGCATGCAGACCCCACGTGCTGTCCTTCCTACCTGGTATTATTAGGGCATCCAGCCCCTTCACGTCCAGCTTAGCCAGGTCCTTGATGTTGCCTCTGGCTATTCTGGCACTTTCAACTAACACATTGCGCTTCTCCTGAGTTGGCTGTCCTCTCACATGGTCCACCACATGCATCTGGTCAACGTTAGGAGCATAAACCTCTGCCTGAGAAGGGAAGGGAAGGTCTGTTATCCTTCAGGCGTGCATCCTAAGCATGCTAAAGACCACAGGTAGCAAATTAAAACGCTTGTGTTTCTTGGATAGGAAAGAACTTTGCTGGAGATTTCAGTGGCCTTCAGGCTCACTTCTATCTGGTAGTGGCAATGGGAAGGTATTGTTATAAAGAGGAAAAAAAAAAAAAGAAAAAAAAAAAAAGCTGTTTTCTAGCTTCTGCACAAACATTTACCCCCACCTTAAAGGAAGGAGGGTATTTGGCAGGGGCTATAGCCCACACTGCTTATTTTGGGGGGGCTGAAGTGGTGGAAAGGGAGCAGAGCAGCCACCCCTTTCCTTCCTAGGAAAACGGGTCATTGCAAGAGCCACGTGTGAATCCCATTTCTTAATTTTCCACCTTCATCCCAAGCAATCACCTTTTGCTGCAGCAGCCCGAGTGCTGCCCGCACACAGCCGGTCATCCCGTATGGGTGCTGAGCACCCAGCACCCTGCAAGCTGCTGTCAAACCACCACCCTCAGACAGGACTTTGAGTTTCTTCTCCCCACCCGCTGGCTTCCCACAGGCAGAGCATTTCCCTCTCAAGAAAGCGTCTCGCCTTCCTTCTGAATTATTTCAAGCTCACGCGCAGAAAGGAAGAGCGGAAGATGGCAAACAGGCGGGTGATGGATTTGGTGGCTGTACACAAAATTTGTTTCCTCAGGCAAGCAGAAGCCAAAATTAAAAGGGTGTGGGGGAAATGATGGCCGAGTTTCCTCCGCTAGAGGTCCCTGCCAATCAAGGGATGAGCTGCAGGGCAGTGCTCTGAGTGTGCCAGCCGAGGGGAAGGCAGGGGGGAGAGCCACGGCAGCTCAGAGGGAAAAGAAGCAAAACTACAGACAGGGGAGAAAAGTTTTGGACAAGTCTTAGCTTTAATCCACGAAGTGAATACGCACTTTGAAGGCTTTGGAATTGGGAGGGAAGGCTCTGCAGCACGTGGAAATCACCACTGCGCCTTCATATTCGGGGGAGCAGCCTGATTTCCAGGAGAAGGGCTCTGACCCACAGCTGTGGGCAGCTCGGAGCCGAGGTTAGCGTTACCCGGGGCTTCTCTCCCTACTCTTTGACTCTCTAAGAGTTGTGGTTGTCACTGATTGCATATTAGAGCTGGTGCTTGAACATTTTTTCCCCTTTCTCCGATCTAACTCACAAGAACTCTATTTTCTGTGTTCATCTCATTTTCCGTTTTAATCCTCAGTGCTCCAAAAGGATGAATTTCAAGCAACCAGAGTCAACAGCAGCCTTTGAAACAGAAATACCAGAGAAGAGAAAGAGGAAGTGCAAGCCAAAAATAGATTCATTTCAGAAAGTTTGTTTCGGAGGTTGTGTAGCTGGCAGAATGGTTGAGCTCTGTGCTCAGCACCCGGGCAATCCTCTCACACAGCGAAGCTGGGAGAGCAGAGCAGAGAGCGGGGCATGGTCCCTGCTTGCTGTGGCAGCCCCGACACCGTGCTGCTTGCTTTGACTCCAGTCATTGACTCTTTGCAATTACCCCAGCAGCAACGGGGAGCTCGTGGTTTGTCGGGCAAGACGCAAAGCTCCTTACAGCAGAGTGCTTCGTGCGAGGGGAGGGCGAATAAAAAGCAGAGCAAGGGCAAAAGGATGGGGCAGGAGCCTGCCAGGTGCCTCTTACCTGTGCCCCCTCCCTGCTGAGGTGCACCAGCACAGCAGAAGACTCATGGATCTCACTCCCGTCGTACACCCCACAGCCAGCAAGCACGACGGCCACCTTTCTTCCCCATGGTCACAGGCAGAGCAGGAGGAGTCCCCAGAGAGTCCCAATTTGCTGTGCATCTCTGTGCCCTGCCTGGAGCCTTTTATAGCATGATCCCTCCCCCAGGAGCAGGTGGGGCCAGGAGGGTTGGGCTGAATTTCTTACTGGCAAGGAGGTTTTATTTCCAGTGCCACGGGCAGGGCATGTAAATATTATTTGTTTCCTCAATTGACTGCTCCCTTGCAGACCTCCTTCCCAGCACGTTGTCTCCAAATCATCCCCAGCCGACGCGACCTGTACAACAGAGCAGCTGTGTTTTTCCTTCTCGGCTGTCGATTTTCCATTCTGTTTCAGACTAAAGCAGCAAATTCTTGTGCATAAGATGGTATCACAGGGAGCCAGCCCACAGCAAGTATTTGAGCCAGTGCAGTTCCTCTCTGTGCTCCATTTTTATACCCTACATTGTACCAGCAGCCTCTGTATTTTAACAGCAAGGTTTCATTTTCTGACTTTAAATGTGCTCAGCCTCCCGTCCCCATCTCTGAAAAGCAGAAGCTTTGTGCCCAGCTTGTTTCCTGGCCTTCAGGTCCTGAGTTAGAAACTGAATAATGTGATTCTTCATTGACAACACCATCTCTCTAAGAACGTGACAACATCATTTACAAGGAAAATGGTTGCAAGAGCTGGCAGACCCCTGACCTCGATAGGGATACCTGCCTGCAAGATTCACAGCATGCGATGGGGAATTTCCCTTGCTCATGTGGAAACCCATCTTCCCTTGTCCTTGATATGCTCATACCTGAGAAGATTATAAACCGTTTTCTTTCAGCTTTGCACTGTTGCAATAAATAGAGCCTCTTAAGGCTATCTTGCCATTCTTTAGAGAACAACAGAATTGAAGCAACTTGGGGGAAGAAAGTTTTTCAGGGATAATTTATAAAAAAAAATTTCTCAGGTCTGTCATATTTGGAAGAGACGTGAAATTTAGCCTGTGTATAATGAAATAGTGTTTTGGCAAGTTCCTTAGTCATAGCAGGCATGAGGAAGGTACTCTTTTCTGATATATGTGACTTCATTTATTACATGCATCTCTTAAAACTGATTAAAAAGCTGATTAAAAAATCAGGTACCACGTACTCACAGCTGCTGACTATACAAACAGGAACAAAAACCACCTGTTTGGTGGGTGGAGAAAGGACTTTTATTATCCAGAATGGGAATTAAACTATGAGATACGTGGAGAAAATCCCCAAAGCCTTTTCCCTGCTGTTTGGTTTCATATCTGAGGTATTCTGAATGTGATTTAGAAATGCATCGTTTCCTCTTACTTGAAAAAATAGCTGAATCATGCTGTGACTTGAACATAGTTCAGTAGTCGAATAGTTTCTTCCTCCTTCAGCTGGTTAGAGACCAGTCCCATCACTGATGGAACAAAGATAGCTAAAGGCTGATATTTAAACAAACTTACATTTTCCTGCAAACCACATCACAGAGCTCTGCATGTTACAAACTGACTGTGTTGGTTCCCCTCACTGAATTCATTGTTTAGGTGTAACCAGGCAAAACAGGGTTGTTCCAGTGCTTCCTCATGTGACCGGGTCTATCTCAACAGACATACCGAGCCTAAAGATCAATCTGCAACAGATGTATTCTTGATAGTTTATACTTTTTGGCTGAGTTTTTTACATTTTGCATGGGAGTACCTCCACACCTCAATACCATGCTTTAATCTGTGTTAATATTCTAACAAAGATGAGTGCGAAGGAACCCTTTTCCCCAAAGCCTCTCCTTCAAGGTTATCCTCCAAAGCAGAGAAGAAACCATGAAGTTTTGGGAGCCAATGCAGGGATCCAGGTGTTCAAGGGAAGCAAAGCACCCCAGTCCGCGTGGCTCAGCAAGCAGGAGGAGCAGCAGTCTTTTGGCATCAGCTGTGGATCCAGTCTGGGACTGTTCTGGATTCCCACCTGATGTGTGACTGATATGATCTCATCACAACCCTGGGCCACTGTCCTCTGCTTTCTGTGGCCTCCTTCATGGGTAAAGACCTTTATGGCCTGATCACGTATTCTCCATGGGTCCTTTATATCACCCTGGGGATACAGCAGCGATTGTGGGAATGACTGGTACTCACTTCACTGCCTGCACAGTTCTCCTGGAAAGCCAGCAAGACTCTTCCAGATTTTAAGCTCACACTCCTCACTCACGAAAGCCACTCAGGAATTAGGAGGAGTTCCCTGGGAGTGTGCGCAGAGAGGCTGGATTAGATAGACATGGAGCGGCGCATGGACAAAAGTCACCTTTAAGGGAATGGCACTGAATATGCCCTGGGCTTGCCCAGCACAGGACGGTGGTGCCAGGCATTCATAGCTGTGACAGGGACAAACAGCAGGACCACGGCTGGTGTGAGGAGAAATAACTGGTCCCTGGGGAGCTCCTGGGCTTGCAAAGAACTTGTTTGCTCCAGCAAGATGGATTCTTTAAAAAACCCTTAATTTTAACCAGTGTAATTTCCGTACTGGCAATAGCAAAAAGGCAGTAATAGTAATAAACCATCAGCGTTATTTTTCAAGTGTCTTTTTTAACAAGGGTTAATCAACAGTAAAATTAACAGGCCCCTGGAGGGAGCTACCAGCAGCCCATTCTGACTCACAGACTGAAATTTATTGCAGCAAGCAACTCATTTGCATTTCCTCCCGCATGCAGAAAGGCACACTAACAGAAGATGTTTGTAGGGAAAAGGGGTGGAGAGCAGGGAGGAACACAGGCCAGTGAAGTTGGTTTGGTTATAAAGAGCTAGGGAGGAAAGAGAGGCAGCATTTCAGCCCGCATCTGGGTCTTCAGCGGACTCTGCGATGGCAGTCAGAAAAGCTGAGTCACTGCATTACTCCATAGGGCTCTTGGGCATTTCCGCAGGTAGGGATCGAGTCTTCTTGGCATGGGAGGATGGGGTTGGGACTAGCTTTCATGGACAACCCCCTTTTTGAAGGGGCTAAAACGTCTGTTTGTTCCGAATCTTCTCCGCTTGGGTAAAACTTTTAGATCCGGAGATCCCTCTGCCTGGTTCAGCAGCCAACAAAATATTTGTCTTGGCTTTAAAACGCTGGCCTGAATTCTTGTACCCAATCCATCTTGAGTGGGAAGCAAATCAAAACTTTTTGATAGTCATTTTCATAAATGATTTTTATTTGGATGCATTTTCCTCTCTTCCTTTTCTCTCTCTGTCTTCCCTGCTGCTCTGTTTTCTGTGTTCACTCCCTTTCTTTTCCTCCTTTGCATTTGATCTTTCTGAGTGCTGCTGCTTTTCAGTTTTAGGCTAGTTTTCTGTAGTTACAAGGCTTATGGGATTGTCTTCAGAGTGTGTGTGCTTGTCTGTCTGCCTTTTGTATAACTGGAATCTGAGATCCATTTTTTACCTTTATCCAACAACGGCGGAGCACTTTCAAACACAAATAAGTTCAAGTTTCTTAAAACTGGGCACCCAGAAAGAGGTGACACAAACCAAGTTACAACACCCTCCCTCTAGATCTCATTATTTGCAGATCTTGCACTGTTATTTTTTTTCTCTTTTCCCTGCTCTTGTCACTCTGGTTCTCTCCTGTTTTTTAGGGGCCCGAGTTTACAAGCTCTTTCTCTTTTCCCCCCTCCCTTGTCACACACAGGATCACTCTTGCTGGCAGTGCATTTCTACAGTATACCCAGAGCAGCCCCCGTGATCCCCAGCACAGCTTTAGGAGTCCTTCTGTTGATTTTATCGTCACTTTTGGCGTATGCAGGTAAGACTCTGAGGGTGGCCAGCTTCAAGGCCTCCCCCTCCTATAGCTTCACAAGTATTTGGTCTGCCTTGCCAACAGGTTTATATGAACTGTGTCAGCTTTGCCAGACCACTGATCCATTCTGCTTGGGGAATCAACACACACACATTTTTCACAATCATTTTTTTCAACCAGCACATCACATTTTTCCTGTATAAGTAACCAAAGAAATAAATGTTAGTTTTGAGCAAATGCTCCATCACAATCTTTGAGAGTTTTAACATTTTTATTTTTTATAACATTTTATTTTTTAAATATACTCTCTCTGTATATAAGAGAGTGAATATACTCTAAATGAGAGTGAATTTCTCTAAAAACTGTCCCCAAGCTTTCTTAAATTAGTTTAGGCATCCATGGTTTGAAATGGCTTGTCAATATGTGAGGCTAAGAGGAAAAATCTCTTATTATAACAAAGTCCATGCTCTTTAGAATGAATGCTGAACTTATTTCTCCTTTTTTAACTTGGAGCAGTGAGAACACGAATATCCCAGGTTGGAAGCTGGTATTTTTTCCACTACAAATCAGACAGCCTGGGAGAGGCACAAATACTTGTGAGTTCACACAGTTCTGAGGGAGTCTTTATAGTCATGTCTACACTGTGTAACGGGGCACCGTGCGGACTGACCCAAGCTCATTTTAGCTCTGTCTGAAATCATGCAGGACCTGTGCAGCCACATGCTTGTGTTGTAATCATGGTTCCAAGACACCATGTGCTTGCTGTAGCACAGCTGCCTATCATAAGCGTGGCTTTCCATAACTCTGTCAAAATCACAGTTCTGCCTGTATTCCCCTTTGTTTCGTAGGAATTCGGAGAAGCCAAAGAGATGCGTCCCTGTTCTTGTCCCTCTGCCTGACCATCTCAGTGTTCTGGTGCGGCTACGGAGTGGTCTTCATCCTGGAAGGGCAAGGAGTTTTGAATGACACCAGTGATTTCCGCAATGCCTTGGTGCCTGGCCTGGTCACCTTTACTTTGGCACTACTCATTGTCGCCGTGGTGGGCTTCCTTAGCAGAGAGCTCATCCTAGCTCTGATTGCTTCTGCTGTCTCGCTCGCCAGTGCTCATGAAGTTGCCATGCACTACAGCACGTCTTTTGGTTCCTCTGCCGTGGCTTGCAATTATATGATTGTCTGCTTGGTTGGCGGCTATTTTGCTCTGGGAAGGATTGTTTATTTCCTCTCCAAAGAGAAAATTGCCCTCCCTGGCACAGATCTGGCCAAGAATAAGGCCCACGAGCAGCTCCAGCCCACCAGTGGTAGCGTGAATCATTTTGCGGTTTTCGGTGTGATCCTGAACCTGCTGTCTGCCAGTGTCTTTGGCTGCAGGCTCCTGGGCGTCACTAGCAAACTTTTTATTGGACAAGTGCCCTGGTTGTGGGCAGCTGGGGTCTACCAGATTGGAGTCTGCGTTTTGTCATACCGTGCAATGGATGTACTAATGGCTACCTTCTTTGGTTTCACTTCCATCCTGAAATTTGCAGGAGGCTATTGCCTTCTGTACCCAGTCTGGCAAACAGAGGAACCGTCCTTCCCTACCCCATTCCTCGTGGTTTTTTCAATTCTTTTTGCTGTCTTGGCCCTTTTCCTCACTCTTAAGAGCCTGGCGGATGGCCTGTACTTGCTGTTTTATGTGGCCTACTGCATTGCATTAGCTTGCCGTCCCAAGGGGTTTTTCGAAGGCGGACCCCAAGGTGTGGATGTGGCCATCTTTGTGGCCTCAGCCGTGATGGCTCTGATTCACCTGTACAACGTGAAAGCAGGCACCAAAATCCCAATAGGGCAGGGTGTTGTGAAGGCCCTGCTGGCTCGCAGCAGTTTCCTGAAGCTTCGTGAAGGGGCAGACCTTCACGCTCCCTACCTCGGGTACTCCAAGTACGCCGACGCAGAAGTACTTGGCTATGCATGCAGCGTCCTTGCTTCTTTTGCTATTACAGTGACAGGGGACCCACAGGCTCCGCTCGCTACTGTTGTAATCCCGTGGGTGGTGGTAGCTGGTGGGATCCTTAAGTTTCTAGGCGGCTCAGTGGCCTTTGCCCGGGGTAAAACCCTGGAGAGCAGTGCCTTCATTCTCTATGCCGTCATGTGGATCATTTGGGGCTTGGCAAGGTACGGTGGCCTCTACGGCACGACCAGAAGCTTCCACACAGCAGTAGGCATCATTGCCTTCATGCTTTTCAATGGCTTCATTGTCTTCTGCACGCTGTTCTTAAACATCACCTGGTTCTTTTACTCCCTCACCTTCTTGCTCATTGCTGTCAGCTTCCTGCTGGATGCCGTGGGTGCTCTTCCAGTCGGCTATGACATTGCTGCTACCGTCATCTTTGGGCTGGTCAGCTTTTACTGCTTCCTCTCCGCGCTTTGCAGCAGCGTCTTTGAGGGTTCCTGCTTACCGATGGGTAGGCCCCTCGTGCAGCTCAGTGGTGTGGGGGGAGGAATGACCAAGTGCCTTCACCTGCCTGCCAGGAAAGCTTCCTCAGTCAAGAGAATTGCAGGTAAGGGAAATGTATAGGGGATAATGCGGGGTGGAGGGGTAATTCTGGGAGATGTTGTAGCAGAACAGTGTTGAAAGGATGTTTTTCCAAGCCAGATGTGCAGATCACAATAACCTGATTGCAGTTTTGACCAAGTGGGCCAGGTTACAAACGTCTTTTGGAGCTGAACACACTGTGTGGGAAATAGAAGCGGTTCCTCAGTTTAGCAGTGATTTTGCTGCTGTCTGTCTTGTATCATATCCCTGTCTGCTCATCCAATATGTGATACACAAATCCTCCAGGCTAGTGCTGACAGACAGTTTTGTACAGAGAAAGCAAGGTGCTTGCTATTCCCACAGGGCTGAATGACTTCTGGCCCAAATGAACGTGGCTCAGATCTCCCCTAAATACCAGACCTCTTCTTGGATGAATGCTAGAAAATGCACTGTCAGAGGGAATACTGTGTTAGTTGGGAAAAGGAGATATGAGAGCACTGAATTGGCTGTTTTGTCTGTGACAGCTCTTCCGTGAATTACAGCCCCTCAGTTCTAGTCACTGAAGGGATTCTGCCCTGTTCACATGTCAACAGATATCCTGAAGAGCGGAGGGACTTGTGGCATCCCCACAGATACTGTATATGTGCTTGTGGCAGCCTGTAATCGGCCTGATGCTGTGGAGAAAGCTCACCGGTAAGTGTTTGTCTCGCTGCCCCACTGAAGGTTTCCCTGGCTAGTCTGAGGAGGCCACGAGGACACACAGCTGATAGTGAGTCCTGGCTACAGCAGCCCCCCAGAGCCAGGAGACACATAGCTTAGCCTTCCTAGGAACAATAAGGATGACAAGCTTGGGGAGAAGATCCAAATGAGAAATGGAAACAGTTGAGCTGGAATTTTCTTACAACAAACTAATGGGACAGGGGATAGAGCCGGATATCACAAGGAAACTCAAAGACCAAGAAATGTCAAAACAGGGCACCCCTTCTCTATATTTGTAGATACATGTTGTCACAACCAAAATCCCTCTTTTATTTAACAAATGTCTCTAGTTGTACTTTTTTAAGCAGCTGGGACCCCTCAGAACTTAGGCAACTGTGTCTTTTACCCATTACAACACAAGAAGCTAAGACCATGATTTGTAATTTATGATCAGGAGCAGTCATTCACATCTCTTCCTTTCACACAGAATTTCTAGGTTGGAAGAGACCTCAAGATCATCGAGTCCAACCTCTAACCTAACACTAACAGTCCCCACTAAACCATATCCCTAAGCTTTCAGGTCAACCATTGAACCATCCTACTTTTATTACAGATGGCTGACCTGTAGCAGAGCCCACACCCTTTGTCTAACTCTAGGCGTCTCCAACACAATTTCTTTTTGAGCTTGAAAATAAAGTGTAGCTTACTTCCAAACTCATTTTTCTTGCCCCCTTTACAGCTCCAAACGCCAGGCTCAGGAGCGCCCCATGTCCCTCTGGATTTCTAGCCTGAAGCAACTGGAACCTGCAAAGCATTTGTTCAGCCCCCTCCTCTGGGACTTCATGGAAGCTGCCTGGCCATCTCCTATTAGCTTGGTGGTTCCCAGAGGTGAGGAAAAGCTGTTAGTTTCAAGCTCTCTGGAGAGCACTGGCTTTGGAACTCCAACTTCAAGTCATGCTTTCCTGCAATGCCACGAGCTCGGTGGCAATACCTGTGGTAAGACCATCGCGTGAGGACAGACGTACATCTGTAAGTGCTGTGCCACTCTTCCTTGTGCAGGTGCATGGGTGGACTTCCTGGGGATGAAGGACTCTGCTAAATACGTCGGTACCCCTCAGAGCATTGCCATCCGCATCCCCGATTGCTCCGTCACCACACACCTCATCGACCTGGTGAGTGGGCAGGGCGCACTCATCCCAGCACCTGCTGGCAAGTGTGGGCTGCCCTTTGAATGCACAGGGAGCAGACGTGGGGTCAGCCACCAGCACCCAGCTCTTCTGGGCTGCTGCAGGGGTCAAGGACAGAGAGACTGCAGCACTCGGCTCACTCTCCTGCTGGGTGTTGGCACATCACCTCTCTTCACCTTTTTTTTTCTCAGAGCAGTGAGGATGATAGCATGTTCAGAGTGGTTTCTGGGGAGTGAAGAGAGCTATACTGAGTAACTCCCACAAGAACAATATCATTAAGGAAGAGGGATGAGTTATGCAGACAGCTGGTAGCTGATTTTACTGCAGAAGAGAGGCTAAAAGCAAGAAAACAGACCACCAGATCAGAATGCCAGAAGAGATATAATTAACAGACACATTGTCTGATTTCCTGCCTTGAACATTTTTGTTGCAAGCACAGGCTTGTTTGAAGCCAGAATAACTTGGGAGGGTCCCAAACATAGAACAACATCAGTTACAGCCTGGACTATGTTCTGAGCATCCCTGCTTCATGACTTTACCCAGGCAGAAGCTGCTGAGCTAACAACCTGGGAGAACATGTCTGTGTGTTGCTATAATGCTGGGGTGAGCACATCAACATTTCGGGTGCCCAGACACGTGGGATTAGAGCCTGTCCTATCCTGCTATAGCTTCAAGGTTATTACAGCGCTGTGGGACAGATGCTGGCTTGTCTGTATGGGTCTCTGATCCCTGCTTGGGAGAAAGCTGCTTCTGCAGCGTGCTGCATGACCTCTTCTTGGCAGCAGCAGCAGCAAGCGAATGCACGATCAGCTGCAACCTACTGGCATAAAACCTGCAGAGAAAGCATGGTAGGAAACTTTCTGCTGCAGTGCTGAGCGCTGCCCCCGGGCTACATTGACACAGCTCTGGATGAGAGCATGTTGCTGCTGCTGCCTGGTGTGCTGAGAGGCAGTTTTCTTCCACAGTCTTGCCTTTAAAATGCTGATCTCTGGCTTGGCCAGTGGCAACCGTGCTCTGGGTGGAAGGAATTGCACTGATAGTCTGCTATTCCCACCTGCAGGAGCTATAGGAGGTGTATTACAAAGAACAGTGGATACAGCCCCATAACCTTGCTAGTAAATTCACCTTGAATGAAGGAATTGCCGTCCCTTGCACAGCTCAAATCCACGGTTAATCGCTGTATTTCTGGGCTTTGCCAGAGAAACTGTGACACCCTGCCTGTTCTGCTCCCTGCTGCGCTTCTAGGACAGGGATTGTACCTTTTAGGCAATTGCTATTGCTTGAAAATAGAATGTTCTTTCCTGATTCAACATCAGGAAACCCCAAATCAGCAGGGTCTTAGTCACTCACGCAGTTTTGGAGGGATTTGTCTCTTCCAACTTTAGTTGCCTACGCAGAAGGGGTGTTTACCTGGGAGAGTCACACTGAGCTCTTTATAGAGTCACGGGGATTCAGCCAGGGAACTTCACATTTCAGCTCCTCTGTTTTGTACCACAAAACATGCTCAGGGCTCTTGTTTCCATCTTCCTGCCACCAGGTTGGCCCCATTGTGGTCACGTCAGCTAACCCGACAGGAGAGGCAGACACAACACACCACAACCAAGTGTACGCCAAGCTGGGAGATAAGGTAATGGAGGCTCTTGCGTATTTTCAGCCCAGTAGGTCCCCAAAGATACAGGGACGGGAGAACACACTCATTCTGTTCCCAGTAGGCAAGTCAACAGATGATACCAAGAATATGGGAGAGCAGTGTAATTAAAAAGATGTCATTGTCACTCATGTTGGTGCTAGACTGAAAGAACAGCATAAAATTAGAAACTTTTATGGAAAACCAAAATGCTTCTATTTGCTACAGCATAGTTAGGGCTTGGCAACGTGAGTTAGTTCATCTTCCAACACAGGATGTTATGAGCAATAAAAAAAGATGCTTCTTTGTGTACAAGCAATAAAACAACCGATGCCTGAATGCGTCAGGACTCCAGCTACCATTGGAGATTCCCATCTAAAGCTGAAGCTGGTCTAAAACTGGCACCAGAGCTTTAAAACATTTCTGGCTTTTAGGCCTTTTGTAAGTTCTGGAAGTACAATAGTCATGGCCATTCAAACAGGAAGGATCGGAGCTGACTTTAACAGCTGCCTGCTGTTGAGATGTTGAGAGGGGGAAGCTGCCATCTCTCAGCCTATGTGCCTGAGCTTGCTGTGAAATTTTGCTGCCCTTCAGGTGGATGCAGTTCTTTGCGATGGTCCTTCTCCAGAGAATATTGCCTCTACTGTTGTGGACTGTACCAAAATTGACAGTGGAAATATAGGATTCTTCAGAGTTGGTATCATCCCCAAGTCTCAGGTAAAATTAATCCTGATGTGATTTCTGCTCTCTTTTTCTCTCTGCTTTGCACATCTCCATTAAGCGGCTTTCAGACTGGGAGTTCCCTGGTTCCATAAAGAAATCTGTGATAGCACGAGGAGTTATCATAGTCTGGTATGAAAGAGCAGAAAAACAGAGCTCCACTGCTTACCTGTGTCCTGGTCCTGCAACCATCAGCTGCACCTCTCTGTGCTTGGAGAACATCTTCCATGCAATGTCAGACTGATTCATTCAGGGAAAGAGCTCTGAGATCCAAGGTCTCTGTGCAGCAGGCTCCCCCTTTACACCTATCCCCAAGACCTTTGAATAGGCAGTGTAACCCCAAAGATATGCCCAAACAAGCAGCTTGAAAAAGAACAGGGCATATTTAAATACCTGGAGAATAAATTAGTAACCTGCTTACAGCTGTGTTTGTTAATTCCAGGTGCTGCAGATACTGGAGCAGGTGCAGAAGAAACACTCACCGGTTCCTAGCAGTGGTACCGGGACCCCAAAAAGCCAGGAAGAACACCCAAACCACAGCCACGCCGTGCGAAATGGGGTGGGCACGGCTGCCCCGGTGCACTCCGCTGGTGGGAACCACACTCGTCTCTGACTCCATGCAGGTCAAGCAGCTGCATGCTCACGAGGGAGGTGTTTGCTGGAAAATGGTGTAGAGGTGAAACTGGGGAATGGGAGAGGTTTCCCAGCTTCAGGGGTGACTTGTTCACCTTTGGGTGCAGCGCGGAGCTGACTTATAAACTACATTCGCTCAGTTTGTAGAAGTAAAATTTTCACTTATGGAAACTGCCAGCTTTCACTGGCATGACAAAGCGTTACATCAGTGACTGGCCCCAAAGTAATGGAGCTTTTTTTTCTTTTCACTAGGAGTTAAGGCCTTCTGATTGGGGCAGAGAATATCTTGAAGTACTGCACAATTATATGTTAGGGAATAAACACTGCATGCAACTAGAAACACGTGAGGGAGAAGGGAAGGTGTATTCAGGTCACATGTTGGTGCATACAGGGAACTTCTTAAACATAGATGAAGCCTTGGGAGCTGGGGCTGTCTTTGGTGTATCTTCTCCAGGTAGAGGTCACGGAGACCAACACAAACCACAAGTGCTGTTATCTGAGGTGCCATTTTCTGTATTTCACAGTCAGTGTGAGGGTGGGATTACCATTTTGATGACTCCAATAGTGTCTCCTTAGAAGTGCTGGAGCATTATGGAAGATCCTCCCTTCTCGTTTTATCTTCTGCAGAGTATGAATTTCAGAAGAACCGTATGCACTGCGTTTGAAGATGCTAGAAGCTGGTCTATTGCCTTTTAGCATAACTGAACATACTTCACGGTACATTTCCTCCAGAGTGCAGACTTTGTACAAGAGTGGTAACTGACCTGGAGGAAGTAACAGGAAGTTTCAAACCAACACGAAGAGTTTTCTTTGGCAAAATCTGCCTGGCCATGCAGTTAGTGGCTTGTTTAGCCTCTGAAAACTGTTGATATTACTCTTACCTGACTCAGGTGCAAGGTGCTGATCAAACTGCAGCTGAAACCAATGAATAATCTTATTGATTTCACCTGAAGTGCTATTGGAACTTGAGCATAAATGCTGTGCAGTCAGAGAAGCTAAACCTCTGTGAACTGTGGCAAACCCGTGCCTTCTCAGCTTGTTCTTTACAGAACTGGCTCTCTTCCTGCAGAGAAAGAAAATATCAGATAATTGAGTTTGTGAACTCATTTTGCCAGTCCACTTACTGTATCTCTTTGGTGTTTATTAAAACTGACTTACAGAAATCAATAAAATATTTTCAATAAACTGTCATATGTCACACAGGACTGTGCTACCAACTGTGGCAAGAACATGGAAAGAACTTTGCAGGTCATGGTTTTATGGATTTCAGCATTTTGGGGTTTCTTATCTGTGCACAAATGATCTTACAAGTGAATGAAATCGCAGCATTTTCTAGTGGGGGAGAGAAGGGGGAAAGGGAGAATAATACCTAACATCAACCCCCTGGTGCCACCTTCCTTGCTGAGAAGTGCTAATGAGTTCATAAACACCAAGGCTGAATTTGGTTCCTTTCCTAAACCAACTTTTAAAAAAATTTTCCACCAAGATCTGAGGGAGCATGGTAAGGAGTATTAATCTGGAAAGGAGCATTACAAAGCCTTTTGCCTTGGAAAACAGCCCTGTCTTAAATATGCTATGGATGCTGCATGCAATGGTACCTTCAGACCAAGTTAGGTGATCTTTAAGGTCCCCCCCCTCCCAAAACATTCTATGATTTTAGTGTGCCAGAGATTAAGAGCAGTTTAAGGAGTTGAATTCTTCACAAGATGCCTTGCCTGGATCCATTTTTTCCTCCTTCAGTCTTTCTCTGTGGTGCCTGTTTCTTACAGTAATTGTTGATGCCAGTATCAGGATGCTGGGAGAACAAGGCAGGGGACCACTTCAGGTGCAAGACAGGGAAAGACTTCAGTTAAGTTCAGTCCTTTCTTCACCCCACCCACATCTCTCCTGTGTCCAAGCAAACTGGAAAGAAATAACTTAGGGAGGAGGAGACTTAGACAGAATGTTTCGGTTAAATCAAGGCAAAATAATTTGTAATATTTCCAGTTTTCCCAGCATTCAAGGTGAAGCAGAACATTTTTAAAGAAAAGTAGAGAGAGAAAAAAAGCCTCTGTTACAAGAAGCAAATCCAAAATACTCCCATCAGAACGATTTGGTCTCTCTCAAAAATTTGCTGAAAAATCATAGATCAAATCCATGCTGAGATGAAGAATTTGAATTGAAGAATTACAAGAATTTGTAAAATACTTTGCATTGCTAAAAATGTAGGTTTGTGTCAAACGTTGTTTCCCAGCCCTCTTCAGAGGAGATTTTAAGTGTGCCCTTCTGGTGCTGTTCCTCTCCCATCTTGCTCGATGTGAAGGATTGGTGCTTTGCTGTGTGACAGACGAGGGATAGGAAGGGATTTGGGGTCCCCAAACCTCCATCAAAGAAGGAAGTCAAGAGATTTCTGAGAAGGGCCAATTTTGGTTTCATTGTCAATGACTCTGAAGGCTTTAGGCCTGAAAGGTCTGTCTGGGAGACAAAATAACCTGATGAATGGACCTCTTTGTGAAATAGCCAACGCTTTAATCCCACTGGGGTTGGAAGCAACCCAGGAAGAAGGGCTGTCCCTCCTTGATTTTGCCCTTTGTGCAGTCCAGACATCCATGTCAATGGAAAATAAAAAAGAATGGAAAATAAAGAAGGGCATTTTCCTGTCGCAGGAAGAAAACAGCTCACCCTTCTGAGAATAGAGCTGTGCCATAGGGACAGGAACTGACTCAATGGCATCTTCATGAGGGTGCGTGTTGGTATAGTGGGTGGACCTGATACTGCAGCGGTTCAGGGAGGAAGGGTGGCATCACAACCACCTCTTGAGTGAAACCAGCCGACCAGAAGGCTTCACACATGGGCAGAGCCTGGAATGTCCTGACAGCCTCCAGCTTAAGGAAACACCAAGACCGGGAGCTCTGTAGGGACACGGTCCTCATCTGTTTGGCTCTTGCTCTTCATATACAAAAGTCAACGTCTGCCTATAGCCTGGGATGGGACATCAGCTGGGAGAAAAGGCAGAAGGAAAGTCCTCCTTATCGGGTGATAATCAGTCACATCAAAACCCTCAGGTCTCCTTGGCATTACTGAGGCACTGTCTGAAAACACCCCCGCAACGATTTTATGTCCTACTCACCTTGCTGCATTCTTCCTGGTACTCCGCCCTATAACATCAAGTGCCTGGGGTTATTACTACAAAATGACTAGATAATCTGGTTTGTCTCTTTTTGGAGAAATACTAAGGACAACAAAGAAACAGCATATTTCAAAACCCAGGCCAGGTCTTCAGCTGCTCCAGCTTGGATTTCTGTCTGTGATGGCTGTGTGTGTTGTGCTGCCCCGCCAAGAACAGGACAACCTCTGATGGTCTAGAGCCATCTGGGCATCCCCAGCATTCGTGCCAGCTGCAGTAATGAATTTATGGAGCAGCTTGGTGCCAAGGCTCAGAAGAAGGCAGAACAGATAGCTGGGTGACAGCAGTAACCGGCTGTGTGAAAAATCTTGTGGGGAAAAAACAGCCATCTGGAAACTGGGCTTCTGGAGTCAGAGGAAAGAACCAACTGGACTCACTTCTAGCTGTGACCCTGATATTCCTCCCTTCTGCCCCAGCTAGAAGTGTTTCTGATGGCACCAACACTTTCACCTCCTCCTTATGCACTGCGCTGTCAGACCTGGGGCTGAGGCTCTGCAGCAGCAGCAGTTTTGGGGCAGGGACCTGCGAGTTTATCACATAGGTGTATTTCCCTGCTCTGTGTCCATGGGTGCTGGCATCTCGCTGCCAAAGGGACTCAGGAGATAGCCAACCATACACCTGAGGGCTGGTGGCCAGCTTGGTGGCTCCAGGCTGTGACCTCCAATGGAGGTCCTGTGCCTCCAGCTCCTTCGGTGTAGGTTCCTCATTCAGATCCAGCAGGTGTTGCTGGGCTGTGAAGGGACACGAAGCCAGCCAGCATCCAGCCTTCTGCCCCAGTTCCCATCCTGGTGCTCACGGGATCCGACAGCAGCACGGTCATGGGGCTTCAGCTTCCCAGCCCCCTGGGCTGGATGGAGCAAGGCCATACCAGGGGTGGTGCTGGGGGGCAGGATGGGGAGCTCCGTCCTGCACAGCCAGTTCAGCACGGCCCCTGCACCTGGCCAGGGCTCAGCAGCCCCAATAAATTCCTCAGCACCCACTGGTAGCCCAGCAGCCTTCCCTGTGACCTGTCAGCGGGTTCACTCCCAGCATTCGTGCTCCTTTTTGCTGAAGTCCTGGCAGATGCACGGACAAGTTTGTCCCCATTACAGGTGCCACCATCACCTTGTGCAGGCAGACTACACCCTAAAATAGCAGGAAGTGCCCAAATTCCCTTTCGGTGCACTGTTCTGTGGAATGGGTGAGTTCCTGCCTCCTCTGCCCTGACCTTATCTCCTCAAAATTCCCCTGAACCTGATAACTGCCTTTGGCATCCTTTCGCATGCAGCCTTGCGAAGGACCGTGCCTTCCCACACCAGGTTATCAGATCTTGCATGACCCAGAGCCTGCCACGGCCCCCGTCCCCCTTCCTATCACCCCCTGCAATTGCTCCAGGCCCTCCTTGCCTGCAGCTGCCAGCAGCTGTGTTCACCCGCAGATTAAACCAAGTCCAAATTGCTAACGCAAGAGCCTTTTGTGGAGCAGAAAAGGTGGAGGAGGAAGAAGTGGAGGTGTAAGGATCAAGTGGACACGGCAGCCAAATGCCCAAAGACCAAGTCCCACAGGCAGCAATGTCCCAGTGGACATGGGGACACAAGATGTGGGCTCGACTCTCCTAGGCCACAGGAGCTGAGGTGGGGTTTCTGCAGACATCCAGAACCACTGCTCGTGTTACCTGCTCCATCTCACTTCCTAGTCCCGAGAAGACATGACAAAGAGTGGGCCAAAAGGAAGCTGAAGCCCCCGCGTCCATCCCTCTTCTGACATGAAGCGAGGCAGCTTTGAGGTGCGCTGTAACTGAAGAGTGGCCTTAGACAGCAGCTGCTGGATCCATTGAACCTTTTGGATCCTTTGAGCTCGCCTTGTCTGTGATGCCGCAGGTTTTGGTGACTTTCTGAGCTTTTTGGAAGTGCTTTGTCCGAACCAGTACAACTCATCCCGTGTATGGAGGCAACGAGCCTTACCGCTTCTCTAGGGGAAAGGTAACAGACAGTGGTGCGTGTGTGGGCACAAAAAAACCCAAGAGAGCTATGTTTTTCCTGGTACTCCACGTGAAATTATATCCAGAACGTTTCCTGATAAAATGCATAGTCACAGGCCTATCAAATGCTTCTAAATGCTTCTTCCTGGTTCATAAAAATGTTTGAGTGATAACATGAAATGATCAAATGGTGAAAAAACAAAAAGCGAAAACCACAAGATGAAGAAGGAAGGAAAAGAGTGGGGACTGAGCAGAACTGAAACCAGACAGGACAACTTAGTACACAGGTCAGCTCCGGGAATGAAGGAACCAACTCATGGGTCACAGCGTCCTCCCCACCTCCCTCAGAGGACGGTGGCTTCATCAGGCTTCAGCACCTGGGCTGGAACAGAGACGTGATGCCCTTCACCACCAGTGACATTTAGTGCAGTTTGCTTCCTTGATGATGTGAGCTGACTTTCAGTTTGGCAAAAATATTTTCCACCATGTTTCTTTTAATAAAACCTGGGCGGACTTTCTGCTCCTTGCCTAAAACTTCCACTCCTGTGCCTGTCTCTACATCTCTTTCCCTCTCTTGCCTCAACACACATACACGTGGGCTGCTCTTCGCTGCCAGAACTGGTGTCCTGGCCTTGAAAACCATTTTGCTAGGGCTCAGCTAACTGCTGAGCAAACACTAGGGTGAGAAGTGGGGCAGAATGAAGAGACCCATCTCTCCATTGGGGCAAACATGACACGGTTTACATCCAGTACCCCTGGCTCAGCTGGAAACCGAAGGCCTTGTTGCTCATTGCCAGCTCCCAAGTGGAAATGAGCCTTCAGCAATATAGAGCATCTCATAATGGAAAACACAGCGAGAGGCATTAAACATTAGCAATGGCCTTAATGAAAGGACCCTGTGTTTAGAGAGCCTGAATAAAGGAATTGACAGCTCCCGTTGTTGATCTAAGGGCGGTGTATTTGTTTCCCTCTAACCGTGTAGAAATGTTGGCAGGAGTGCTCCAGGCTTGGGGAGTTTGCTTTGAGTCCCTGAGAAGAATTGTGGGCACACAACCACACAACAGTTGCTGCCACTCGCCAGGTCCTTGTGCCAAATTTATGGGAAACAAAGACTGGGTACATGCATGGAGTCGGGACATGCTGCGGCTCAGTCACCTGGGTTGCTTACTAAAAGCCATTTTCCAGGCTGACTTGTCATGGTAGCTGCTCAGAGCACAGTGAGAAATTCAGTTTTATGTTTGGGTAAAGTGGCAGAGTAGACAACCAGATGCGTTAACCCAAGTCATGAAAAGCTTAATCATGATGATAATATAACGGGGATTTTCCCCCATCTGTTTTGATAAAGAAACACTGCTCCTATATTTAGCAGCACCAGGACAACACTGAGAAATCAACGTATTTCCTCGTTTGCTGCAGAGATAACCACGCTTATTCCCAGCACAAACTCATCAAAGACGGAAGAGATTGTGCAGGATATTGTGCTGAAAACATTGCTTTCTGTTGTGCCTTAAGTGATACTGGAAAACAGGTACGGTGCAAACACCTCTTTACCCTAAGTTCTCCTGAGTCAACAGACTACTTCTGAGAATGTGACTGTCAGGATAAACCCCGAGTCTGGTGAAGTATTTTCTTCTGTAACTTCATTTGTTTGCTTCCTTATTTAGAAAGCAATAAAAACCAATACATAGAAATTTCCTTGTCTTTACATTTATAACTTTCACAGTACAGTGCCATTTATTGATTACATTCTTGTCTGATGAGAAGCAATCATTTGGTTTTGCATGCTTCAAGTGAAATTCCACTGAAGTATCGTTTCCAATGAAATACTACTGAATTTCTCCCTGAAACAAAGCCAGGGCAAGTTTCCCCAGCATAGACACATAAATGAAGTAGTATTTGAGAAAATAGATACTTTTTGATTCCTCTATAGCTGGTGCAGGCACTTTGGGCATCTCCAAAGTGTGACTGGGAGAGGAAATACTGAAGTCTTCAGTAGGTTTATGCCCCATGAGATGGAAAGAGGCGTCTAGTTGGTATGAGGTAAACTCAGTTCATGTTCCAAACTCAAGCCACCATTAGGCATGTGGGTTTCAGGCTAGACCATTTCTGTATGGACCTAAACACAACCTAAAGTCTAGTCCTGCCTTAAGTCCCACAATGAGCTTGTCCCAGAGATCTGAACCTCTCTGGTGGATTTCGAAGGGTTAAGTGTTATTTTGAGGGGAAAGCAACCCAAATAAATAAGGAATTTTTTAAGAGCCTTTCATCATGGATCTTTGCAACACTTTTGCCATCTTTGTCTGCCGTCAGTAAAAAGCATGCCCCTGCGGTTTTCTTACCTTACCCCATTTATAACCTAGACCGTCGATTTGCCCATCACCCTGAAGTTGCGAAACAGTTCCTATTTTAAGGAATTTTCCCACCACTACAATGCTGTCAGGTGCTTTTCTCAAGGGCTGAGACATTCCAGTCTTGATTTACCTGCCAGATAGCAGCAGTGCAAGGCAAGAGCTGCTACTGCGACCGAAAAAATGTTCACATATAACGTCCCAGAAAACCACTGGCAAAACGTTGCCTCGATTTACCAAATCCTGGGCTGTCTGTTGCACTGATGACAGCAGCTGAGGAACCACACATCCTTCCCATGAGCTGAAATGCTGCGGGCACTCTCGGTCCTGTGCCACCAGTATGGTGAGAGTCTAATGTGGACATGACAGAGGTGACAAGCCAAGAAGGGACCCGTTTGTTGTTGTTGTTGTTCCAGAGATTTATAGCCCATGTTGAAAACTTCCTTTGCTTGGAAAGGTCAAGTAGTTTTTTCAAGCATTAAGACATGAGAGAAACCCCGTGTTGTGGGACTTCACCGCATGCTTGAAGTTAAGCCTCTGCTGGATGGTGGTGGACCTCAGCTGGCACTTAACTTCATTTATTCAGTGATTTGAAGTGCTGGAGCTTGCAGAAGGTTAACAGCTCTTTGCACCACACTCGCAGCCAGTCATTAGCAGCAGCCTCCTCTCCCTGTTCGTCTAACGTAGTTACCTCCTTCCTTTATCTGTACATTTAAGCTAAATATTCTGTGGCAGCACCCGCAGCTGGGATGCAGATATACTGCGAGCACAGGAACCGGGGGTGACTGTCCCCATGAAGCAGCAGGATTTTATTGCACGGACTTAGCAGCGGCTTTGCTGTGTGCCTTTTTGGGATGGGGCCAGGGAGGATGATGGTTTTTTACAACTTCCCCAGAAATCCTCAGGGTTTCGGCTCGGCTCTCCCAGCCTCCTGTTTCCTGCTCCCCTCCCAGCTGATCCACGCTTCCTCGCCCTGGTGCCGCTGGTTTTCCAGCGTGGGTGCAGCTCCAGCTGACCCATGCCAGGAGGTGCACGGGGTGCCGGAGAGGAGCACGGGGCAGAAGGGAGGGTCCTGCCCCAGGAGACCCCTGTCCCGGGGAGAGGGGGTGACGCACGGACTGCTCACACGGCTGCCATGGGGGCAGGATACGTGCTGGTGTGTGAGGGAAGGGTACAGGGTGTGCGAGGCTTGTTTAGCCGTCCCGGGGTATGTGCAGGGAGGAGGGCATGACTTCATTCTGCTTGCAGAAGCTGGCACGGGCTGGCAAGCCACAGGAGGCTGGGAATGCCCCAACAGCGAGTGCCCCCCGCGCAGGGTGCCGGGGGGCTGGCAGGGTCAGGAGGCTGCAGCGTGAAGGGGAGGCTGTGTTCAGGCCCGAGGAAAGGGTGCCAAGGACTTTTAATCAGGAGTCAGGGGAGCTGCTCGAGTGAAACAACCTCTGACACCTGGAGCCAGAGCCAAAGCTGCTATTTATGGCCACTTAAACAGCGCAGGCTGAATAGCAGGCTGCATCTTGAGGAGGGTCAGATGGACAACAACCCCTTTGCCAAAGCAAGCTGAGCACAGTCAAGACTGGAGTCAGTGTTTACATGTTTGCAGTGAAGTGTGGGAGGAATCCAGCCCCGAAAGCTCCACCGGGTTTGGCTGCTCAGGTCGTGGAGCGGCATCGGGTGAGCTGGGAGGGAGCTCGGGCACGCAGAGGGATGTGGCTCGAGGGGGAAGGCCACGAGCAGGAGAGAAAGATGCTGCAAAGCTGTGGTGAAGAAGAGCTGGAAAGGGGCTTGTCCCTCGGGTGGTAAGAGGCGGTGGTGTGTCAGTGCCAAGGGAGCAATCTCCCTGCCCAGAGCAAGAGGGAGGAGAAGGAACAACTGCAGGGAACTGGCAGGGATCTGCCACTTGGCCACCACCTCTGGTGCAGGGGAAAACATTACAAAAAAACTCCAAATCTGCATTGCACATCTGAGTGTTTTGAAGCCAGCCTCTTGCCTTTGAGCCCTAGCTCATTGTTTCCTTAGTGGAGGTTTGTCTTTATTAAGAGAGAATTCCCCTTGTCCCTGACTCTCCCCTGGTCTTCATTCACCACGGGCCCACATCAGCCTCTGCTTTCTGCAAGGCGGCTGCTGGGCACCCTGAGACCAGCTGGGAACTCCCCTGGTCCAAGCAGGGAGTGGCTGTGAGGATGCTGGAGAAGGACAGGGGGTCAACTACTTGCTGCAAGCCCTCTGTCAGGGTTGCGCCGTCCAATATTTATTCCTTCCCCTAGGGCTTAGCCATGGAGCCTTGTGATTTTTGGAGGATGAATAGCTTGGTGGAAATCAAATGAAACTCAAAGCTTGTTCCTTACGTTCCAAAAAGAGGATTTATTTAGTGAAATGTAGCTCTTTAAAATACACAGATCTGAGTGTTGTGTGTGGAAGGTTGTATAAAAGCAGGCATGGAGTCCACAGTTCGAGGCACTTAAGAAACACGGGCACTCAGGGAATTCCTGCAATAAAGCATCAGCTCCTGGTCCTGCTGGCACTCTGTGGGCAGCTTTCCCGGCGGTTTCAGCCACTTACTGGAGATAAACAATAAATAGCCGCAAAAGGCTCCCAGGAGAGACACTGGGTGAGAAAGTGCTGCTGTTTCCCAAGGAGGTAAGTGCTTGATTAGAGAAGGTATGGCTTTCACGAGGCCAAGTGCTCCAGCAGGGCATAGGTTGCCTCATGTCTTTCTGTGAGAGCAGATGCCATTCTTTTACACAGAAGGGTTTTCTTCAGTTTCAGACCACTCTGTTCTTCACTCTTTCAAATATCTGCATCACCTTGCCTGCTGGGATGCAGCCTTCTCTTATGATGGTGATGCCACCTTCCCGGAGGAAGAATGAGAAAGTTAGGATAATCCCCAAAGGGGGAAAGAAAGGGATGGGGATTATGTTCCAACATAAAGGGACATGTTGAACCAGTAAAAACATCCAGATGCTCAGTGCCTCCAGATAATAAAGCTGTGTAACAAGACCACTGGGAATTTGGCAGAAAGCAACACCTTCCAACACTGGCAGTGCACTGTGCTCAGGAGTTTAGTATTCCACTAGAGAATCCCACTCAGATGACAACCCAGAGACAGCTAACAACTTGTGTGGGGTTTAGCTGCCCAGCACGGTAAAACCACCACATTCCATCACTGTAGATGAACTCCTTTAACTCTACCTTCACTCTGGTGGTCTACAAGGAACATACACCCTTCCTTTCAGAAGCATCCACCCTCTCACTTGAAGCATTTTGCTCTTATAAGGCAATTTTTGCTTGCACAACCTTGTTTCTCCTCACTGCTTCATTCTCTGTCAACACAGAGGTCCTCCAAGGACACCTTTTGTTTATTCCTCTCCAGCAACATGTTTGTAAATGCCCAGGCACTCAAGAACTGTTAGTACTTTGAGCACACTGTGCTGCCAGATTGATGCTATTGAAATGAATGGAAACAACCCAGGAAAATGCAACCAGGAGGGTGGTTCTAACACTCACTTTCATCAATCTTTGTGCAGTTGACCACAGTTGATGCCACCACCTCATCAGAATCTCCATCACAGAGAACACCCTCCAGCTTATGGCCAAGACGCCTGTAGGGAGAAGAAGAAACAAAGCTGCACAGTACTTCATATTACCTGGGGCTGAAGTTCCCCTCTACACCGGGCATCAAATCATGACGGCTGCCCACCTGATGGGTAGTTTTCAGGGCTATAGAAATGCAGTGAACAGGGTACTCACGAGATGACCATGTCGTGATGGGTGCTGTCAACCTCTCCACTAGGATTAGCAGATGTGATTGCCAAGGGTCCCGTCATGTCAATGAGGTGCACCAGGACAGTCAGGTCTGGTACTCTGATCATTATACTGTCTTGAGTTCCCACCCTGCTGTAGCCTTCTCCAACCCCTTGAAAGACAGACAGGGGATGTTGGAAGAGGTTTGCTTGACACAGCATCAGAGGAAGACCTCCTGCTTTCCTTGCAAATGTCCCTGCTCCATACCCCAAATAAAATGGCAAGTCTCTTTGCACAGTTTCAGAAAAGCAGCATGCTTGATTAGAAATCCATGACAGCAGCTGTAAGATTTAGGGTCTGAGTAGTCAGAGGCAAACAGGAAAAATCTCACAACCTTCTGTCTGGAGATCAGCATAGCTGTTTTCACAGATAAAGGATCTACCTGGATCACAGAGTGAAACTCTTTGTGATCAGTGCCCAGCCTCCCCATTCTCTGCCACACATTCTGCCAGTTAAGCATGTGTAACTCCTACTGTTTCTTCAGTCTTTCATATTTCCAGTGATTCCCAGAAACCAGGTCTGTGTGTTAACCATGCTGCTGTTTACAGCATTTTGTCTTGGTCCATACGGTAGGAAGGGAGAGGTAACAAGATACCCTAGGAACCTCTCCCCTTCCTGGACCGCTCATCTCTTTTTGATCCTCCACCCAGGGCTTGCTCATTCCTAGCTAACAGCTACGGGCTTGCACGATGTGACCCTCCCAGGCTGATGAGCCTCCCTTGCTTTGAGTCTGAGTGGGTTAAGGAGATCATCATGCTGTCTCACGCTGTTTATGACTCATTCCAGCTCTTTTACACCCTCTTCTAAACATTTTGCTAAGATGTGTAAGAGCTCCAAAGATGCTTTCTCAGAATAAAATGAACAGAAGCTCTCCCCCTTGTCATCCCAAAGGACTGCATGCTTGCTGTGCTGAAAACATGAAAGAAGGAGAGAAGGGATGTCATGTTCTCCTCACCTAACTTCTTCAGCCACTCTCCTTTCTTGATAATGCAGCCAATGCCACCAGGGTAAACATTTTCCATGAATTCCCAAAGCAGCGGGCTGATGGGGGGAGCAGCTGCTCGCAACTGGTCCAGGTTTGAAATAAAAATGCAGATGGGCTTCTCTTGAGGCCTGTCCTACAAAAATAAATAAATGAAAACGGGATGAAAGGACGGATAAAACGAGATGAAGAGAGCAAGTCTGCATTGAGAATATCTAAACCCACTGGAGTCCTAGTCTGTGTACTTCCCAGGGACCACGAGCTCCAAGCAAGCAAGAGCTTTGGAGGATGCATCCAAATCCCCTGCTTCTCTGCTCATTATCAGTGTCTTTAATGTCTTATACACTGGGGGCTTGATTTTCTTCTAACTTATACTCATACAAATCAAGAGAAAACCCACCGATTCACAAGAGGATAACGGAAGGGGAGTCTAACCCCCTGAAACCAGCATCTATGTGACCGCTTCTTCAGCTCTTTGGTGCTTTGACATAAGCTTGTTATAAAGCAAGAAGTGATATGGAGGAAAAGAGCTCATAAAACAGTGTCATTTCAGTCCTCAACTGACATCATTTCCAGCAGGGCCAAATGACTAAGGAACGGGGCATGTATTTACATTCTGTTTATATTCTCTCACTGACAGGGAAGGTTAGCATTGGCACCAAAGCAGGACAGAAAAGACTGCCTTTGTTACTGATGTTCACACTAAGTGCCAGCTGAGATAGTCTGTTATGCTTATTTCTCCAGGCTAGCCAGGAAATTGCCTCATGGAGAACAGACAGGGCCAGGCTGCAAAAGATGTATTTAAGGTGCAAACTTTGGGTCTGATTCCAGCACTGAATGTCTCCAAAAGTCTGGGCAGGTTTAGAGCTGGGATTCTGATTCAGCACTTCCTAAGACAGAGAGGACAAATATCAGCTTGGACCTACTTCTGACACGTATCAAGGCTGTTCCAGTTTGGGTTTTTGCTTTACCCCCTCAGTGAAGCACAAGTAGCTAATTCCCAGTGCTACACGCCCAGAGCAGCCAGTGCTTTTCCCCAGGTTTCTCAGCTCAGAAACTGGTCCCTGACCTTTTCTTGAGGCTCCTCCCAGACTCTTTCTGCTTGGCTCTGAGCCAGGACAACCTGAAACAAGGCGGCTTCCATTTCTACCTGAGTGCGTAACTCATCTATGGGATGCTAGCAGGATCCAAATAACAAGATGTCAGTCTTGTATTCACACCTTGATTCTGTAGACCTTCTCGATGGCTTGAGGGTGTCTGCAGGAGGCTGCCAAAGCATACACGGTGTCTGTCGGGACCCCACACACCGCCCCGGTGTTCAGCAAGTCAGCAATGGCCCTCAAGCCACTCGTACAGTGGGACTTGGGGCAGATGCAGGGTGGAGGACCTTCTGTGTCCTTCTTAGAGCTCTCAGCCTGGTGGTAATCAGGAGGCAATAAATCCATTAGAGTGAGAATAAGCAAACATAAAAATCTGAGTAAGATCTGGTCTGCCTGAACACAGTTATTTCCCAGTGCTCCATTCCCTTGCTAGTCAAAGTGCAGCAGTGACACTTCCAGGCAAGCTCCACCTAAAGGAGATTATATTAATTACTTTTCAGAAGCAATTACTTCTGTTCCAGAGATAAAAGAGTCAAAAAAGCACCTAGTTCAGGTGCAGACATTTGAACCATGATGCCTACAGTTACAGGAGATGAATCCCACCCAGCATGGTGACTACTTTCTGGAGAGGCCCTCCACAGTGACCTAAGGAAACTGCTAGGAAATCCTAAATCCAGAGGAACTTGGGTGAGATCAGGTTGCAAAGTGCTTTTTCATGAATCTCTGTAGTTAGGAGCAGTAATTTAATGAAAATGTTCCACTGCAGGAGGAATTGGAGCTGTCAGATCAATCAACTGAGTTAGATGGAGCTCCCTTGGTCAGAGGTAGAAGGCAGCAGGAGAAATTTAAAGTTATCAGGTGGAGAGGGGAGCTCTTGCTGTCCAGTCTGGGCAACTTCCAACTCTTTGCTCTCCTGTCCCCAAGATTATGACCATTAAAACTTCAGCCTGTCAGCAGTTCTTGGATTGGAGATGGCTAATTCCACCTGACCAGAGAGATGGAAGGGCATTTTGGAATGAGATGTGGGTTTTGTAAATGTCCCTGCCTTTTCCCCAAGTTTTCAGCACATTATTCATAATGGAAGGTGGCTTGTTTTCAGCTCATAGCTCCCTACAGCAATGTTGTGACAAAGATTTCAAATGGCACAAAGGAAGAGAGATGGAAATTTGAACTCCCTTAGGTGAGATTGAAGACCCTAGGATATCCCTCTGAAGTGACACCATTGCACAAAACATCTCTTACTGTGAACAGAGGCGGCCCCATCATCATGAGATCCTTCCCAAACATGCTGTTTGCCAGCGATGCTGTTGCTCCATAGAAGCAGATGATGCTGAAGATGCTTAACATCACAACTGAAAATAAAACCAGAGGGTCAAAGGAAGGAAGGGTGCTGGCAAAGTTTTATTTTCTTTTGTGTCTCGCATCTTCCCAGAATTGCAAACTTACCTCAGCCTTTCCTGTCATACAACATTTACAGTCCAACACATTTGTGGGTCTAAAAATTCAAGGCATTTCCACACTGGCCTACCTGGCTTGCCTTTTTTTTTTTCCTTTTTTTCTTTCTTTCTTTTTTTTTTTTTTTTTTCCCCTGGTGGAAAAGCCTTTAAAAAGCATTTTGCTAAAATACTGTGTATAATTACAAATCAAACTCTCGCTTGCTACAAAGCCAGAATTTGAACAGAAATTCACACCGGTGGCATATTTAGTGCACTCCAAGTCTTGGCTCACTGAACAACTACTAGAAAGTAGGGCTGTACAGAACCTCAGGAGGTCATCTTGATCCAGCAGTATCAGCCATAGCTAAATGTTTATTAGGAAGCTCAAGGACCTGGGGCTAGTATGAAGAAATGTTTCCTGCTGCAGCCAGAGAGCCAAAAGGCTCACCATCTGTAGCTTGCATACACACCAGTCTTCTAGGGAAAGATGACACAATTTTTTGCTTGCTTTTTACCATACAGAGCTTATGCAGAATATTGCTCCCCAGCCAACAAGAGACCCACTCTTTCCACCCTCTGGGTGAAGGTTTGAGGACCAAGGTCAGCTACAACTCACTTTCAAATGGCAGAGGGAGGTTCTCCAATGTAAAGAGCAGAAAACAGATGGTCAAGAGCTCCATTGCAGCAGTCATGCAGAGAAGCACCACGTTGAAAGAGGAAGCTGTGGAAAGAAATACAAACAAGAGGAACCCACATCAGAGGAAGACCTGTAAAAATGTATGTGAAACCACAGAAGAGCTCATAAATCAGCTTAATTGTACATGGTCTGACTTCCGTGTTCACAGAGATACGACTGTGGTTTAGTTAGTCCTTGGCTTTCAGGAGACAAGCTGCCAAGCCCTTCATCTGCCAGTACGCTGTGCTCACATGGAAAACACTTTTCGGGCGGCCAAGAAGATTGTGATTTACAGCAGCTGGGCTGGAGGGTGACTGTGGATGTATGCCAGTGGCCCAGTCCGTCTAACACTTTCACCTTATTTGAACCGTTTATTTTCTTGAAATGTTCTTCCTTTCCCTTATGACTGCTTCTTCTAAGCCCAGCTCAGCTTCTGTTACTTACTGTGGGCAAAACATTTCAGTTCTTGCCTAATTGGAGCAACAGAGAGAGCTGAGGCTCCCTCACTTGTGCATCTCCACCACAGAGCAGCCACAGGTGAGATTAATGACCTGGCCCCAAATACCCCTCAATAACCAATCACCCACGGTACTGAGACTTACCTAAAATCATTAAAAAAGCATTGAGCACCAAAAAGGCAATGGCACCAGCAGTGAATCCTTCACTGTTCCCCGCACCGATATTCATCAAGTGGCCTGAAACAGGACCAGCAGATTTGGATGTGAGCAAACCATTAAGTGCAGTGTAACAGAAGAACGACACAGGTGCAGTTTGAATGAGTACAGTTTGCCTTAATTGATGGTGACTGCTATAAAAACAACCTACTGCACTGAAACACTGAAACCCATCACATCAGCAGCACAAACCACTTGAGGTATTAACTGAGGAACTGGTGATGGCTATCTTAAAAACTCATGTTTTTACTTCCAGCTTGTAAACGACATCAAAGTCTGGCTGAAAAGGCTAATAGCTTCCTGACATACCTCTTAGGCAACAGCTTTAACTTTCTCCCCTGGTGCTCATTTTAATAGGACTTGGCTTGGATTTCATGTGAACATACTGCTCATGTGGAGCTGAATAGGGCTTCTTAAAGACAAACTTGTCATTCTGAGATCTCCTTCCAGGGCTACAAACAATTAAGATAAATTACTACTGGCTTCTGAAATGTAAATCCAGAACCTGGTGTCTTCTGCCACCTCAGAAGCGTCTACTGAACTGTTATTCTGAAATAACTATCCTGGGACAGTCTGAGTGCTGCCTCAAAACTGTTGAGCAGGGAAAACTTTACCTCCTTTGAAGTCAAAGACATAACTTAAACTCCTGTAGCTGTCAATGGCAGTCAATTACATGAGTACAAGCCAGGATGTTTGACCATTCTTTCTTTTTTTTTTTTTTCATATTTTTTATGAGGAGGAATATTGTAAATCTTATTATCAGTGAATCTTCTGGGAGAAGGAACTACATTGAAGAAAGCAATCAGCAAAAGCCTGACCTTGCGTTACCTGCAAACCGAAGCCAGGTCCATGCTCCCCAAAAGGCAGCATAGCAGAATGGGAGAATGCAACCAAACCTTCTGCCTCCTTGCACCTGGATCCTGCAGACATACAGTTGTATGATGGCTCCTGGGATGAGCACGGAAGGTATGGAGAGTTGCTGTCTGCTGGGGTCACTGAAAGTCGCCTGGATGGCAGAGATTGCTGCCAGGCCATTGCAGATGTAGAACAAGGCATCTGGCACCTCGGCTCTGGTGCTGCTTGGCAAGTTCTTGGACCTTGTGAAGCAGCTTTTGGCAGCCATCAGTGTGTTTTGAAGAGCTGAGCTGGACATAGCTTGGGAGCCAATTGGAATCAGAGCCTTCTCCCCGATGGAGTTGATAAGGCTGGCAAAAGTGGCGTACAACGAGAGAGCAGTGCAGAGGCTGCAGGCAGCCCCGAGGAACAGGTAAGCACCTGGCACTGGGATCTGATGGATGGAGGCGCACATGAGGATGATGAAAGAGGCATTTTGCAACATCTCCAGGGTATCTTTGTGGGTTGACATCAGAAACAGCATGCAGGCAACAGCCAAGAAGAACCACCCTCCAAACATTCCCAGCCTGCTCTCCTGAGCCGTGCCTGGCCCGAGGAGGACGGTGAGTATGAACTCTTCCCAAGACATCACCAGCCAGTAGAGGCTGTGGACACCAAACTTGGTGGTGTAGTAGACATCACCTCTGAGGTAGCTGTAGAAACTGGACAGCAGCTGGCAGCTGGAGATGATGGAAATCCATGCTGCTCCAACACAGAAGGTCTTCATGTACCCGAAGGAGTAAAAAGCAAATATAAAAGGAGAGACAGTATCACAGATGTTGCCTAGGGCCATTGGCTCGGCATACTTTGTGTTCTTTTTCTTCTCTTCCCCGATGGCCTTGGAAGAGCTCTTCTGTGCTGACCCCAGTAGCAAGACATTGAAGAGGGGATGCCCAAAGCCTGGAAGGATGTACCGTTGTGTGATGCCCTTCAGCAGGAGGGCCACCGCACCATACAGCCCACAGAGGACAATGACAAGCTCAATGACCCCCGACACTACCAGGGCCCACTGGCCAAACAGTGCAACGGCTTCAAACACCAGGGCAAGTGCGATGGCCCCGAATATGAAGGGCATGATGTAGTTCACTGTGGCTGAGCAGAAGGAGAGGATAAAGGAAATGGAAATGTAGGCCACCAGCCCTGCCACGGCACTTTGGCTGGCGGAGGTGAGGGCCGTGCCGGCAGGCAGGAGGTGGCTGGCGTTCCCCAAGGGCAGCGTTGTGTTCTGCAAGGGGGGAGAAGCGGCTGAGATGATGCGTGTGGCCCCATAGCTGCTCCACAGAGCCGAGAAGGTGAGAAAGGCTGCGCCTCCGAGGTGGTCGTACTTCCTGAAGGCAAGAAATCCTGCCAGGAGCTGGACAAAGCCTCCGATCAGGATGAGGTGGACACCTGGGAGACACAGCAAGACATCAGGAAGGAAGGATGCATCTCCAGGCTCTGGGGGGCATCCCACCACAGGTCCCACAGCCTTCTTATCACCCTACGGACTCTGCCTTCCCCTCTGCTCCCACCTTAATGACAAACTCCTGTGCTGAGCCTCAGTGTGTGGCCCGTGAGACCCTTGGTATGCTCAGCAGGATAAGCAGGTCCAGGAGCACCACCAGTCTTCCATCCTGCCCCTGGGAGAGGGCCTCAGCTCCCTAAGCCTGTTTCTTGTCCTCCAACCTGCTGCTGGTGGTGGCAGGGGCTCTGAGACCCTTGTTCCGCTGTAGGGGAATGGCACAGTGAAGGGTTGGGAGCAAATTCCTGCCAGGGTTTCTGGGGAAGGAGGAGCAGCTCTCCCAGGCAGCACTGGAGAAACCCCACATTTCTCCACCTGTACCTCCACAGGCTCTCTACTGGCCCAGGGGGACGACTCCTAAAAAATCCATCCTGCTGGTGCTCCTGGGGGAAGTTCACCAAGACCAAAGGTCCCAGGTGTCCCTCCAAGCAGTTGTCACCCACCTGCGAGGACATCCTGCGCTCCCTGCGGCCCGACACCCGTGTGCGCCGTGGCGAAGTTCTGCAGGCAGAGGAGGAAGGCGCTGACGACGTTCGCCAGGAGGCCCAGCACGGCCGGCTCGCTGTAGAAGACGGCTGCGAAACCCGTCGTGCTCACCATGGCCCTTCCAGACAAAACAAGGGTGTCAGCGGTCACCCCCACAACCTCACCGTCTCTCCGCGCGTGTCTGCGTCTAGACCAGCGTTCCTCCGGCTCGGGCGCTCAGCCAGCGTCCAGAGCCGTGCCCCTGCTCCAAGAGGGAGAAGCTGGTGACAGGCTCAGGTGTTTCCACCGAGCCTCCCTCCTCATCGCCCTGGACAAAGGCTCCATTCAAAGCAGAACTTTAGGTGCCTACTTTCCAGAGGCCTATCCAGAAAAAACACACACAACCTATTTAGGCTACAAAGATTTCTGGCAAAAACATGTTTAGGTGCCCCAAAGCGCTGCAGGTGGTGGTAATGGTTCCTGCCTCCTCTTCTCTGGGCTGCTGGAGATGGAGAGGAATGAATAGCCTAACACAAATGAACAAACATTCAGATGAAACCCACAAGGTATTTTTGAGCCAGTCCAGGACATTTCTTATCCACTGTTACAGACAAACAGGCAGGCACTGCACACACATACACAGTCTCCCTTCCAGATGGAATTTTCCAGCTCCATCCCTTTCTTGAAACCCCAGTGACTAAATAGTCTATTTTCAAACCCTTCATATTTCTACCATTAACTCGTCTATTTGTAAGCAGCCCCCACATTTCCATTCCTCTGCACTCCTGGGTACCATGAGCTGGAGCTTGCTCTCTGGAGGTTTTTGTTAGGAAACAAAAATGAAAATAAAACAGCAATGTTCCTGCTATTTTGGTATTTTTAGAACATTTAGTGACCTAAAGGAGCTGGAAAGGGAGAAGGTGATGTATTCTGTGCTCAGACATTCCAAAAAGCCTTTTGGAAAGAAAGGAAAGCAGAGCTAATGTTGATATGGGAAGTGAAGGGGAGTGAAGGAGCAGACTCTGCACCACCCAAAGGAGGAATAGCTTTGTGAATATTAATGAACCTAAATCCCAGTGTCTACTCTTAAACACACAGTATTCCTGGGCAGATATACACTACTGATTTGCAAAGAGGTCAGTGGCCTCTGAATTCTTCTGATCTGTTAAAAAAAAAAAGTTTCTCTTTTCTCTATTTATTTTAAAGGTTGCAATTTTGACAAGAAGCAATGAAGAATAAACAGTCTGCATTGACTCCTAACAGGTCTGAACCGATTCAACAAATTAAACTCGCATGAAATAATTTGGAAAGGTAATATGTCACACGTCTGGGGAACAACTAGTTCATTCAATTATTTACTTGTGCTAAAGGCTGGATTTTTCAGTTCAGAAGGCTGCACCAAGCCACAGCACTGCAGGAGGAACACTCTCCTTTAACAGCAAACTCCTGTATGAATTACTGACCTGAAGGAGGCCCTCATAAATGATGCACCTTTAGAAACAGCTGAGCAGCACACCTGTGCAGTCTATGCTGTTGTCACTGATTTTTATGACATGCAGATGCAAACAGTTTGGATTAAATGGTTGTACTTGGAGGAGGGCCACAATATTAAGTTCCTCCAGATGTTTCGCTCTGAAGTAGCTCAGACAGTGACTTTCTAGGCATGCTGCTACAAGCCCTTGTTTTGAGTTGGTCTCTGGGGTAGGATGAGATGGGTTTTCTGGAGGAAGATGGGCTGGCTGGGTGGCTGCTCAGCTCTCAGGAGTGATTTTCTACTTGCTGACACACTCACTTGGTTTGCAGTAACTGCAGGATTAACCACAGTAGAGGTTTTAGAGCCTGTGATAACTTGGTTTGGGGAAGGGTGGAGAGGAAAAGTCAATAGGGCTGTTTCCCTCTGCTTGCAGTGCCTTCCTTTATAGGACACCTGAGAAGTACCCAAAAGTGCCAGGATACACAGGATACAGAGGTATAAAGGGAAGGGAAGAAAGAGGATTTAGATCAAGACATGGAAGAGGAGGACAATGAAGGAGCTTCCCTTGGGAGGAAAGGTTTTTGGGCTGGCAAAAGCTTCAGACCTGCTCTGCACACAGCCACCCCACGCACTGGGGACACAGACGTGTGCTCAGCAGCTGCAAGGCAAAGTCCATCACCTCCTCCCCTGCTTCAAGCAACATAGCGACACACCGAATAATTAGTCTCGGTGGTAACAGCACCAGGAACAGGTTGCACCAAGACCTGGAGAAACGAGGAAACATTCAGAGGTGTTTTCTGTTCTAAGTATGCCCAAGCCTTGCTCGTCCCTAGGATGAAGTCACCCATCAGTGCCGTCACTATCTGTTTTGTGCAGCTGCTGCCCCCAGCACTTTGTAAGGACCTGCTTCTCCACATGCACTACAGCAAATGGGTAGCAAAACACCTCTGCTCCCTGCTCGGAGCAGCACAGCTAGGAGGGAGTACCCACCAAGCCTTTCCTTGGCTGTCCTCCACCGGGACTCCTGCAGTGTAGCTCTCATGGTAGAGGTGGCGTGGCGTGGGCAATGCAGGGTGGTGTGGAGGCAAAGGAGAAAATGGGAAGTCCCTTTCTACCGTGTGTGGGCTCTTTGTACACATGGGGCACCAGCCAGCACAGCCACTGTCCAGGAAACCGCGAGGATGGATGGGGCACTGCCAGCCCTTTCGGAGAGCTGGCTTTGCTGAACGGATGGGGCAGCCCCAGGTGATCCCTTGGGCGGCGAGGGCAAAGCCACAGCCACCCACCCTCCTCCGTCTCCTCTCCTTTTCCTACTTTCCCCGGATGTGCTCCAGCCTGGGGTTTGCAGAAGTGGCTGCCGAGGTCCTCCCTCAGCCCTGTCTCTTCTGCCCTCAGCATGGCCTCCGAGCCTTGCCCACGTGGCTGCAGCCTCCGAGCACCTTGTCCTCTGCATGCTGTCCTTGCCCACAGTAATTCCCCTTCTCCACCCCCAGAAAAAGCCATTCCCCTCCAAATCCCCTTCCCAACCTTGTTGCTATAGTTGGGCTTTGCAGTCATCACGGCGGGCAACCACATAGCACCAACATCCACCTGCCCATGCTTGTTAACCTTGGCTAATATTAATGGGAATACGCTGGTGCATGGACATTATCCCCAGGGGAGGCTGGAGCAAGGCTTAGCGTGCCATTGGATATATATATAAAAATACCACAACATTAAATTTTCAGATACTTATTCCCCAGTGGCTCTTAGCGATTGGTTTTCCACTCTACCTTATTAGTGATAACCAGTGTTTACTTAGCTCTGAGAAAACACTGTGTCTCTCAAGATAAGCATGTTAAAAGAATGGAACTGCAATGCCTTTTGGACAAGCACACAGCAAGATTAAAAGTGCACAACACCACTACACAGCTGGAATAAATATCACAGCCCTGCCTCTCATCTGGTGAAAAACAGCACAAAGTTGCCTGGGACACATTGCTACAGTTCACAGTGACCATGGGTCTGGCTAGTATTTAGTAAAAAAATTCAAGCTGGCTTTCAATGCAAGCTGATATTCTGTACAGAATATGTCCGAGATGCACTACTGGACAAAGCAAGAAGCCATGGCATTTCCCCAGAGTCCAAAGATCCATTTGGGGACAGAAGGTCCCGACGTCTCCTGGAAGCTACAGCCCAGATTTCATGTCTGCACTAACATCTCCGTGAACCGGCAGCACATGGCAGGCAACATCGCAGAGCTGGCTATTTACAAGAAGGAGAATTATGAAAATATTCAGCCAAATGCTAAAACAGTGAATGTATTAAAAAAAAAAAAAAAAAAAAAAAAAAAAAAAAAAAAAGCATCAAAGAGAAACACCAATGCCATGCTTCTCCCTTTGCAGCTTGGATTACCTGGTTTGGTGACACTTCAGCTCAATGGGAGGATGCTCTTGTCCCTCTCATTTCCTGGTAAGTACCAGTTTTATAGTCCTCCTCTGGAGGAGGAGCCTGCAGCCAGTTGCTTCACACATTGGCACCTGTGGCATTTTGGAGACAGGAGTTTCCTTGAACTTTGTCAGTTATTGTCCTAAATCTTTTTTTTTTTTTTTTTCCTTTTTTATTTCCTGAAACCAGAGGGGTTTCCCTTCTGCTCAGCACAGAAAAACCACCCCTCCTCATCTATTCCCCCCACCCTCTCGGTCCCCAGAGGCTGATGTCATCACACTTGAAATTCAGTTGCAAAAAAAAACAAAAAGCAAATTGCCTTTCAGAAGCATATATAAACCCTGACAGCAAGGCACCTTTCAGACACCTCTCCCATCCCTCGAATAGAGCAGTGCAGAGCTGGGCACTTGAGCAGTGGGAGCAGCCAGCAGAATGGTCTACTTAACTTTGCAGGTAAATACTATCTTGTGTACAAAACCTCTCCATCTCTCGTCTTTCCTTTCTCACTTTAAGGAGGTCGTGTCACTTTCCGGGTGGTTCCCCTAAGCCATCAAAACTGTCGTGACATTAAACGGGAACCTGCCCCGACGTTAACAAAACCGGATGGTTTTCGCAGACACTTTATTGACAGTTACTAACCCCTTTCTTCCACGCCTGGTCCTTTTACGCATCCCAAGGGTGTTTCACCCCGTGCCGTGGGGGGGTTGTTGTTGTTGGGATGTGCTGCGTGGGTCTTCCTCCTCCCGTCCACCTGGAGCTGGTCCTTCTCGCGGCTGTAGGAGGATTTCATGGTAGATCTGAGAAGTCTGCGCTGCCCCTTCCACTGCACTGCTTTATTTCCCTGGCTGTTCTTGGCACCCCTGCTGGACCGAGCTTTGGAAAATTTTTTTTTTTTTTTTCTCCTTTAAATATGTAGGCTCTGAAAGTCAGCTTTATCCGCTCGTTTGATCTGTGAGTGTCTTCCAATGCCATGTTAGAGGCACAACCAGTAAAACAGCTCTGAAAAAGTTCAAGCAGCTTAGGTGACAAATGGTCTTTCTCTGTCTTTGCTCTAGAAATCCCAGAAGATCTTGGCAAGCTCCCGGCAAGTGCATAAAACTGCTGCTCACGGTTTGTATCTCTGCAGAACAGCATTCCCTATCCTTTTTTGTTTTTCTTTTCAAGAGCATCTCAAAATAATTGTGTCATTACTTATTTTTTTCTTTTTCTTTTTTTTTTTTTTTTAAAAAAGTAGCTGGGTTAAGCATACTGAGCTAGACTTCTCAAATTCTTGGAAGTTGTGCTTAGGGGTCTTGTTACGATAATTACTGCCCTGGGTGGAAAAAGTGGTAAAAATGTTGCTTACTAGCCCTGTGCTAAAACCGTCTTTAACTGATTGAGAACCAGACTTTCCGAATTCTTACACTTTGACCATAAATTGCAGATATTTGAATTGTAGCTCTCATTGCTTAGATTCTTAACTCTTCTCTCCTTACTTTCTCACATCTAATCTTGCTATTATACATTGCTTGAAGTGTTTCACTGATAACTCTCTGTGTCTCACAGCTGCACAACCTCAGCTTCCCACTTCAGACAAATCAAGCACAACTGCGCAGTGCACCCACTTGGTCTGTTATAAATTGTGTCTATTAACTCCTTTTTAAACGTGTTCTTAATGCAGTAAGAGCAATTTGTGGTTTTTCATGATCACTTGGAACAACAGAAATAATAATAATCCATGCAAATCCAATTGCTCTTAAACAGGTTTATTAGACAGTGTTGTTTTTTTTTGTTTGTTTGTTGTTTATTTTTTTAATAAAATTCTGCAGCACAGCTGTCATAGCAGGATAAAAACACGGCTGTCATTAAGCGTCTTTAATTGAAGGGTTAAAAAAATATTGCTGATTACTGAAGTGACAAAGAGTAATTGATGATGGGAAGGAAGCAATGAACATTTTATGGGTGCAGTGTGATTCAGGCAGATTTTCCTACAGCCTCTCCAACCTAGTTGGACCTCACATTCCCCCTACTTGAGGGCGTTGGTGCTTCCACTTGCGGTCTACGGGAGATGCTCTCCACGTACACAGGGAGGGCACTGATTTTGGCAGCAGAAGGGTTTCCAAACTGCTGAGTGGTACAGATTCCTATAGCGATCCATTTCGCAGAGCCGCTGCGAGGGGTGGATTTTATTTCTGTGAGTCACAGCAATGATGACATTCTCAGCTGTGTTTACAAGTGGATTTCAGACTCCTAGGCTCTAGGTGAGTCCAAACAGATTTGCAAGCAAACTGTGAGTCAGTGGGCATGACATTTACGAATGAATGCATCCTAGTGAAATTAGGGAATGGTCATTTTGTTTGATTGGGATATTTTCTGTTTAAAAAAATATAGTGCCTGTTGATTTTGATGAGGTTTCCTCTAAGATGTTGGAAGAAAGTATTCTTATTTTCTTGTTTCATTCATCTTTACTTTTTTGTGTGATTGCTTTCGTTTGGGCGTTAGTGCTGCCTCTTGTTTGTATGCATGTGTATGTCTACCCCACCACCATACACATATACATACATGGGAAATCATGCAAATACTAGATATATTGAATTTTCTGTTTTTTCTAATCTCATGTGAGCTCTCAAAATGATATTATAAACTATAGTGGATCCTAATGACTATAATTCTATGAATTATAAATTCATCAAAACAAAAGCGATTTGTCACTGAAATAAAAATGGTCCCAAATTGGATATTTTCCATGGAATTTAAACACCTCCAAAGATTTGGAAATGGTGACTTCCAAATACAAAAGTGCCAATAGTCTGTGTTATCTGCCAAGCTCTACCTTACATAAATACAAACACTGACTTTTCCTTGGGAAGCGTGTTGTGTTGCTTCTTGTCTACCAAAAAGGTGTTTTCAGAGACAGGAAAAAAACTTCCCTTCAGACACCAAGCTCAGGTGATCTTCTGGTCTATTCCCCTTCTGAAGCAAAGGCTGAAGCCTCTGATGTGCTGAGCTGAATGGTGTAAGAACACACAAAGGCCTTTTTGCTTTTAATCACTAGCATCCTTCTGAGTGCATAGGGCTTAAGAGCTTTACTGCCTGAGCCCAGACACCTCACTACCACATAGGGATAAATTTAGAGATAACTTACAGATAAATCCAGGCTTTGGGTCTAATGCTGCTTGCTAAAAGCAATGGAAGCTATAGAATGTAATTGGGGTTAAGCTTAGTTTGGATTTTGGTTGATACACTCCCAACAGGGCTCCACTGGTAATGGGGCAGGGCACTTGCTCTGCTCCTTCTCCAGACATGGGGACGTAGTTTGCATTGACATCCCCAAAAGATGGTGTCTTGAAACCCAAGAGGGAGGATGTAGCTGAGCCCTGCTTCTCTTGAACCCCCTTGAAACCACTAGAGGAGTGACCCAGAGCAGTCCTTACAGCACATGAAGGCTGTAGGAGCCAGGATGCACCCTGGACCTTTGGAAACCCATGGAGGACAGGAGTCGCACTGATCTGCTTGCCTTGAGCTCCCTGTGCTGCTGATGAGGGAGGAGATGCCAATCCCCTCCCCAGCAGCGTCTCTCCTCTGTCTGTGAATCACAACCCATCAGCTCCCTAGGGCTGTATGAGTCCCTGTGACCCAAGGGACATGCTTCCTGTGCTCTCCAGTTGTCTTCTCCCTTCAGTAAACCCAGTGGGGACAGAGGGTGAAGGGCTGTGAGCTGTCAGCCCACTTCTCACCCGCTCCCCCTCTCTCTTGGTTCTGCAGTGGTGGCCAGGAGTGCTCCCGAGGAGACCGTGACCAGCAGCTTCGCCTCCTTCATCCACGCAGTTCGGCCCGAGCACTTGACCAAGACTGTCCGTTACAGAAGCAAGAGGATGATCCTCGACAGCATTGGGGTCGGCCTCATGGGCAGCACAACGCCCGTGTTCGATATTGCTCTGCAGTACTGCCGGGTAGGAACAGCCCTATTCCCTTGGGTGGTTATGGTCCCTGCTGTGACCCCATCACCACAAGCAAGGCTTTATTTCATGGATGATGTAGGACTTTTCCCTTGCAGTGGGGCATCATACCATCACTCCTTCACTCAAGGTCCTCTCCTGAATCTCCCTTTTTGCAGGAGCTGTACTCTTCAGTTGCCGTGAGCTCCGTCTATGGCAGGCCAGGCATGAAGCTCTCCCCGACGCTGGCCGCGTTCACCAACGGTGTTGCGGTAAGGCAGGCTCTTCCAGGAGAAGCTCTGCTTTGTGGCTGCCTTTAAAACACTAATTAGTATTGCAGGAAGCAGTCTGGCTGCTTCCAACCAAGCATCATGGGGACCTCTGGAGGACTGGGTGGATGTTGTTATAGATGTAGCCTCAGCACTAGTAGCAAGGACCCCCTTGGCTCCAAGCCCCCTACACCAGAAAACCCTTATCTCCATTTCCCTGGCAGACTCACTCCATGGACTTTGATGACACCTGGCACCCTGCTACTCACCCATCTGGGGCTGTCCTGCCGGCTCTCCTGGCTGCTTCCCAGATGCTACCTCCGAGCACCAAACCCAATGGGCTGGATTTCCTCCTGGCATTTAACGTGGGTCTGGAAGTGCAAGGGAGGCTCATGCATTTCTCCACTGAGGCTCACAATATTCCCAAAAGGTAAATCTTTTTTTTTTCTTTTTCTTTTTTTTTTTTTTCCCCTAGTAGGCTGGTGGGAGTGACCAGGGCTAGAGGATGCTACAGCAATTTCAGTTAGAAAAACAAGCATAAGCATACAACTTATCCCCTCTTGGTAGCTCGCACAGCTCTGCAGGCTCAGGGCCACTAGTGCCAAACCCTCATCATGATGACTGAGACTCCATTGTGGTCCAAGAGACATCAACCAGGATCTGTTGCCCTAGGGCATGGTACATGAGGCCACCTTCTTTGCCTGGAAGGGTGAAAGACAGGGTGAAAGTTTAGCTATACGGACACAAGCCATGCCACCTACTCTTAGAGAAAATTAAAAAGAGTTTTCTGAAGATGCTGGCCTCACTATGTGGTCTCCAATGAAGTTTCAAACAGATGTTTGGTTTGGCTAAATGCCTAAATGTTGAGTCAGGTGAATCCCATTCACAACAGAGCCATGAGGGATTCCCGCTGGCCGACGTGGCTGTTTCACGCTCATACCTGCACTTTCCCCCTTAGGTTCCACCCTCCTTCAGTGGTCGGTACCATGGGCAGTGCGGCGGCCACGGCAAAGCTGCTCTCCCTCAGCATGACGCAGTGCGCCCACGCCTTGGGCATCGCCGCCTCGCTCGCGGGGGCACCCATGGCCAACGCTGCCACCCAGGCCAAGCCTCTGCACATCGGGAATGCCACCCGCCTGGGCTTTGAAGCAGCACTGCTGGCTGCCCGAGGGATGGAGGCTAACCCTGTCATTCTGGATGACATCCCTGGGTGCTCTGGGTTCAGCGCTTTCTATAGCATCTACCATCCCAAGCCACTGTCCGCACCGGGTGACCATCACGAGTTCCTCTTGGAGAAGCAGGATATCGCTTTCAAGCGCTTCCCGGCCCACCTGGGGATGCACTGGGTGGTGGATGCTGCCTTGTCTGTCCGGAACCTCTTCATCAACTACGCAGGGTCCTTCTCTCCCTCTCTGATCCGCACCATTGTGCTGAAGATCCCAGTGTCCAAGTACATCAACCGGCCTTTCCCCAGCTCCGAGCACCAGGCCAGGCACTCCTTCCAGTTCAATGCCTGCACAGCCCTGCTGGATGGAGAAGTGGGCCTCAGCTCCTTCACGGAGAGCAGCATCCACCGGCAGGAGCTGAGGGAGCTGCTGGACAAAGTGGTGGTGGAGCACCCTGAAGATAACGTGGCCAACTTTGACAAGATGTATGGAGAGGTGGCACTGCTCCTGCACAGCGGGGATGTCCTCACAGGCAAATGTGACACTTTCTATGGGCACTGGAGGAAGCCTCTGAGCAGAGAGTCACTCCTGAAGAAGTTTCGATCTAATGCCTCTCACGTTTTTCCCGAAGAAAAAGTAGAAACCATCATCACTATGGTGGACAACCTGGAGAATATGTCAGATAGCTCCCAGCTGGCCTGCAGCCTGTGAAGGAACAGCGAATGGGTTCCTGAAAAGGGACTTATTCCAGTGAAACTCTGATTCCTTTCTTCATTGGTGCTTTACTATTCATTTCCAATGGCAGGAAACTTCCTACCCCTTGAAGTCAAAGTAGACGCTTTAGTATCAAAGGAGCCCGTGAGGCAGGAGGTGTGTCTGTGTGAGCACTTAGTGCACAGAGTCAGTTTTGACTTAGATTGGTTCTCAGTAGCTGAAAGGCCACTACAAATACCAAAAAATCCCATAGGAATCTATGTGAATCCTGGGGTATTATCTGGAAACTGGTCTCCCACAAGGGATAGTCTAGATATTTTAAAGCTGAGCTCAAAGTTATTTTTGTATGGAATGCCTAATTGTTGAGTCTGGGAAGAGGACATCCAACTGCAAAATGTGTGCTTTTCTTAATGCTCCTCCTGGCACTTTTTGGATCACGGTTAGGTAGTCTTTCTGGCCAGATGAAAAATCTATCAGAGTTACTGTAAGCAGCCCTGCCTGCAAAGCTTTCAGGCACAGAAGGAATTCTTTTTTTTTTTCTACTTTTTCAGCAAAAGCCTTCCATTTCTGCAGCATTTGGGAAGTGGTTGTCAATTCTCTCTGTGCAAGGGATCATTCAATGACCCTTAAAACCTGTCTGTCTTTTCTGAATGAAAAGCAGTTGGTAGGTGAGGAATCGTACAGCAGTCCTACATCTATATCCCACACCTCCTGCGAGGTGATCCTAGGGCTGTGGCACACCATCCTTCCTGGCTTTGGGCAGGTCACCCCGCACCTATTTAGAGCTAGCTTGCCGGAGGTCACCTCTGTGGTCAGCAAAGAGATGGGTACCTCTGGACGGTTGGCACAAGCACGCTGTAACTCGTGTTGGGAAATTCCTGGTTCTCTCCCCTGAGAGGAGAGAAAGCATAAAGAGACTGCATCTCTAAATCGTCTTTCTGGCTGGGACAAAATCTGTACTTGTGCTCCTGAGCAACCACTCACTGAAAGGCTTTCTTACCCTGCGTCCTTTCTGAACAGCAAGGAGAACTATGCAATATTCCTCTGTGCGTTAAATACTGTGACTGCTTATCCAAAGGACCTGTTTCCAGTGTGATAATGATGTGGGTACAGAACCTGCTGGAGAATTCAGGGCTGCTTTCTGCTGGGAGATGGGTCTAGACAGGCAAGGAATGTGGGCTGGTTCCTTTTTAGCTTGCTGGTAGTGGGCTCTGCAAAGAATTTCCCAGTCAGAGCAAAAATGTTTGCCCACCTGTTGTAATCCACTCTCTCCTACTGTCTAAGCATAGTCACACTGAGTCTTTCTAAATAAAGAACTGAAGTAAATCCATTTTCTGCATAAAGATTTAATTCTACATCATGTAGGTTTCCAATTTTAACCCAAACACATACAATACCATGGCTTTTGAATTAGAAGTGGAACACAGCAGAGGCTAGGACAGAGTGAGCTGAAGCTGAGAAGGGAACTATCACCTTTCATCTATTGGTGCTGGAGTGGGGTGGGGTGTGGGATTGAGGTGGAGGGAACATTTCATTTGGATTTGGGTTTCAGGCAACATTTTGTCCATGAGATCCAGAAGCTCTTCTAAACTTGATTCATCCTACTTGCATTCCAACATCGCCAGGTTGCGATAAGGTCTTTAGCAACACTTGCTACAAGGTCATTGTTTGGGAAAGGGCGAATCCCTGCTTATCCCTGATAGTCTGAGACAGTCTTCATAAACCCAAATTCATGTCCCCACTGGGAAAATGTGCTCACTATACACTCAGCAAGGTTAGTAGACACCAGAACACACGTTCGCAAGAGCTGCAAGAAACTTAATTTCATAGGTCTCTCTGAGTGCAGTTCTCCTAGGTGCCATCACCCCTCTAGGAGGGAGAAGGCCACTTCAAGCTTGTAGTGTATGACACTGATCATTGTCAGTCCTTGGTCAGAGAGGGACAAGGCTTTTGTGAGGCTTGCACAAGTACAAGGGCCTGAAGATCTGGTGTTGCTGCCAGCGTTACAAACTGCTCCCACTTTCTCAGCCTGCTGTCTCAGCTATCCAGCAAGGCACAATCCTGACACATTCCAGCAGAAAATGCATAAAATAAGGGAAGTTTCAGGAATGCTGGTAGTGTACAAGCCTATCAGCTGAAGCAGTAACAGCTTTTCCAAAATACCTGGAAGCTGAAGGCATACTTGAGGGTTTTTTCTTTCATGGTATTTCTTCTGTAAGCCTAGGGTCCTCAAAACGCCTCCAGTCTCCTACCCCAGAAAAATGTCTGACTCATTATTTCCAGTTTCAAACAATGAATGTTTCATGTCCTTAAAAAAATAGGAGGCCTTGCCCCTTGGTAAGGAAAGTGAGGTCTTTTAAGAGCATAGGAAAAAATGGCCCCGGGGAAACTATAGGCCAGCTTGCGTGACGCTGAAAGTAATCCAGTAATTAATATGGTGCAAACAAAGTTCCTAACTTCTCCTGTCAAGTTGAATAAGAAAAGAGCCATTGTCCTTCTTTCTACTGCTGCTCCAAGATAAATGATGCTTAAAATAAAAATAAGAACAGGAAACCTTTCTTCCCAAACATATTTACAGTAGCGAGCTCATTGAGTAAAACAACATTTCCAGCGCCGAGCCAGGCAGGACACCTGTGAGCAAGCAATCAGTAAGGACAAACCCAGGCCAAAATTGAACAGGGTAGGGCTGGAACAAGAACCTGGGCAGGGAGAAGTCCAGGCCAGTAGAGCTGGGAGCTGGGGCCGGGCTGGTAGGAGCGAGGATGCTCGGTGGCTGTCAGCACCCTGGAGAGCAGCCGCAGAACCGGGGCTCCTGCCCAGGGGCTCCCCCTTTCCCAGGGGTCCCCTTCCCCAGGGGTCCCCTCCTGTTCTGCACGTACAGGGCAAAGGTGGTGAGTTGTGGTGTGTCCTCCCAGGGGAGTGCTTATCGCTCACTCCCACAAATGGTTCAAAGCGAGCTACAAGCAGCTTTCATCCCTACTGCCATCACTGACACAAGATTTGGGTCATTGGAAGCACTGCATTTATTAGGGATTTGCTTTTCTTCCACCATGGAGGAGATGGATTTTCCACGAAATGACATTTAAAAAAAAATCAATTCACTGATTATTTCAGTTTCAGAGGTGATTTTGACTGTAGAGGTCAGAAGAGTTCTCTCTGCCTTCCAGCACTGTTTCCTTGATGATAACGTTGCTACCGCAGTGTGGCCAGCTGGGGAACTGCTCTCCTGGAAAAAAAACAAGTAACCCCTCTTTGTTCCTTCATGCTTTTTAAATAATTGAAGTATTAAAGAAAGAAGGAAACCCAGATGACAGTCCAAGACAACCATGCTGAGCTGCAAGGAGAGCCAACATAGAAGTTTTGTGCCTGATGCCACTGTCTTCTTAGCACCTCATTTCCCCTTCATCCCTGCAGAAATCTAGGTGAGCTCCATGACTTTAGAAACCCTCCCCTCCTTACAGCCACCTCCTTGCTGCTCCTCACTGCTGCTTTCTCCCATCCCCGGTGACAGAAACCCTATAAATATTCAAGTATTTATGCAGAGCTGAGTATGAGGCACAGCTTCACGAGCACTTTGTGTGTCAGACGCTGAGACCCAGTTCCCAGTTCCCAGAGAGGAGATAGGTTACAGCAGGATGGATCTCCCAAGAAAGCCATGAAGTCTCCATTGACATTGATTTATAGAAGTAGGATTCACATCCAGGGGTGAGTGCAGAGCAAGCTGGGGCTGATCCTGCCTTTGGAAAGCTCTCGAGGCTCATGCAGCTTTACAGCTGGGAGCTGAGACTTGTCATAGGTTTACAATATGAAAGCTTGAATCTGTATACAGACCATCAAAATCCTGGCCTCTGCATCATACCTCCTGCTGGGACTCAGGCTGAGAGTGCGGGTTGTGGTTAGGGCTCCCCTCCGCTGACTGCACTCATGTCTGTGCTGTACCTAGAAACCTCAATCAGGTTCTCATCAGGGTCTCGGAAGTAGATGGATGTTATTGGACCCACGGCACCAGTCCTGGCCACAGGACCTTCTTCAATGATCACCCCACAGGCCTGGGGGGAGACATAAGAGCAGGGGTTTAATGCTCAAGGGATTTTTATCAGGTCGTTGTGCACTCTTCCCTCCAGTCTTAAAAGCATGAGACATTGTATGAGAAAATTCTGACATTCCCCAAAGCACAGACCTTTAACATGTCACTTGTGAGGCTCTGGCCTCATGCCTCCCAGGGTTACACTGCCCTGTGCACACTCTACACCTTGCTCACCTTCAGATGACTCAAAAGCTGCTCCAGGGGTGCCTGTGTGATAAGGCAGATATCTACAGAGCCGGGGACCGGGTGGCGAGCCTTGGGTTCAAATTCCTTCCCAACCTCATGCAGGTTAAACTTCTGGTTGCCAAAACGTAAAGCTTTGCGATTTCCCTGTCCCCAACAACAAAAAAAAAAAAAAAAAAAAAAAAAAAACAACAAAAAAAAAAAAGAATCAATACCAAAGAGACTTACTGGGCTGGAAGCTTTCAACATCCATTCAGCTGTGTAGTCCTAAAAGTCCTGGGGACATGGCTGTAGTCCTGCTAACTCTGGGCTCTTGCTGGGATAACCCAAAGCAAGAGTTGACTGCTGCAAGATTCCCACCACATCCCTGGAGATGCAGTGACCCAAGAAAGTCCCATGGCCACTTGCAGCTGCTTCTAAGCCATAAAGATGAGAATTTTCCAGTTCTGGGCACCCTCCATCCTGCCTGTGGGACAGCCATAAAAATAATGCACACGCTGGGAACTGCGGAGGGAACAAAGACGAGGCAGTGGGAAGATGGTAAGGAAGGAGGTTCTGACACCTCTTTTCTTTGCAGGCCCCCAGTGTTTCTTCAGACTTATACGGACAACTGAGACCTGATCCCCATGGAAATGCAGGGCAGTGACCTGCCATCTGTGCCCATCTGAAGAGCAGATTGATGCTCACTGTAGCCCTGGGATGTGAGTGCAAGTGCCTGACTTTGTTAGCTCTACCATCTCCAGACCAAGGAGAAATCCCAGAGATACCGTCAGATCCACAGGAAGCAGCCACTGGCTCAGGACTACTACTTTAGCTCCCCTCGGCCTTTCCCCCATGTTACCTTGAAAGTCACCACTTCCATGCCCAGGACTTTGGAGTAGAAGGCAACAGTGTCCTCGATGCTCTTAACAGTCAACACGAGGTGGTCCAGGCGCTGGATGAAACAAGGGGGTGGACTCATGTGTTCTTCCTTCCAGGACATCGTCCCAGGGCTGAGAAGAGAGTGTAAAACCACACGAGAGGAAGGTGAGGAGCACCCAGCTGCTCAGGGAAACGATCCAGGAAGCTGTTAACTGAACTGTCAATGGAGATCAAATGGGTTTTCTTTTGGCCTGCAGGTGGCACAAGTACAGAAGCAATAAATTCATATATTCATAGAACATCCTGTGTTGGAAGGGACCCACGAGGATCTCCAACTCCACCTCCTGGCTCCATAAAGGGCCACCCAAAAATCATACCCTCTGTCTGAGACTGTTGACCAAACACTTCTTGAACTCCAGCAGCCTCGGTGCTTTGACCACATCCCTGGGGAGCCTGTCCCAGTGCCCAACCACCCTCTGGGTGCAGAACCTTTCCCTAACCCCCAGCCTGACCCTCCCCTGTCCCAGCTCCATGCCGTCCCCTCGGGTCCTGTCGCTGTCCCCAGAGAGCAGAGCTCAGCGCCTGCCCCTCCGCTCCCCTCGTGAGGGAGCTGCAGGCCGCCGTGAGGCCTCCCCTCGGCCTGCTCTGCTCAGGGCTGAACAAACCCAGGACCCTCAGCCACTCCTCACACGTCTTCCCCTCCAGACCCTTTTCCATCTTTGTAGTCCTTCCTTGGGGACTTTCAAACAGTTTTATGTCCTTACATTGTGGCACCCAAAACTGCACACAGTGCTCAAGGTGAGGCTGCACCAGCACAGAGCAGAGCAGGACAATCCCTTCCTTTGACCAGCTAGCCATGCCGTGTTTGGTGCACCCCAAGGTATGGTCAGCCCTTTGGGCTGCCAGGGCTCACTTGACTCCTACTCAACTTGCTCTCCACCAGAACCCCCAGATCCTTTTCTATGGTCTGCTCTCCTGCCTCTCCTCCCTCAGACTGCACATAAAACAGGGTTGCTCTTGGCATTCTCTTGTATATTGGATTCATATCATCTGGCATTGCCCTTCTGCAGCAGAGTGCATAGGAAACGGCTGGCAAGGAGAGATTTCAGCCCCACTGACACAAGAGCAAGGTCAGCATAAAACCAGGCACAGCTTCACCGGGACATCTGGTCTTCACGGTCAGAGGAGCTCACTTGGAGCAGGACCCCACTGTCCTGCACCACTCCTCCTTGTCACAGACAGCGTTTGGTGTTTGACAACCTCACCTCCAACCAGCCTGGGCTCAGAACCTCCACAAAGTCCTTCCCACCCAGGAAGTTCTCCTGGGTGTTCCTGAGCTGCAGGGCCCAGCCTGCAACAAACCTCCCCAAGACCTTCCCCTCCTGCGTGACCAGTAAGCCTGTTGGCCTCTCTGCAAACACCACAAGGAAACCAGATCATAAAAATAGGCTGAGTACCTGCAGGAGAAGCAGAAGAGCTAGTGCTGGAGAGTGCCTGGCTTTACAACCGTCCTCCTGCTGCCCGGAGCTGAGCTGTGTGAGGAGTAACGTCACAGGAGAAAGGGGAAAACAATAAAATAAATGTTGATTAGAAACTGGAGCTCTAAGCACTGCTCCCCACAGAGGTGTACTTTGACCTCAGGGACCTGAAAGTCCAACCACACAGAGTTGCTTGAAAAAAATCAAGGCTATTTTAGCGACTTACTCTTTGTAAGGGAAAACTGAGTTAATGTGCTAAACTAAAGCACACCATTGAGCTTGCTGCTCAGACTGGGGTGGCTTACTGTTAAGAAGATGGTAAGGATGCCCCTAGAGAAGAGCTGTGGCAAGCAGCCCCTTCCCCTGCAGCAGACAATGTTCCTTTTTGCCTCCAGAATTATTTCCTACCATGAACCACGCTGAGGTCTTATTGCCCAGCGAGACACTTGCTGTCCTAACAGCCAATGTATAGCAAGAAGCAATAGCAAAGGAACCTCAGGGTGATGTGCACAGCTTTGGACACCTTTTTGGAGATACCTTCCTGCAAACAGGCTCCTCCAAAGAGGCTCTCCATGGCCTGAGGCAGAGTTAGTGATCTACAGAAAACAAACCTGCCAAAAATAGCATGGAGTTTTGAAAGGTCTGAAGCTCTCTGGGCAGTTGGCTCCAAGGGAGTAAATTGTTCAGACTGGGGAAAAGCTGCCAGGGAAGTGGTTCAAGGCACAGGACACGCTGTGTTAAAATCATTCTGCATAGACCCTCTGCACGCAAACTGCCCATGCTTCACTGTGCACAGTGGGGAAAATAAAAAAATAAAAAATAAAAAATAAATCAAATTTCTAATATGTGGAAATTTGGACACAGCTGAAAATGCAGTGTGATGTATTGCATTCTGCCCCAAGTTAAGAGAAAGGACATCTGGAGGATGCTGGGAGGGAACAAAATGCCTGTTTTGTATCCTTTATGTACAGCACAGATCGACTGGGCTAGATGACCTTTAAAGGTACCTTCCAACCCAAAACATTCTGTAATTCTATAATTCCATGATTTTTCTCCCCCAGTTGTCTAAGTTAACCCACAGATTTTCCCCCAAAGTTACTTTGTGGGTTATTTTCTGTCTCTGAACACCTGTTGTCAACCAGCAAGGAGCTGAATAGATAAACTAATCCTGGGACATGCAACAGAACCCTCGTGCCTTCCTGGTTTTTAAGGTCACAATGGGTTTTCCAATGCTGGAGAATGCAGAGCTGAGGTGGAAATGGGACATACAAAGGAGGTACCAGCAGGCTGATAGGTGCGTGCTGCACAGACAGAGCTTGGTAAAAGGCTGTTGCTTTTATTTATTTATTTATTTATTTATTTATTTATTTATTTATTTATTTATTTATTTATTTATTTATTTATTTATTTATTGTTGGCTTCCCAAACCTCACTTTCATCTGAAAAATCCTATATTTGTTTTCTTTATTAAAACTCTCAAAGCTCTTCTCACAGGTGCCAGTAACACCAACATTGAGGGCACTAATAGCTCTTATCAGCTCCAAGCTGCCTCACCTGGGGCTTCCACCCCACACCCATGGGCCCAGGAGCCAATTTAAGCTCAGCTCAGGGCCATCAGCCTCTATTTGAGTGATGATGTGGGGCTGCTGGTCTCCACCTCAGCCCCAAATGTGTTTTTGCCTGACCATGGACACTGCTGGTCCTGGATCTTGACCTTGTCTCACCCTTATGGACCTGCATGGTGATGGTGTGCTTACTGACCCATTAGATCAACATCAGGTAGTCTGATCTGGGGTCAACAAGTCCAAGAAGCAGCAGTAAGGATGGGGCTAACCCCCTTGGAAGGGGGAAGGTGGGAAGGAGTTGGCCTCTCTTAGGTAGACTCTATAGAAAAAAAGACTGTCCTTTGGTCTGGGAAATGGTTCCTATCTGTTTTGAGATCTTAGGGAGTTCCATGACATCAAACCATCTGAGTAGTGTGAGCAGTGCTTTTATTTGCTTTTTATTGAACCAATAAGCTCAGAGTCTTTAGTTTTTTAAAGACAAGTCTATCTTGGATAGGATGTCAGCCTCCAAGTCACCAACACAGGATGCAAGAATTGAGTGAAGACCATATTTTTAAAAACAATATGGTAACAAGCTGTGACATTCTTATGGGATGCTGTGTAAGAAAATGAGGGTAAGAAAAAGATAATCCTTGAGAAGCATTTTCCCTGAGATGCTAAAACAGTAGCATTTACTTCACTCCAATTGGCAGAGTAATTGTGCATGCTTAGATATAATAGCACTGCAGCATATCAGGGTGGCTTGATGCACTGTGACCCTCTTGCTTCAGCACAGGTTCACTGTAACATCTGAGAGTAGATAAAAAGGAGAGAGTCCTGGGGAGCAGAGGGCTTTCATCATTCAGCTGTGTGGCACAGCAGGCAGTGGTCTGGTGAAGATGCACAGCACGGGCACTCACCTGGGCAGAAACTTGAGGTTTGGGAGTTTTTTCATTGGCTGTACAGTGATTTCTTTGTGGGAGGAAGCTGTGCTTTGCCCCTGGAAGCTCCACTTCCCCAAAGGAGATCTAGTCTAATACTGACAAGGTAGCTGCACCTTGGTGTTGAGTTCACTGCATATCAAAATTCAGCCTGGGAAGTTTTACATTTCAGTTTAGCTTCCTGAAGGTGTAGCTGCAGAGGATCCCTGAGCTGGTCTCAATCGACAGGCATCTGCCTCTACACGCTGGACAGGGTGATGGAGTTGAAATAGCTCAGCAAGTCTGCCATGGTGAAGTCCATGGTGATCCCCGAGCCTGCGTAACAACGTTGGATCAGATCCTCCAGCTCTTGGTACTGACGTATGAGCTCCTGCTCCATGGCGTGCCACACCACCTATGGAAAAACAGAGCGTCAGCCTGTGCCAGCTGTATGTGGGGGCTGACTGCAAGAAGATAAGCCATGCATGCTCTGCCACCCTATGACAGGACAAGCCAGAAGGAAGGAACTTCAGGAGAAGACCCACTGCTTTGCAGCCCTGAACTCCCCCCAAAATCATGACACCACACCCAGATAACACCACAATCAATCACCGGCAGGAGATTTTCCTCTGGCGACAGATACTTGTGGATTTTCCTGTAGAGGGTCTCGAGGGCTTTCTTTACTTCCTTGCCTGGGTACCTCTCAATGACCTTCCTCAGCTCTTGCTTGCTGTAGGCCAGCTGGAAGCTGACCTCCTCTTCTTTCACCCCCTGAGCGATGCGGGCTTTCACCCCTTCAAAGAAGTGCTGGAAAAGCAAGGAGACATCCACTGATGAGCTGCATGAAGGTGTTAGGGGATGAAACCTGGCCACTGTCCTCAGTCCCCTTCTCATGACCAAGTGGAAGAGAAGTATCAGACCACTCGTCCTCCAGGAAAGCAGGGCTGCTCTGCAGGCCTGGCTGTGCTTTAGGGCATTTCATCAGTTCTACTTTCCCTCCCTGCTCAGCATGTGGGATCTCTCGGGGTGGCATTACCATGGAGCAATGGGACTGCTGAAAAGTTACTTGTGTTCCTTGGGGCTTCACGCAGTTTGCCCCACTAGAGAGGGTTTGGATTCAAATGGGATCACAGTCTGCAAAACTGTAAAATGAACTTCAGTGTTCTCAGTACTTTGAGGATATTGTGTGTATGCAGGAAAGGCTGCCCCTTAAGGAGGTGTTTCAAAAGGAGTGTGTATCCAGCCACAGGCATGGCTGTCACTTCTAGGAGCCCAGGGCTAAGCCAACCCAAAGGAGTACAGACCTCAGCTAGTTTTTGGAGAAATACCAGGAGCGGGGTAGCTCCGTGAAAGGCTCAATGCTGATAGAGGACTTTTTTTTTTTTTTTTTTTTTTTTTTTTCCCCCCTGCATGTGCTTTTCTAGACACAGAATCTGCTGGGACCTCAGTCAGCCTCTAGTTCAGCCTCCTGCTAAAAGTAGGATCGCCACTGCATTCAGACCGGGGTATCTGGTCTGAAGGTGGGTCTTGAAAATCTTCAAGGACAGACTGTCATTATTTTATTATCCTCATCATGCTTTTTTTCTCTCTAGCTTCACTCCCCCCCCACCCCCCAGTGTGTAACTGTTCTCTCATCATTCTGCTATGCATCTTGGTGATGGACCTGGTTGTGTCTTCTCAGTTACCTCCTAGGGAAGGTTGCTGTCGGGTACACCTAAACCTGTTTCTTCTCCAGGGCCAGGCTCACAGGACACATGTTACTGTTCCCTGGCCATGTTGGTGGTCCCCTTGTGAGCTTGTTCATGATCTGGAGCCCCAAAGCTGGGCACAAGATTTCAGATCTGGCCTAACAAAGGGGGAAAAAAAAAGACTAATATCTTCCTTTGATCTGCTGTCATACAGCCCAATATGCTGTAGGCTGTCTTGGGTATTTCTGCTGCAGTTTGGGGTGGAGAAATATCCTAAATCCTAAGGGTTTTCAAGGAGAAAGAGGTTCCTAAAGTTACAAGCTTCTTTCAAAAACAGGTGTGGGCTCCTAGGTTACTCAGTGCCTTTGCAACTACCCTTTGTGTTGAACTGAGCTCAAACCTGAAGAGCTACATGGGCTGTTAGAGGTGGCTGTCAGGTGTCTGAGCAGAACACCAAGTACCTTCATGTTATTTGGAGCAATGAAATTCTGCTTTCCCTCACAGACGGAAGTATTTGAAGACATTGGCATGTCACTGCTGAAAGCAGCATGAGATGCTGAGCTGATCTTCCCGTCAAACCTACAAGATGTTTGACAGCGAAGACTGCAAACAAATTGAAAGGAGCAGGTCTTATAAATGATTCAAGCTGAACTCAGTCTGAGATATTTTAGGCCAGTGAGTGGGTTGAGAAGAAGCAGAGCAAGGAGGGGTCTTGAGAGCAGCCATCATCTCAGAGGAAGGGGGATGCCTGGTTGAGTTAGCAAAGCCTGATGCTTTTAGCTCAGTTCGCAAAGCAGTCACCTGGGAAGTGTGAGGTTCTCCTAGGCTAATTAGTCCAGGCAGCTGTGCAAAAAGAAACTAGCATGTTTCTAAATTTGATTTCCCTCCTCTGGACCCTGTCCTGTGAATTCGTGACTTTATGAATTGCAGTGACCTTTTGATGGGTCAGTTTATTCTGTACTCACGTTGAGCTTTTCCAGTGGCTGGCCCAGGTAGGTGATGACATATTTCTCCATGTGCTCGCTATACCTTTGCTTGGCTTCCCTCTTTTTGTCCTCCAGGCACTGTATCTTCTTTTGGCACAGGAAGCAGTGAATGTGGTGGAAATTCTCCATCATGACCATGTCTGTGTTCACCTTGAGATTTGCTGAGGACAGGCTATTGACTGAAAAGACAGGGACAGGTATGGAGAGAATCAAGGGCTGAGGTAAGCTTCATCACAGGCTGTTCAGCTGTCCGACTGCCTTGCCTTCCAGGGCAGTGTACTGGCTTTGGAGCTATAATATTTTATAATTTACCCAAAAGTGTGCAGAGACATTTGGGTCTAATCCAGCCCTATCCAAATCTTTCATCAGGTCTCACCATGCTGCCAACCACTAGCTAGCTGGTCTGGAGAGGGCAGGAGCTCAAGTAGCTCACTGTGTATGCAGAGCAGAGATGGCCCTTCTCACTCCTCATGGTGAACAGGTCATTAGGACATCTTATTTGAACTGTCTCCCCCTGAAATGCTGGAGGGAGGAACTATAATGCAAATACTGGCTCTTGCTCATTAGCTTTATTCCCTATCTCACCCACTTTGCTTTAAAGATTGCTTGTAGCATGGTAGGGCCTGTTTATGCTCCAACCCCAAGCTCATCTGCAGATAGGAGCTGCCCTTCTGCGCCACCTCATGCTCTTGGAGGCTTGGACTTATTACTTCTGCAGTGCCTCAGGTCTTCTCCAGGCTGGGAAGTGGGGTCTCTGCACCCACAGCCAGGGACCCTACTGAGAGCTGCCTGCCTGGCTCTCCCAACCCCTCTCCCTCTGTCTTAGTACTTTGGGGACAAAGTTACTCTCTGGCTGCTGGTGCTCCTGAGACCTGTCCTTGCAAGAAGGATCTGTAGTGAGAAGCATCTTCTCTGTAGCAGAGAGCCTGGTGTTGGATTCAGAGCTAAGCTTGTGTCCCAGCCTCTGCAAACATCCCAGGCGGCATGCACCTTGTACTCTGCAGTCTGAATTTGTCAGATGCTCCAGGTCTTTGCTTGGGGAAGGCAGATCCAGCCCAAGCAGTGTTCAGGAGGCAGGTAGCCTGCATGTACCCTGCTCTGGTGGCTCAGCTGGTTGCTGATGACTCCTGAGGCTGCAGCCTTATGGTTGCCACCAGTCTTTGTACTCACTGCTGCTGAAGACACTGCTGGCCAGCCTGAGGTGTGCTTTGTCCAGCTCCCCTCTGCGCTGAGCTGTCCTGAACACCTCCTCTGAGAAATTCACAAACTCCTCGAAGCGGCTCACAGAGGGCAGGATTCCACCTCTCAACTTGCTGGGTGCCTTCGCCTCCTTGATTTCTTTGCACAAGGTCCCCTGGTAATGATACAAAAAATATGCTCAGGTCTGTCATGGCCCCAGCCCCATCTTCCAGCAGGCAAAGCCACAGGCCAGAAAACAAGCAAAGCAGTGAGTTGTGTACTGCTTTCTACATTTACAAGGCCGGACTAGCAGCAACAGCCTCCCTTCATGAGTCTATGGGAAGAGGTGAGCTTCCTTGCCTCTGGCTGTGTCTGAAACCATACTGGCTGCTCTTCTGGAGCTGGTGTGCTTGGTCTCAGGCTGTGTGGTTCTTTGCTCAGGACATAGTTCTGCCTCCTCACACATACACCCAAAGGACAGAGGCTCTCCCCTCTGCTAATTCTGGCACTTCTCAAGCCAGTTTGGGAACAGGCTGTCTGCTCCAGGTCTTGGCAGAGATGCCCTTGATGCCAGCATGTGGCTTCCCTTGACCTCAGCAGTGTCAGGGCCAGGTTTTTCACTTCTGATGGGATCTTGATCACCCCACGCTCTCCTCCCTACCACTTGGTTCTTGAGCAAGTCCTGCTGTGCCAGCAGGAGTGCAGAAGAGCTTGGCTGCAACAACTTGATATGCAGCCATCGCTTCAACAGCCTCCCAGAGCAGTATATGGGGAAAAACTCTCCAGTTTCCTCATTCTGATAAGAGCAGGCACGTGTGGCACTTTATTTTATTGTGCTTCACCTCTCAGACATAATCAATGAGGGGCTAAGTCTTCCCAAAACCAGAGTCAGATCCACATCTGATACACACCAGCACTACCAGTAAAGCCCAGATTAGAAGTTTAGAAGACCCTGGAGGAGGTCAACCACCACCCATATCTATTTGGCCTTGCTCTTACCAACACTCACAATGCACTTGTTGAAGCTGCTCTTGGCCAGCAGCAGCATGTTGCCCAGGACAGTGTTGAGGAAGGATGAGGGGGGAGCTGAGGAAGAGCCCCACATCTCAAAGACGGAGTCACTCAAGGTAACCAGGACCTGCAAGCAGCTGAAGGGGTGGGTCTTATTGCAGACATCTAGGAAGCCTCTCAGCTCAGGCTCCAGTGAACTGAAAATCTCACTCAGCAGCCGGGTTGTAGGTTCTTCTAGTCTTAAAAATAAAAATAAAATAATTAAATGGGGAGGAGCACTGATGCTGTGGCCAGCTGGAGAGGCATGTGCAAAGCTACATAAGGGAGAAGGAAAGCCTTCTGTATCACAGTAGAGCTTATTTATTGCTTGAGTCCTCCAACTCTTCCACATCTCTGCCTGTGGGAGGACACTGAGGTCCTGTTTTCCCATCCAAATGGAAAGTTTGTGGTTTTATGCTGGTATTTTTTCTATTTTTTTTTTTTTCCATAATATGCTTTCAGTTTACAATCTTGCTATTAGGGAACTAAAGCTGATGAAAGCATGATGCCATGACACCCCACTTTCTGTAACCCCCCTGAAGCAGAGCCACTGCACTGGGGAGAAGCACTCTGCCTCTCTGCAAGCCCAGCTATGATGCCTTTGGGTTCTGCTGCTGCCCAGGGTGCAAACCTGAGACTAATGTTGAAATCAGGATGGTCATCAATGGCAAAATAATAATAATAATCTATCAGTTCTTCTGGCAGTCCCTGTAGGACACTCTGGACCATGCCCACATCAAAGCAATGAATTGCGTGATCTACATACTGGCTCCGAGGCTTGGTGCAAGGAGGATCCTCTGCAGATGCCATGTTTTCTCCTCCCTTAGAGGCAGGTAGCTGAAATGAAGAAAGAGGTGGAAGTATAATCTGCATGTTCTCTCAGAGGAAAGCTTGACACCACAGAATCATAGAATGGCTTGCATTGGAAGCGACCTTAAAGATCATCTAGTTTCAAACCCTCTGCCATCGGTAGGGATGCCACCCACTAGATCAGGTTGCCCAGTGCCACATCCAACTTGGCCTTGAACACCTCCAAGGAAGGGGCATCCACAGCCTCTCTGGGCCACCTGTCCCAGTGCCTCACCACCCTCTGAGTGAAGAATTCCTCCTCAAATCTAGGTTTCATTTCAGCAGAAGTCATGCTGCATCGTAATGCAGTCTCACAGTTGATGTTTAGATATGCTAAGATCTTGCTGAAACCATCATTTAAGTTCAATTTTCTTTTGTCCTCAGGGAGTCTCAACACCACCAGCAGTCCTGACACCACTGACTACTGCCAGAGGACCAGAGCCCAGGAGAGCTCCGGTAAGCAGATAAAGGTAATCAGACACCCCACTGTGCCTGATGGGGCTTGTATCAAGCTAGAGGGATGGGCCAGTGACACTGGAGAGGACCTAGTCCCCATGCTTACCTCCAGCACCTGCAGCTCGGCGGTGTTCTGGCTCAGGTGGAAGAACTTCTCAATGAACTGCTGCTCCGTGGTGCAGAGGGGCTGCAGCTCTCGCAGCACCTGCTCCAACATCTGCTCAGAAACCAGCATGCACGTTAAAACTCCCAACACACACTGAGGACACTGGGATGGGTGCCCATGTCCACCTGAAGTGACATGTAAGCCAGCAGTACAGAACAGCTCTGTTTCAGCCCCAGGTACGCAACACCGGAGAAATGGCCCTGGGATGTGCTGCAGCACTGGGCACAGCCCTTGTGGGACATGTGAACCATTTTGAAAACTTCATCTCCTGACCTTGATGACGTTTCCTCTGTCCGGTGTGTCCTCCTGTCCTTCTCTGCTCCCTGGGAGGCTCCAGCGAGGGTGCTGCCTGCTCCCCATCACCATCGGCTTCTCCAAGCCCTCCTGAAGACCTGCAACAGGCACAGCGTGGTGGCTGGGCATCTGTCCCTCCTGGCCTCTCCAGATCCTCTGATCACTTTAATGGATTGAAACATCTTTCTTTATTACTGATCTTTGGTGTGTTTTGGCCTTTCCCCAACAGATTTTTATCAGGTTCAAATATGCAGGGGATACAGTTTTGTTCTTTTTTTTTTTTTTAATCTACCTTCTCATCTGTTTTTCAGTCATTACTTTCTTCTTGTTTCCCTGTGATACTTTTCCTTTTGCTTTTTAGGGCTTAGTACTATATATTGAGGACTGGGGAGTGAAAAATCCTGGGTGATAAGAGCATAAATCAGCAGAAATGCCTGCAGGAGTTTCAGGAGAAATGTTTGTTGCTTAGTTCTTATGCTAAATTACCATTCAAACAAATCCCTGAAGGGGACGATTGGCTTTTTCAGCAACTTGCTTTCTTCAATTATAAGTGTTCATCTGGAAATTAATATACTTTTCAAACACTACCAGTTTTTACCACAACATTTCCTTTCCTGCCTGGCTTAAGTTGAAAAGTTGAAAAATGTATTTGAAATGTGCATCAAAAACAATTATATCCAGGGAAAGAAATCAGTGGGGAAACATCCCTATTTTCTAATTGATTCTAAAAGTTGGTATCATTCCACTAACCCCAGACCTGGGTGACTCAGGCCAGCTCTTTATTTTCTGTGATATCCAAAATATCCTTATTTGAGCCAATACCTGCAGGGCCTTTACCTTTGGAAAGGATTTGTCAGATGTCCTACGCAGCAAGAAGGGATGAGAGATGACAGACAGCCCTTCTCATCCCCCCAGCCTTGCAAAAACCATGGAGAAAATTAACGAGCTGCTTCCTAATATTTTTTCCCACCCTTATGCAACAGGCAATGATCATTTCACTTGCTGAGAAGTGGCAAAACTAGGAAAAAATTTCTCCCCACAGCAACCAGGAAATAATTTTACAGGTCTAAGTTTTTGTGTGGAAAATGGAATGGAAAAATGAGGAGAAAATTTAATTAGTGACTCAATTGTAAAGAGGTTGGGGTTTGCTTTGTAAACTGCCCTATAATACTTGAAACAAGGCAGCAAATCATCAGGTTGGGTATTTAGAAGGGATCAACATAAACAATCCTTTATGAGGCAGGGAAACAACCCGAAAAATTCACTGCTGGGGTCGTGATTAGAAAGAAAGAGGCAGTGGGAGCTAGAGAAAGCCTGGGAAGAAAGCCAGGAGACACAGGAGTTTCTCCTGGGATTTTAGTTACTTCTGTTTTATGGGGCTTGCATGAGTACTAACGATGGACCAAGTGCTGAAAGGAGATGACTGGCTTCGTGTTTACGGAGGGGGATTAGGTAGACTGGCTGCGACACGTGTCCTGTGCTATCTTTATTTAGCAAGGCTGGCTTCATAAAGGTCTGCTTTAACAGCCCAGCCATGTCTGCACCTGCTCAGTGCCTAGGACACAAAAGGGTGATGGTGTTTTTCCTGTTGCCCAGCAGAACTGAAGTCCCTTGCTCAGAGTCCATCTATCACTTCGGAAATAGGAGCCAGGGCCTCTCCATCCCACACACAATCTTTGTTGTTTCCTTCTATTTAAGTAAAAGTAATCATCCTTCTTCAGGAAATGGGGTTTGGCTACATTATCTTATAAACCATGGAGCAGTTTGCCTTCCCACTGCCAATTCCCTGGGTTTGCTTGCTTGCCAGTATGTTCATATTCTTTTATCAGGAATTCCTATTTTTAAGCAAAAAAAAAATAGGAATTCCCCTAGGAGAAGCTGTGTCCAGGCATCAAGGAGCCAGGGGGGTGATAGGAAGGTTATCTTTTGTTAACTGTTTGTATTACCCTATCTGCCAGGCTTCCAGGAGGGGTGTTCAGGATGACAGATGAGGTTGCAATAGACCCGTGGCAGAAGTGTCTTCCTTTACAGCTCTTATGAAATGCCTTCCTCTTCCAGAAATTCTATATCTCAGTATTATCCTGGGATTATTATTATAGCTTCGTTTTATTTTCCTGTTATCTTCTGGCTATAGGCTTCCCTGCATCCTCCAGCAACAGTGACAGCTTGCAGCAACAAGTACAGCAGGTTACCAGCATTGTGCACAAATGATTTCCTACTCCCAGTTTTTCAGCCTGTCCCTTTGATTTTATTGCTTGTTATCTTTTGGTTTTTAAATTACAAGGGTAGTAATAATGTCATATTGACTTTCCCTGCACAACTTGTGCTTTAATGCTTTTTACGTTATTCTTTTTCTTGTGGAGAGTTCTTGATTTTTTATTATTTTTTTTTCAGCCGGGTGATAATTATCTCTCTTGGCTCCATAGTTGGGCAAATCATTCTGGCATGGAAAAATCGGTTTGTGGTGACTATAAAAAGTTTTCCTGGAGGTGTTTCCCTCCATTACTTGCAAAATTTCAAAAAGGAAAAACTTTAATTAAGGGTCAGTACCTTAGCTAGTGGGAAAATCCAACTCCCTACTGCTGCCTGGCATCACAGCCCAGACTTGGGGGGCAAAGGGGGGTGAGCAGAGCCAGCAGCCAGGGCCAGCAGTGCCCCAGGGGAGCTGCTGAACCTGCCGTGGTGCAGAGGGAAGTGATGCTGAGCGTTCCCAGCCCCAGGGATGCAGCGTGTGTCATCTGGGCAAGAGGCAGAGCCCTTGGCTGCACTCCTCCAGCCACCATCAGGCACCAGCCCTCTTTCCTTTGACCTCTGTCTCCAGCCAGCATGCAGGGTGTCTCCTGGGATGTGGAGACAAGTGATGAAGTAGGTGCAGAGCTGAAAGCAGCCAGGCTAGTGCTCTGATGGACTAAACACACCATGCGAAGTGGTTTCTGACATTCAAGCTGGGCCAAGCTGGCATGGAACTTTCCATTACAGTGCTTTGTTTTTCTGAAGGAAAATGTGATTTCTGTGCAATCAAAAACTTCCAGAGGAGACAGATCAGTTTCTCTTTTTATCTTCAGAAACACCTGACTGGAATATTTTGAGTCAGATGCAGCCATTCCTGTTGAAATGATCACCTTGGGACAACACAGCCCCACAGCCAGCTCAGTGTGAAATCATTCTGTTCTCACAAATATCGCTATGAATACACTCATGTCTTCAGGGACAGGCTTGGTGCCATCTCTTTACAGGGAGAAGTGCCTGACCAGCTCTGCTTGTATGAAATATGGACCAGGCATTAGCCAGGCACTCCTATGTCCCCCTCGCTTATGGCTCCTCAGGACGTGATCCCAGCCACCCATGCATCGTTTGGGAGTCCTGAAATGGCAAGATACACAGAAACTACAGCCCTGAGAAGCAGCTAAACAATGCTGAATAATACATGGGGCCATGGCTCACACAGACACCACCTGGTGCACATCAGAGCCAACTTTGTCACCTGCTGCCAGCTGCAGACCTGGCCATAGGGCAGGAGGGAAGCTCGTGGCACAGTAACACCCGTGATGGGGAATGATTGCTGCGTTCCCTACTTGCAAACAAATTACTGCTCAGCAGCACAAAGGTCACATCTGAAAGTCACTTACTTCCTTTTCTTCTTCCCAACAAGAGCATTTTGGCTTGTTCAAAAAAGGCTTTGATTTCCCTGTCGTAGAGTCTGCTGAGGTTCTGGGCATAGACCTGAAACAACAAGACAGGCACAGGAATTTCCTCTGTATCTCATCTCCCCATGACCAGCTCCCATCTCAGAGCTTTTTCCTCAGCTGCCCAGTTGAAGCAAAAGTCAGCAGATGGTAACTGAAATGGACCTAGTGTTCTTGGGGTGTAAGACTTTTGAAAAGGCAAAACACAGTAACAAAAATGAAAACCAAGCCTTAGTGATATACAAGGAACCATCTCGTTCATTCAACAATGTCCGTATTAGCAGGAGATGCCAAGGATTTTAAGGGCTTCCCAGAACTCTACAAATAAAAGACAGTTGAATAAAATACAATCAAGTGTTGTATGAATGATGTTTGAATGAATGCAGTTCATCTTATCAAGCACATGCAGTAAAGGGATGCCCAGATGACGGCAGCAATACCAAATTTTGGCATTTCAGACCTTTTCCTTCAACACAGTATCTGTCACCAAGTCCCATACCTATTTCTGTCAAGCCTAAGGTGACCAAGCTGGCCAGACTCTCTCCTAGAAATGCCAAATGCTGGAAGCATTTGGAGAAACTGAGCTCTCACCGTGAGTTGACCTCTTGGATGGATATTTGGGATTTCAGCCATACCTTGGGGAGATCAGAGAAGAGAACTGGGTTGGCATTCCTCAGCCAGGCCGTGAGCGGGGTGTAGGGTGCCAGTTCCTCATGGTGGAGACTATGGCTTGGTGCAGAGAGCTTGTCAAAAGGGTTCATGAGAGCATCGACCTGAGCATTGCCCTAAAGCAACAGAAAGGACAGAGAGTGCTGAATAAAATGGCCTCGGGAAGTTCTGGAAAACAGTTGTTTGCTAACCACCCTTGGATTGGTAATTCTGAATGTTTGAGAAGCAAATTTAAAGGCCAGAGAGGATCGGAGTGAGCACTTTGAACTCCAGTTTTAGCCCTATGTTGGGTGAAAAATTCTGAGCCCAGAGGAATGATTTGGCCCATCAGTAATACATGGGATGCAGTGGCTAAATACAGTGGATAGGATAAGACACAGGGAGATCCCACAGATCCCTGCCAGACACATCTCTTCCCAGGTTCAACCCTTGAAAGTCAATGTCAAGCATCTAAGGCTGTAATGCTAAGGATTTGGGAGCAACTCCTCTTCACGAAATGAAATCTAGAAGAGTCACATTGTCCTTCCAAACTTCTCCCCACCGTGTCCACCAGATCTTTTATATTGCATGACGAACATTTGAAAATGTTAATCAAAGGCTCAAGGGATTGGGTTTTCTCCTGGGATTTTGCGTAACAAGCAAATGAACAGCCACCACCACTCCTGAATTAAAATGAGAAAATGTAAAGCAAAAAATCTAAAGCAAAACCACTTCTCTTTGTAACGTGACCCGAGGATTAATGATGGTGGCATCCCCAACACCACTGGTGCTAATTTACCAGGATAGTCAAGTTCCTCAGAATGCTGTGCTGCTGTGTGGAGAGTGACACCCACCTGCAGCTCAAAGATGTTCGTAATGTGACTGATGAAGCTGTTTTCGAAGTTCTGCCTGAGCGTTTCAAACATGATCAGCTGCTCCGCCACAGCCTGTAGCTTTCGGTAACCTCGAGACAAAGCAGGAGAGGTGTTAGAGTGGCACGGAGTGGCACTGGGGCCTTTTGTCACCCAGCACCCTGACAAATGCAAGACGTGTTCAAAGCGTAAGTTCTGGGGTGAATGCTGCCCCCTAAAAGCCAACAAATGGAAGAAAGTTTGCTGTGATATTGTGCAAAGAGAGATAAGGAGGCTCATGGAAGCTCCAGCAACATCTTCAGAAGAAAGCCACCTCTGCCAGCCTGTGTCCCAGCTCATTTCTCTGGCTGTGCCGCAGGGAAACGGTGCGTGAGCAGCACAAGTGGCAGATAAGCTGATGTCTTTACCCTTCACAGACGTAAATCTCTGCCCTCGCCTTACCAGGCTGTATCTGGATGTTCATGCAGCCAGATAATGCCTCTGCTGCAGCAACACAGGCTTTCAGGCCGCTGGGGCTGGAGAGGTCTGCCCGGCTCAGGGCCTCGCAGTGCTCCTTGCCAAGGTCGAGGTGGGTCTGAAAACAAAGCCAGAAGAGAGCAGGTACAAACACATCCAGCTCTGCATCCCTTCCCATTCCACCTGGAAGGCTGCTGGCTTCAAACAGCCAAGTGCTACCTTCAGCTGCCAGGCTGCAATTGTCCATCGAGAAAAAAAGCTAAGGAAAAGGCTAAGAAATAAAAAGGTCAGTGGTGTAGAGGTCACCATAGCCAGTGGAAGTGAGGATTTGCTGTGCTATTACAGCACAATTCTTGCATTTATGGTGTGTTATTTTGGTAAATAGCTTGCCTTTCCATATGGCATTACACAGGTTGAGGCTCACCTTGCCCATGAAAAAGACCTTTGGGGGTCCCTCTACAGCACTGGGCCACAATGAGGGCACTGTGCATCGTAATTGCCACCAGTCTGCCCGTAGCCCATCCCAGCTGTGTGTCTGTCCTTATATTATCAAGACAAAGTTCCTCATTTCTAGGCCAGAGAAGTTCCGTGGCCTTTGCAAACAGTTTTCAGGGTTTGTGGTTCACTGATAGCTTCTGGAACAGATTTAACAGCCTTTGCAAATCCACATACCGTGAGGAAGAGGATCTCATCCATCAGCTTCGTCTTGTTAGAGAGGATGTGATGGAGCAAGGAGTTCTCCTGGTGGATGTGGTCCATCTGCTGCTTCACGCTTCCCAGTAACTCATCGTAGACCTGCAAGGTCTCCTCCACTCTGGCCACCTCTGCCAGGGCCTCATCAATGGAGCTCATCAGCTTGGTCACCTGCTTCTCAGAAGAGATGATGGCCCTCAGGTTGGCCTGTGAAACGGAGAAACAGAGGGCTTCAGCACAGTGCCAGGGGCTGAGCAGCACCATCTCAGAGCCAGATATCCTGACCTTCATCCTCCCAAGTCAAAGCAGAGTCTTCATCGTCATAACATGCAAGACAGCTGTCCTGCATCACTATCAGCACAAGGTCAATGTCTTATCCTTGCACTCAGCCAAACTCTACATCGGCAAGTCCCAGGTGCCAGGCTGAGCTGCTCTGGCAGTGGAATTAATAAACAGTTAAATCATGCAGGAGACACATGCATATGTGTGTCTCTAATATGGCAACTGAAGGCATTATTTGCCCCTGGAGGTCCCGGGCATTTGTTTTGACGGGTGGTGGAGATGTAACAGCATGTTAATTGTTGATGACAAGCTCCACTAGAGATTAACCGCTTCCAAATGTTAATTGTATCATTTTCAGGGCCTAAGTACCATGCGGGATATCAAGGAAAATAATCTATAGCCATGAGCATGGGAGGCATGAGTCTTCCAGCCTGCTATCTTTCTCTGCCTTAATCAAGCTTTTAAAGGAGTTTGTCATTTCAGATATTTCAATTATCTGTTGAGTTCCTTATTAAATGAAGGGCAGCATCTGCACTCAGTATGCCCCACACTCGGCTTTCTGATGGGAAATGCTCAGAAGGAGAGAAGCAAAATCTTGTCCACCCAAGTCAGGTTGTCACAGCTTGGACCCCCCCCCGTGCACTGAATGAGGAGTGTCTGAAAGCTGGTTTCCTGCACGGTAGCTGCTGGCCATCTATAATCCCCATGTCAAGAGGTTTCTCTTTTTCAAACTCTATCTCCACTGCTAGTGGAGTAAGGATGGGCTGGCAGCTCCAGATCTAGAGGTGGTACGTGCAGGACAAGACACCGGAGCATCACAGAGCTGCTCCTAGAATGCGTGAGAGCCACTCTGCAGCCCCTGCCTGGATCTGGTGGCTTCAATATCATGGGCAAAATGTGTATTAAAACCTCCCGTGACAAATTCAGCACAGTTTTAGGAGCTAAACAGCTGAGAGCATGGGAGGAAGGGCTGGGGGCAATGGCATCAGCTGTAGACAGATTCACAGAGGGTCTGGCAAGGTCAGAGAAACCCTGTAGAAAAGAAAAGCCTGAAATCGTAGCAGTCTCTATCAGAAGGGAGAGATGAAGCTGCCTGTCTGCAAAGAGCTGCAGTGTTTCCACAAAGGCAGGGCAGGCAGAGATTTCAGTTGCCAATAGGTCAGTAACTGCGTATTTTAGTGGGGCTTTCTGGTCCATGATATTCATCTCAGAAAGCAACAACAGCGTTAAGAAAATGTTCCTTTTGCCCGGAGCCCAGCCCAGCACGAGGACCTGCGAGGGAGCAAACAGCCCCGCTGCCAGACTGCCGCTTTCCAGCCGCACACCGGGGATCTTCACTTTGCTATTAAACACTCCTAAAACACAGCCACAGCCCTCCCACAAGCTGGTCACTGCTCTGCCTTCGGATTGTCTCATTAGGGCTTAACAGGAGGTGGCCAAGAGCAAAGCATCACCGGTGGCAGGGCCGGCAGAAGGGCTCTGGAACATCGCCACTCGGGCAGCGGTAATCGCGCTCCCGCCGGACACGGTGCACAAAATCGCTGGGAGACGCACGAATTCTGGTGTGTGCTGGGGTCCTGCGAGCACGTAGGAATACCAATGTGGAAATCAGGCCCCCCAGGTGCCCTGGCCATGCTCTCCTTCCCTCCGAAGCCTCCAGGCTGTTGGCACGCTGCTTGGCCATCCCCAGAAGAGATGGGCTGGCAGAGGCTGATTAGCGCTGCAACGGCGGCACAAGGTGTTATCACTGGGGTGTGGGGGAAAAAACGTCTAAATATATGCATGTGCTGGTCTAACTTGCTGCTATCAATTACACTTAATATCGTAGATCAAGCCTTACAAATAGAAACATCTCATTAATTAATTTGCATTAACAGTAAGCAATGTTTATTCGTTAGAGGGCATTAAAATAATGTATTCGGCAGCGCCTTTTGACTCAAAGAACTTAACTTAGAGCTTTATTGGTTGCCCTTGCAGTGTGTTTTATAGCTGGGAAATGGAGTTGCAAAGTGCCTGTATGAGAGCAAGCAGGAACAGCCCTCAGGAGTTCGATTTTCCAGATTAACTACTTAAGTTTCCAAGCATAACTCATACGGAGACACAAATTGGGAATACAGCAGCTACTGGAGCTGAAGGAGGCTGGCTTTAGGGTTTGTGGTTTCTATTATGTTTTAGAATATTTCCTTTGGCTTGTTTTTTTCCCCATTTGTTCTCCATTTACCTGCCTATAAAAGCCTATCACCAGGTACAATAGCAGGACTCTTTATCAGGAATTGTAGTGATAGGACAAGGAGTAATGGCTTTAAAGTAAAAGAGGGTAGATTTAGATTAGATATAAGGAAGAAATTCTTTACTGCCCTCAGAAATCCCAGCCCCTCACTGCTACCATTCCCCCCACATCCCCGTGCCTCTGGGCTCTGCAGCCTTCAGGCTCTGTGTGCCTGCCATTTATTTTGTTTTACTCCTTCCAAAGCTGACCGACCATGGGCTTCTCTGCCCTGGTGTGCCTGCAGATGAGTGGGTCAGCCTCTGTTTCCCCCGCAGTCATTGGAAAGAGGCCACGCACGCTGATGTCCAAGCGCAGTGAAAACAGAGCTGCTGGTGCAGATATTCATCAGCAATGATGTTAATTCTGGCCGGGCTGCCAGGCTGCAGGGAGCGCTGGCCTCTGCAATCACCTGGCTACCTCCCAGCAAAAGCTGCTGGTCCTTCCTGAGCCCCACAGCCCGCAGGGTCCCACCCAAAGCCCCTCTCTTGGGCAGCCCCGCTGGTTCATCGCACATCGCAGATGCTGAGATCAGCTGGGCTGAGATCATCTCCTTTGGGATGAAGCAGCAAAGCACCAAGACGTCTTTGAGACCGAGTGCTTCCAGCACCTGGGAGGGCTGACAATGCCCAGTGACTCGACCCAGTGCCCCTCCACGCCAGGCACCATTTTTCTGTTGAATCACAGCCCTCGCCCCCCTCACCTCGTCCAGCACGTGCAGGTCGTTGCTCAGCTGCTCGGCAAAGGCCACGGAGTTGTTCACAAGGGGCTCGTACTCCTCCATCAGCCTCAGCACATCCGCAGCCTCCTTCGGTGTCATCTCCTGGTAGGCACTGAGCTCCTCCTGGCTCTCAGTCTCTGGAGCATCCTTCCTGTCTTCCTGGGGCCTTTGTCTCCCTGCGTGGACAGGAGGACATGTGGGTACAGCCAAATTTCATCATTTCATAAGCTCTGCTCTCCCTGGGGTGCCACTGAGTCCCATCTGGGGTCACAAGTGACACGAGTCCAGTGGTCTCAGCCTGCTGGCCAGTTAGAACAGCATGGAATAAGGAAATGTGTGGTTGGGATAAAGGAAAGGCAGCTTTCTAAGGGACAAACATCTGAAATTTAATTTGAGCTCTGGCTGTGTTTTTTACTCACCTCTCTAGGACTGTGTGTAGGGGCATGGTGACATGTTATACAAGGCTGAAACGAATTTCAGAGGTGAACAGGCTTCTTCTCGTCAAATGCAACACTAGTGGCAGGTTGTAAAATAAATACATTTTGGTGTTACCAACACTTGACTGCCCAACCCAGAGTGCAGGCAGCATCTATGAGAAGCCCTCTAAAATCACCAGAGCATGCGACAGGTTCAAGGACAGAGGGATACAGTGATGATAAATTAAAAATAAAACAACACTCTGAGTGTGACAAGGAAATGAATTACCTTCCACGGGACAGGAGGGGACATTCACAAACTTGATAGCCCTGGAGAGGAACCGGTGGTTCAGCTTCCACAAGCATCTGATAAAGGTTTTCTTCTCGTCAGAGCTGCTGGCAGTCCACTTGTAAACCTTATCGAAGTGCAGGTCAAAATCCAGGCTCGCCTAGATGTCAACAGTTAATCACCTCATCAATAATTAAACACCGCTTGCCTCACCACGTGCACTTAACGCAGGTCGGCAGCCTGTTTTAATAACAGGCACTGCATGCTGTGAAAATACCTTGTGCGCTGGGAGGAAAAGCAGAGGTAGGCTGAAGGAGGAGGGAGACACAGCTGTGCTGCAGTTTCAAGCTCTGGGGATTTCGGTGGCCCCAGGAAGCTGCAGCAATTACTGGCAGCTCCTTCTTTCCCTGCTATCTCAGGGTGACTGGGAAGGGTTGGAGAGGTACGGTCAGGGTGCTTTGCAAATAATCCCAGGCATGATAAAAGCACGGAAAACCAGGATGCACAGTGATTCTGACCCCAGGAGAGGACCCTGGGATGCTCACAGTAGGTCAGGCCAAGCACTCAGCCAGTCCTGGTGCCCTGCTGCAGCACACTGATCTCCTTTCAGATTGCATAAATCTCTCACCTTTCGCTGCAGGTTTTGGCGGATGGATGCTGATCAGCTTTGACAGCAGCCAACAGCAGATGCTTGGGAGAAAAGCATTCAAAGGGCAGGTCCGGAGTGATATTGCCTTCAGGATTCCCTGCCAGCCTCCAGCAGCTCACAGATCCAGAGCGCCGTGTTTAACAGCCCTTGAAGGACCTCCTGTCCCTGATTCCCTCTAACAGTTCTTTGAACCTATTCATGGTATTGGTGTCTACAGCGTCCTGTGGCAATAAGCTCTGCAGCTTGACGATGTGCTGGGTGAGAAAGCTCGAATCTACTGGAGTTCAGAATGAGCCCAGCACCCATCTGCCTCCCACTGCAGATATTCCTCTCTGCCGTCCACCAACCTGGAATTTCAAACCTCTCTTCACTCAAGAATTGGGAAAATCCAGAAAAAAGAAAGAAAAAAAAAAAAAAAAGAAAAAAAAAGCTTCACCTGTATCGTCTACTACCCAATTTGCTGCCAGGGAAGGGCAGGACAAACTCTCTCAGGCCACCTTTTTGTTGGTATGTCCTCCTGTGAGCACTTTGACCTGCTGCCAAGCATGGATCTCCCCTGCGTTTGGTCTCCTGAGAACTTCAGGTTACCCCAGCTACAGGCAATGGCTCAGGACATGCAGGAGCTCAGAGAAAGCGGTGTTAACCTCTGCAAAACTCCGAGCTCACAAAAACCCTGCTACCTGGCATCAATGACAGGACATCAGTGCTACAAGGACAAGACCTCAGCTGGCCAAGAGGCAGAGGAGATTCCTGCTCCTCCCTCCAGTCCTAGCACAAATCTCAGGGATGCTTTTCTCCCAGTTTTCTCCGGGTTTGGGGCTTTCCCCTCTCTGTTGCTCTTAAAGTCATTGTGATGGAAATGACCCCGTTTGCTGTGCTGCACCCCAGCCCTGGTTTTTCCAGAAGGTCACTTGAAAGAACAGGAACATGGCCTGGAAGAAGAACACCCTTAGCCTCTCCCCATGTGGTTTTTGTCCATGTAAGTGTCCATGACTTTATCTCTATGCCCAGAGGTTGCAGTCTCATGAAGGGGGAACTCCAGCCACTGGAGACTTTGTGTTTGCCACTATGCAGTGTACGTGGGTGGAGAGAATAAGAGGATGCTGAAGTAGGAACATCCCACAGAAAGAAACCCCTTCCTGCACCATCTCATTATCTCTGCAGCACAGCCTGATCTCCTCTTCTGGAGAATTTAGAAGCCACTCTCATAATTATCGGTACTAATCATCGTAACAGGCGCAGAGTCTGTGCGGATTTATGCAGTCCTGCGATGCTGTAAGGGTCGCTTTCCAGACGCCTTGCAGCAGTACATCTCGCCCCCGCATTGCTCTGCAGGCTCCGTAGCAGCCCCTGCAGCAGCGCAGAGCGGCGATGCCTGGGGGGGGGACTTACAGGGCACGTGGTTTACAGCCTGCCTTACGAGGAGCTATTAAAGCAGGGAGGCCTCTGCTAATCGCTTCATAAATATTAATGCTGTTTTGGTCAAGGGAGCTGTAGCTTTAGCACCTCTGGACTTGCAGTGTCAGGATTTTGTTGGTGCCAGGGCTGGGGTGCAGCGGAGCAGACCGACGGCCAAGCCCCTGCTGTGCGTCCTGAATGTCATCCCATGGGCTGGGGTCCCAGCTATCTGCTGGGAAAGGGTGGGGAGGTCTTATTTGCATTTTCATGGACCTGCCAAGCCATGCACCAGGGAAAGATTGTGCTGATTTGAGCACTGGGCTGTGCTGGGAAGCTCATCTGGTGCTGGGGTCTCATGGTGGCACCGTGTCAGCGTGCCCTGGCTGCAGCTGACACACTTCTCCCCTGCCTGGGGACCTTGTGCAGCAGCTTCAGCTGGAGGCCAGGTCCCATTCCAGGAGTGACAGGGACAATTCTGGCTGCCAGCATTCAGGAAAGGTGAATTCAGCCTGGAAGAGGCAAAGAAAAGAGCTCCAGGCCTGATGAAGGGGATAGAGATGTCAGCACGGAAAAGGAGACTGTGAGGCTGTTCTGCTTAACCTGCCCAAAGGAAGGTCAACAGGGGAGGTGACTGCACTAAAAATACATCTGCAAAGGAGAAAAGCTGTGCAGTCTAAAGGACAGGCACAGCACAAGCGCAAATGGGATGATGTGGGTCAGAATCCAGGCTGGGGGTCACAGGAAGGCTTTAGCCATCAGGACAAGCAAGTTCTCTGTTTGCTTCCCTGTAAGATAGGGTATGGTCAATTTGTCTTGTTGTGTTGGTAAATGAGGGGGAAAGGACTGACAATCCGGGAGGTGTCTCCTAATCCCAGCTCCTCAGGAGCCGAGGCAGGTCAGGAGGCTTGGAGGAACCAGGCTCATCTGCTAGAAGAAAGCTCAGGCAGGATGAAAACATGCAAGGGGAGATGTAAGACAATGGAAATAGCAGTTCAGCTCTAACCATAGGATCAAGATGCCCTGCAAACCTGCAAGCATGATTTGCCTTTCAGCCATGCTGTGCAGATGTACTTTATTTGTCCTGGATGCAGAGCAGGAAAGCTGTTCTTTTTCTCATTTATTTCTATGCTTGTGAAAACCCAGGCACTGCGCCAAGGCCCCTGGAACATTCACATTAATAAAAAAACTAATTATAACAACTTTAACGACACACTGCCAGCCCCGGCAGCAGAGTGGGAATATCTTGTCCGTGCTTTCTTTCCCAAAAACCTTCACGTCACCCTAAAAGCACAGACTCATGCTCACTCCTTCTCTCTACAATCTTTCTTTCAGCAAATGCCTCCATTTAATCTTTAAGTATCCTATGCAAGTGTACGTTGAGAAATGTTGTCAATGTGGATTGACAGATGGGTCTGACGGTGTGTCCTGCTGGAGATCTGACAAGAGCAGTGCCTTGCAGCCCATCTCTCCAGCCTCAGGGTTGCTGCAAAGAGCTTCAGGAGAGAGTTGTCCCAGAGGATAAGGGGATCCTGCCCAGGGATTTTGATGGAGCTGTGTCAATGCAATGGTCAACTACTCGTTGCTCACCCTACCCAAGTGTTTGGCTAGCCTAGCAGAAAGAGAGGGAGGCCTCAGGAGGGAGGACATCACTCCAGCCTCATCCTCCTGGACGCACATGTCTTGTGGAAGAGAAGAGGGAAACGAGAAACCCCAGAGCAGTGCAGCAGGATGGAGGAGCCAGCTAGGGATGGAGAGACTCCAGTGCACCATTCTCTGGGAAACAGCCCTGAGGGAAGGCAGAGGGCTTTGATTTCTTTTTTAGTATTTTTATTATTTTTATAATTAAGTGTCATTCAGGCTGGTTCAGTCCTAGATGAGGAGAGAAGCACCCTTGCTGCTCTTCCCTCCATCCAGGCGGATGGGCTGGGCTGCAGAAGACCCAACCATAGAACAGAATCATAGAATTGTTCAGGCTGGAGAAGACCTCTGAGATCATCTAGTCCAACCTCTAAGCTAAAGTCCACCACCACACTCCTAAGTTCTAAAATCAACAGGTTTCTTGAAGACCTGCAGGGATGGTGACTCAAGCGCTCCCCTGGACAGCCTGTTCCAAATTCCACACAATACTTTCAGTAAAGAAATCTCCTTATGGACCCTGGCATGTGTCTCTCTAGCTTCATATTCATTTCCCTCTGCCATGTCCTTTGCCACAAAAAGAAAATCAATCCTACCTGATCGAGAGTCTTGCCATCCACCAGCTTCAGCTCCGCTAAAGGCCACCTGTAGGCTATCTTGTACTGCTCTCCTCGGTCTACTTTGACCTTCGCCAGAAATGGCTGCACTGGCTTAAGGGCATCCACTGTGGATAAGAGACAGAAAAACAAAACAAAACAAACAAACAAAAAAAAACAACAACAAAAAAAAAAAAACTCACGATATTATTATAAACCATATAACTTCAGTGGGAGTGGATGGGTGCAGGTGGACAGACAGACACTGATTTTGAGTCGTGGCTGCAATGAACACTGTATGGAGAGGTGCTGCGAGGCTTTTCTCTTCATTTAACCTTTCCATACTGGAAGTGCTCTCTGGAGTCTAATCCAGAGTACTCTGAATTCATTGGAGAGATTCCCAAAGAGTTTTAAACCTGGCCATTGTGCTCTGTGTAACGTGTGAGTAATATTTCAGCAAGATCCAAAGATGACAGGAACGGGGTCCCCGTTGCCAGAGGATTTATGACAGCTACATGCCCTGTTGCAGGCCCTATAACGCGGTCCAAAAGCATCGCCTTGTTTGACTGATACCCACATTAACATATCCCATCAAAATTCAATTCCAGTGTTAATTAGCTCACAGTCACCTTTTGGTTCATCAGGGAGGAATTCACTGTACCTCATTCTGGCTATTCTAATTCAGATCTCCCACCTGAGATAGATATCTCCAGAAAGGAGACACGGGCTGTTCCAGGGGCAACTCATGTATTTTAGATGCTGCTTGTAGAGTGGCTGTATCATCCCTTGGAGATATTCCTCCTGCCCTCTGTTGACTACAGAGGGTGCTGAAGCATGCCATTTAGGCCAGAAACAGTGGCTAAGGTTGTCAGAAATTAACCCTATAGCAGGTGACTGGGCTATCTGGAAGCCCGTTGTCAGGAAACTCTCTCCCCTGTAAGTCAAAATAAATAAATAAATAAATAAATAAATAAATAAATAAATAAACCAACACCATATCTGTGCTAACAATTTCTTAAATGCTGTAGAGTGATGAAGCGACCAGAAGTGCATAGATCAAAGGAGATGCAAAATTTCCCGAAGCACGTGCACCTTTGGATCCTAATGAAACATTTGGGTCCTGCTGAAACTTTCAGCAAATCTATGCAGAGACAGAATGAGACTGTAACGCTGTGTTGTGTTAGAGGAGATGTGTTGATAACCTTTAGAAACAGATGTGATGCAAAATATAATAAAAATGATATTTCATTGCTGGGTGGTTGAGCTGGGTTTGCAGCTCAACCTGCCTCCTGGCCACCCTGGGGTTCTTACCCACTACACAGAGAATGGACATTTTCTTCTTCTTCCCCGTCTTCCAGACACAGATGGTCTCCAGCAGCTTCTTGCTCTGTGGGTTGAACACGTCTCTTTCCAGTGAGCTCCAGAGAGAGGCCATGGTGGGGCCCGGGGGCAGCAAGGGGGATCTGCAGCCTTCCACTGCTGCTGTCCCCAGTGGCAGCTCCTGGGGAACAAAACCAGGCTGCAGATTTGATCCCCACACAAACTCCTACATGCTGACAAAATGCATCACCCCCACACCTGGTATCCTGGACAAGGGTCTCTGCTGGCTTGCGGACAGCATGAGTTGCAAGGAACTTACAGACCTGAGGCCAGAACAAGACAAGCAGGACACCGCAGCACATCCAGCCCACAATAAAACTGTATCTCAGTTCCAATCATCCCATGGAGGTTTTAGCAAGTTACACGTTTAATTTTCTCTAATTAATCTCTCATTTCATTCTCCTTCCACTTTACCAGACAGGCTCCCATTCAAGGAGCACTCACCATGCTCCAGAGCCTTGCCCAGCACACCCATCCACTGACAAGGGTGAGTGGCACAAGCATCTATCTCTTGTCTGATTTACACGAGTGTTTGTCAGGAATAAACCTGTCTCGGCCAGGGTATGTGTGCTAGGACAGGCTGCTCAAGCCATCTGAACTGCTCTGGTCGGGGAGTAGCTGCACAGCTCAATGGGGCTTGGAGACACTGACCCCAAGGACTTGAAACACCGACCCCAAGGGCTAAAGACAACCAAAACTGGTGGTAAGAAAAGCGTTTAAAAGTAAATGGATCTGCAAAACTCCAGAGCAGAGAGTGGCTATTTCTACATTTTCTACGTTTCTATTTTCTACATTGAAGAGCTGTTTCCTTATTTCTGCAAAACAAAAGCTCTTTCATGGCTCCAGCTGAGCACAGCAGCTTGAGCATCAGGACCACGTCCATGGGCAGGCCAAAAAGGAAGGCAGCTACAAGCAATTCATTGCCTGGTTATTTTTGTCAGACCTAAGACTCCTGGAGCTGTATTTCCACTGCAAGTCATACCCAAAACTGTCAGGGAGGAGATGTCAGTTTATGTCTGTATAAACACGGGGAAAAAAACACCAGTTATATTACAGTCCTTAAGTTAGGTGTGATTGAATAAACAAAGTGACTAAGGCTAAAAGGTTATACTTCATGCAAATATTTTGGTAAGAATTAGGAATAAATAAAAACACGGCCTGGAGGAAAACAATAACATTAGAAAATTGAACGTTTTGTAAGAGAAACTCGCTGCTACTGAAATTCACAGGTTGCTTTGTGACAGACTGGAACAAACAAAACCTCCAGTAACTCCCTTCCTTAGTGACGGGGACAGCTCAGCCACACGGTTAGCAAAAAATAAAATAAAATATAAGAAAAAGGGGGACTTGCTGCTAAAATGTTTCAATCCCCGCAGCATCTCTTTGAATGCGATCCCTCGCCGGGTTATCTTGGTTTCTCCATCCCCACCAGCTTTTCAGGCTCTCTGATGGCATTCAGTGGGCAGGACAGCAGCCCGTAGACCCAACTGCTGCTCTCGGACTCACAAATACAATTTTAATAGCGCTTGAGCAACAGCTAAAGGAAAATGATTGAAAGCCGAAGCAGCGGAGGGCTCGCTGCTGCCTGATAAGTTAATGTAGAAAGCACAATACTTCCCACCGGTGTAACTGAAAAGCTGCCTGTGGCTGAGCCACTTATCCCCTCCTTTCTGCAGAGGACCAGAAAGACTTAAAGATCTCCGTGAAGCCTCGACATTTTCGCACATCACCCATCCAGGCAGCTGGCAGAAAGGAAGAGAGCGTTAGTGGAAGGAAGGTTGTTCAAAGACTTTACCGGCCGCGTCTTGCTGGGGATAAATTGCGGGATTTCAGTCGCAAAGAAGCCTTAGAACAGGAAACAGTTTGTTGGTAAAATGAAAGCTTGAAGAGAAAAACAGGAAGCCTGAGGAACCTGAGTGAAGCCCGTGAGCAGGCGGCTTGAGGTCAGGGCAGGAAATTGTTCATGCGAATGCCGAGGTCTGCAGAAACCAGGTGCAAGCAAAGCATCAGAGCAGCTGGAGATGAAGGAGGTTTTGACAAAAAGCAGAGCAAAGCAGGGTAAAATGTTCCCCCCCCCCTTCCTCCCATCCACCCCCCCTTCCCCCCGTTTCTGTTTTGTTTCTCTATAAAGTCAAAGTGTTAAATGGAGAGCAACTGCTGTCTCCCCATTCCTCTTCCTTCAACGAAGGGCCCCAGAAACAAACAGGAGTTGTGGGAGCCAGCCGGGACGCTGGATGCACATTACAATCCTTCGTTAAGCAAGACACATAATCATGATGCATAATTTAAGCATAAAAGAAGCCTTGTGCCTGGAAACCACGTGAGCTGAACGGTGCAGAGCGACCTTTGCTATGAAGAGGGCAGACCCATCTCTGGTGCACCCAGCTTCAGAACCAGCTTTGGTAGCCCAAAACGTGCCCTGTTCCTGCTGAGCAGCCCCAGCCACTCGCTGAGAAGCTCTGTCCCAAACCACTGCACCAGTTTATGTGTTTTAACATACCCCGTGCCATCCTTCAGGAGAGCTCAGCATAAAAGAGCAAGTCATTGGGAAGCGGCGATGGCTTCACTGAGACATTTACCAGGTGCTGGCAAGAACAGGGTGGCTGCAAATCCCACCCCACTGTGACCTGTGGTCATTTCCCCTTCTCCAGCATCTTACGGTGGGAATGCTGGCGAGGTAACTGAGGCTGTGCTGGACTCAGAGGTGTCTGTGTTAATGTCTGGGTGCCAAACATGACGGAGTAAAGCTGTAGCTGCTGCACGCCTGCTGGGTTCGGTGCCTTGGAAAAACAGCTTACTTAATTTGTGAGCTTCAAGGACATTATGTGCACTCTGGAGGGTAAATTAGACGGGGCAAGCATTCTGGAAGAGAGAAAAATACGATCGCACCGCACAGCAGGACTGCATTAGCACAGTATCATTTACTGCGGGACAGTAAAGATGCTACGCCAGGGCTTCTATTCATGATTTTTGTATTATTTCCATAAACTCGCTCTTCTTAACCTCTTCTCACTCACCGAGTGGATTCTCTTCTCTTCCAGCCTGCGGTGCACATCTTTGTTATTATTTGTGGACCTAGCATAGGGTTCAAGGGGGTAAATGCCTGCCTTGATTAATGCTTAGAGAATCCTGAGGTGCCAGCCTGGCACACAAGCCCCAGACGTACAGAGGTGCTTTAGACCCTCCTGCTTGACTGAAAAAAATCCAGGAGTAATGCAGGACAGAAGGAATTAGCAAAGGACTGCTGGCTTTACCCAGGCAGTGCCAGCAGCCTGCAGAAAGCTGCTCTGTAGCACTGCAGTCTGAGCTCCGTAGCACCAGCGCCCAGACAGAGCATTCCCCGGGAATATTCCCCCGGAGCCTCACGTCTGATGTAGGCAGCGGGGTATCAAAGCCTGTATTTTAAGCCGAGAATACAGCGAGCTTTCTGAAGGCTGGGGAAGGAAAAGCAAACAAACCTCAGAAACGCCGAGCCTTGCTGGCAGGCATTTCCCTGCCCGCATCTGCAAGCGGGATGAAACAGCTGTACGAGCGATGCAAATGGGCAATTAATCTCAATTGCTGCAGACTCTTCATCCTAGAGAATTACTTTCAAAAAAAACAGGGAGTATTTAAACAATCTTCATGCAAAGAGAAATTAGGAAACTGCGTGTCCAGGTGAGCTAATAAAGAAAAGGGAAAGGCAAGTGTGGAAATACAGCGTGCCTTGCATTAATTTTTCCAGCCAATTCCGAATGCAGCAATAACTTGGTTATTTTAACATTCACACTCAAGGATTCAAAAACAGACACAACTTGAAGTGTCTGATTGCTGCTCTGTGACCAAGATTAGCAATCTGCAGTAGTTTCCTTTCCTCTTCCTTCCCAAACGAGGGAACAGAAAGCTGTTTCTGCCGCAGGGCACAGCAGAGAATTTAAGCTATTTAATTTTCTGCTGCGGGGATCTGTAGCCATCATTTGATGCCGAATCTTATTTTTTGAGGTTAGACAGCCTGCATTCCCAGCGTATTTTCAAGGTTTAATGGATGGCTCTTGCACTGCCCCTATAAAACGGGTGGCAACCTGGGCTTCCCAGGAAGGGCTTGCTGTGGACCATTGGGTGGTCCTCAGAAGAAAACTGAATCCCCACAGCCTGAGACAAGGGGACATCTGCTTGTCCCCTACCTGATGGCCTCCACACCCAGACTCAGGGCCACTTGGGTAACCACATCATACAGAGAGGCATGCGTGTCACTCTCCATCTTCTTCGCGAGGAGATGCTATTTAGATGTAAAACAGTAGAATTAATAAAACATAATGCCTCGTTTTTCCCCACTGTTTTCACCTCCTGTGCTCTCCTCTCACATTTTTGCTGGGCCGATGGTTTTCTTACATGCCCCAGATAACTCACTGAGTTTCATCTTCACTGCTTTTTCCACCCGCCCGCTCTTCTTTCATTTTTTATAGAGACTTTCTTGTTCCGCCAACACACTCTTAATCTCACTGGTAAATCAAGGTGTCTGTTTGTCTTTTGCTCTCTGTTTGCTTTCCTGGGCACAGTGATAAATCTGGGCACTGTGCTGGAGCTGGACCAACGGGAGGGCTGGCGTTTTCCTTCTTCCTTCTTCCTTCCCCATTCACAGCCGCGCACTATGGGCCATATGCTGTGTTTGGGCTCTGAGAATGATCCCTCTCCATTTTCCTGGGTGAAATCAGCAACAACAAGTAGAAAGGCTGAGGAATGCCCTACACCAGGCTCTGTCAGGTGGAACCACACTGAAGAGATGTAATGTTACTCCAAGGGCCCAAATGGGGTCAGCACAAAGGCTCCCCGTGATTTCATCTGATGTTCTCAGAGGTATGAGCTCGGTGTCTCCTCCACATCTTGCTGCTGGTCTCATCAGATGCTGGGGGAGGACCAGAGATGCAGAGAGACCCACACTCATGGTAGCTTCCAGGTGGAGCCTGGCCCTGAGAACATGCCATGTGCATGACGCAGCTTTGTCCTGTGCTCTTCCCCCTAAAGGGATTATATGTGGGGTAAAGAAAAAAAAAAAAAAAAGGCAGCAATTTAGCAATTTTAGCTGGGTTCAGAGCAGTTTCATATGTCTAGAAAGGATATAGCAGCATAATCAAGATTTATGAAAGAAAGGAAATATTTTAGGGGAGGCCATTTGTTCTGTTCTATATCCCATAAAACCTCCAGAAGTTATTTGTCGGTCGATGCGGCAGCAATGCTCAGGTGGAGCTCGGGAACAAAAGGGCAGTGTGTGAACCAGGAGGCAGAGCATTAAAAAGCACAAAGCGACGTCTTCTCAGGCCAGATATAATTGCCCTGGGGAAGTAAGTCACTGCCTTAGGATCCGGGTCAGCCAAATGGCTCCACAGTTTACAAAAACCAATCTGAGTTTATCTAAAGATAACCCGGGAGGGCTGGACTCGGTGGCCGTCATCCAGGCATGGGCAGCATCTTATCTGGAGGATCGCATCGACGCACGTACCACTCCAGCACTAATAGAGCCACGGTACCAAGAGAGCATCCAGCATTTGCTGCTGATGGAGGAAATAAATCAGGTCAAAAGAATCACCGGTTTGTTATGGGGAGGAGAAGGGGGTTATTTTTCCTATTATTTAATAGGAAATTCTCATAGGGTGATTTTGGATTCCTCCAGGCTTCTTGCTTGACTCATGGGCTTTGTCACAGCTTCTCCTGCTTCACTTCTTGCCGAGCATCTCTGCTGTGCTCGGGGTCTCAGAGCCTCCCCACATCCCAGACCGCCCTGGAGCCACCCCACAGCGCTCTGCTCTGCTCCTACTCTGGCCGTGTAGTGCTCGAGGTGTGGAGATCGCTCTGAGAGCTGGGAAACCTTCCCTTCAGCTCACTAAGAGAAAGGAAATGGGATGTAAAGAAAACAAGGGTGAAGAGGTGGGGCCTATCTGGCTGCAGATTTTCGACGTGTTCACCGCAGAGCAGCAGGACCCCGACCCTAACCAGTTTGGGAAGTGATGATCAAACCCTAGGCACGTCCTGAGGTGCTTGGAGAATCCAGGAGGCAGGACAGGGCAACAGCTCTGCTTCCCCACAAGGCATACAGGGATGAGGGACTCAGCCAGGGTGGTGTGGGAGATGATTTTTGCTCTGCAATGCATAGACCAGCCGGTTCAGCATCTCCAGTGCTCTCCCAGAGGGACCTTCACCTTTCTGTGTGAGCATCCCCTGCTGATTTCAGCAGACCCTGAAGTCACGAGCAGCAGAAAGGACTGCACATCCTCATCCCTCCCTCTGCATCTCTGCTTTTAGGGGATGCTCGCCGAGAGCTGGACACGGCACAGATCCCACTAGAGGGTGCTGCCCAGCTCTGCTGGGAAAGCTCTGCCTGCTCCTGGGCCTCCAAACCTCCTCATTCATCTCCAGCACAGCGAGCACTGCTATGGATTGCTGCTGGCAGCGGGACAGAAATGCCCATCCTTAGTTTATGGACCCACTTTTCCTTTTATCTCTTCCCTCAAGTCAACACAAACAATAAAGCACGTGAGTCCAAGCAGGGAATGGAGCTCACAGCACAGCTCACCTTGCATCCTGCACAGCTCGCAGGAGAGCCTCCTCCTCCTCTCAGTGACCTGTAACACTGCCAAACAGCCACAGGTTAACCCGTCCGTGCACCACCTCGGATGATTGATTCCCTTCTCTTTGCTTCCTGGGGCTGTACCAGGCACCCTTCGTGCTGGGTGATGCCCTGGGTGGGCGCACGGGCAGCCGGAGACCAGGGCTGCACAGCGAGCAGGATGCTGACACCCTGACCACGCCGTGCCTTTGGGGAAGATAAACTGCAAGCCCCTGTCTTTGCATCAGCACTAAACTCCCATAAACAGCACCTGCAGCAGCTGAGAGGAAAACATGAGAGGAAACCAGCCCTTTGACAGGTTCTGCTCATGAATGTGGCA